GGTTGTTGTTTTGTTGATCTGTCATTGGTCGCTTCCTTTTTCTTTTTTTTTTTTTTTTTTTTTTAAAAGGCATGAAGTCGCCTTGTGTGTGCAAGCACGCAAGGAAGCTGACTCCTCCGGTCTGTTGCATTTGTCAAATGATCTCTGTGGTCATTATTATATATTTGGTTAATTAATATATAATTTAAGCATATTTATTTTAACTTGCTTTTTAGCTTTTCGGATATTATCTTTAGATCATCTTATATATAAATGAATAAATGAGGGTTTGTTTGTTTTGATATGAATCTGCATTGGTCGTTCCGCTCTTTTTCTTTTCTTTTTGTTTTTGTTTTTTTTCTTTCTTTTCCCCAAAAGTAGGGGTCTTTTTTTTTTTTTTTTCTTTTCTTTTCCCAAAGCTAGGGGACCAGCACACTGCTTGCTTGCCTTGCCTTGCCTTGCCTTGCCTTGCCTTCAGTTTATACGTGCTTTTCACTTCCTTAATTCTCTTTTTTAATTCATAATGCGCTAATCAAACACTATTCCCTCTTCTCTCTCTCTCTCTGTATATATGTAGAAATTATGAATCTGAATCATGAAAATAACTTATTCATATGTACAGAAAAATAAAGAAAAGATGCCATGAATATCTTGTGATTAAAAACCCCTTAATTTTAGTTATTTATTTTCAAGAAACCGCTTCTCTTTATATGATTAATAACCATATGTCCCAAAAAATATAAGTCAGTTTTGCATATTTTAAAGAGTAATAAATTATGTTTTTTCTATATTATTTTTATTTATATTAAGTACAATATTCACACATAACTCTTTATTTGAAATAAGGGATAATTTGGTCAAATTACTTTTGATTTTGTTATAATTTAAAAGAATTGATTGTTTTTATAACTTCCATGTAAAAACGGCTTGTTATATTTTGGGAGGGAGAAACTCCTAGCAGTGGCAATACGGTAGGGAGCCATATCCCATCCCTGGCCCGTGAGGATCTCATTCTTATAAACAACTATGTTTGCCATTTTATATAATTTTATGGTACTAATAATTGCTCTGTAATTCTAAATATTATAATACATACTAAGAAAATTTACATAATCATTGTATAAATAAAATTTCCAAAAAAGAAAATAGAGATTTCATAAAACGCATTATTCTTTCCATGGATGGAGAATCTCTGCCCCATTACTATCTTTGTTAGCAGCACACAGTAATCACAGAACGCTTAGTCGTTATTATTATTATTTTGATAAAAAATGGGGAGATAAAGTTCAAAAGAAATGCAGAATTACAAGCGTAGGCGTGAATATACCACCCCACTGAGATCATGTGCATAAACTGAAACTGATCTTTTTGAAAGTAATGCATTTTCTCATATTAATTTGGTACATTCCAAAATATTATTTGAATCGTAATTGATGAGGGAAAACAAAAACTCCCATCTTATTCTTTACCAATTAAACTAATTTTCTTGGCTCGAAATGGTTAAATAATTAGTTTTTCTGGCAGAAAAAAAAAATTCAAACAAGGGAACCAACCATATTTAATAAAGAAGACAAGAAGGAGCAGAGAGCATGCACGGGGAAGAGATAGGATTGAAGAAGGTCATAAGAAGATGATAAAAGGAGAAAGATACCGATTGGGAGGTTAAATATTTAGAATTACAAGGTGCATTGGTAAAAGTAATTGAATAAATGTGTATGGTTAGGGATCTAACACATGCAATATGCCTTCGACTTTCTTTCTCTCTTTCTCTCTCTTTTTTTTTTTTTTTTTTTATATGCCTTCGACTTTCTGTTCCTCTCCTTATCTCTCTCTTCTTTCTCTCTTTTTTTTTTTTTTTTTTCTCTTTTCTTTGAGACTTTCTTTGAAACAATTATGCATTATAATATTAAGAAATAGAAAGTGCTTCTCTTTCTCATTCTATATAAAGCCCTAACATTGCATCACTTCTACACATAACTAGCAAGATTAAAGTTCCAGATGGAACAGTACCATACTTCTGGTTAATACTAAAAATAGGGTTTTTGTTTTGATTTGGTTCAGATTGCAACTGTGCAAGATCCTACCGACTCCCTACTGCCTAGACCCTATGTATATTGGATAAATATGAGAAGGGTTTTAAGGGGTAAGGGCGGTGACAGAAGAGAGTGAGCACACATGGCACTTTCTTGCATGTCCATCATCATGCTCGAAGCTTTGCGTGCTCACTCTCTATCTGTCACCCCACCACCATCTCTCTCTCTTTTGTTTTTTCTATTTTTGTGTTTATGGATCTTGATATCTATAATCTAGATCATTTGCATGAGCTTTTCTCTAATTAGCTTTGATTTTGTTTCATTTCTATCAGTTCGGCTCTAATTAGGATTCAAACTTTGATGTGCAATATCACAATCTTGAAAGTGAATCTTGCTAGTAGCATCAAGAATTTTTTTATATCTGTTCTTTTTCTGAGATCAGATTTTGATTAGGGTTTTAATTAGCCTTGCTCTCCGGAGATGAATTCAGTACAAGAGTGTCAGGTTTTATATATTATGTATGCCTGTTTGATAGTCTGTATGTTAATTTTTTGAATGTAGAAATAAGAAATTCACTGCTATTATACTGTTGACGACAATATGGAAAAAGTTATCTTTCTTGATCTTGTAATCTTGTTCATTGCAATAATTAATAGGCAAAAAGAAAAATAAATTATATCAAGAACATGTACAAAAGATATGTCAACTATATATATACATACATTATATATATATGATCTACTTTCAGAAAGAAATTCAGTAGCATGCAGGGGATTTAATTGGTTAATTAGAAGCTGCTGGTTTAATTATTTTAATTTCCTTTCTTTGACGGATATGATTCATAGATCTGATTTCCAATGTTGTTTCCCATCATTGCAAGAGTACTTGGCTTCACATATATGACTGAGTCTTATTGGTCTATCATTTGATTTCGTTAAAAAAAAAAAACATTTCATTCTTTCTTTCTTTCTTTCTTATAATAATATATTTATATATCTGAGGCACCAAATATAATTTTTATATATCTGGAGCACCAATTATATATATAATATATATATAGTTTTTCTGGTCCTGCAGGAAGGAGACATGAGTTTCTGTGAAACAACAGCTGAAATTGTATTCACACTAAAGAAGGCAGCAGAATTTTATGTAACAAGATAAAGCAATCTCAATATTTACTAAACACATATTGATCATCTTATATAAATATATATGATACTCTTTGATATATTAATTCATGTTCTTCTTCATTCTTTTTTGAGGTGTTGCAGAATGAATTACTAGAATTTTTCAAGAAAGGAAAAGGCAGATATATAGTACATTTGGAAATTAATTATATAAAGATGAAAAAATAAAATGTGGCTGACAGTTCAAATTTGTTTTTGCATTTGCATTTGTATAGTGTGAGATTGTAAGTTGTAAGTTCATACAGTGAGAATGGTCGTTTACTCGAATGATTGTCGTTTAGTATAAATGAAATGAGCTGTATCCGTCAACTAGAATGATAAGGCCAGACCAGAAGAAGTATTTTTACTTTTTTGGGAAATTTTCTTTTATCTTGATGATTTGTTCTTTCATATGATTGGTAGGTCACCTTAATTAAGAAAAGAAAAAAAAAAAAAACTTACTTTAATTCTTGGAAGAAAACAAGTTGTCGTTTGGCAGCATACTGTCACATATATAGCAATAATCACTTTCTCAGAGGCCTTGTCGTCAGAAGAAAACTTTCATTTTTCAAAAAAAAAAATTCATTGTCGTTCAGACGTTTACAGCTAGCAATTCTCCATCCAACTCATTGTATAACAATTGAATTTTAAAATTTATTTTTTTGTACCTAAAGCTAATAAAGCTCGTGACAATCAAATAAAAATAGTATTTTTATTAAAAAAAAAAAGGGGTTATGGTTTTATTATTAATTCCATATTATTAATTTAATATAAATAAATTTCTTACTCATATTAATTTACACATTGCAAATATTGTCCTATTATTTGTAATGGATTCGTGATATTATTTTGAGCCAAATCATATCAAATTTAATAAAATTTACAAATTGATAAGACTAAAATTAGGTTTACTTTTATAAATGAATATTGTACTTAAAAGGTACAAAAATACTAAATACGAAAATTCGTTTAAGAATGGAATTTTATTTTTAAATTAATTAATTTTGATTATTAAGCTATATACGTTTTTAAATTATAAAATCTATTTGATTATATTAATTAATTCACCTTTCATTTCATGTTGTATTATCAAATGATTATATATAAATATATATATATATTAATATATTGATTATATCATATATCAAGGTTCCCTGAATTTAATTTCTTATATTTTATAATTCCAATTAATTAAAATGTGTATTTCTATTTTTTCTGTTTTATATATATATATCAAAGGTCCCTGATTTAATTCTTATATTTATAATCAATTAATTAAAATGTGTATTTCTATTTTTTTTTTCAGGTTGATATGTTTTTAATGCGGTTTAATATTATTACTATAACTGCAGCTAATAATGCAAATTGTACATAATATTTGAGGGAAAGAAAAATATATCGTGTTACAGTAACACTTTGTACTCTGATACCTGCACTGTACCTAAAGGACACAAAGTTACTTTCACATTGTTCTTTTAACAACTCTCGAAATTCTCCACTAATGATGATGCAGATCAATAGCTGCGCAAGAGACTATGCATAGGACTTTGGATAATAAGGCATGAACATTTCCGCTAGACACATGGAAAGAGTTTGTTCTAGGTTCATTGCAGATGGAAAATTCTACTTTTCTACATATTACAAGTGCCTTTGGCCCACCCTCATGCATAAATTGAATTTGGTCAAAGGATAAGAACAAATCATTATATGACCGATGAAGAAGCATTTAAGGTTTGACAAAAAAAAAATTGAAAATTCCCAAAATAAAAATTAAGATAAGATACGATAAGGTTAGAATAAAATTGCAGTCTTTCTGGAAAAATGAAAAACCAGCATGAATTCAACGGTAGAAAATGTTTGTACTTTGTACTTTTTACTGTATAAAAACCTTACACTTTAAAACAAATAAAATGGGCAGAAGGAGTATGCAATTTGTGCTATAACGGATCGACTTTTCTACTCATTGAGTCATTATATTTTATAACTCGTCAAGGAAAGAAAAAAGCAATGGCAAAATGGGAACACGATACACTTTCACTGCATCTGAAAATACATGACATTTAATGCTGTATTTGGGATGTAATCCTCACTGTCGTTCCCTGTGAACCAAGAGCCGATGATGCTTTGAGATGAATCCGATGAAATTCCTGTCGGCCACTTATCAATCAGCCTAAAACCAAACTCAGATGCAGTTGAAATAATAGTTGGTTCATCAACCCGACGCACGACGTGACAGAGAATCAGTGCAAGTTCCTGATCTTCTCCATTGCAGTTAGCTGACATTAGTTCCTTTGCAGTTGCAAACAAGGGCAAAATAGCTTCAGGAATGTAAGTCACGTCCGTGCCGATTATGACTTCAAAACCTCCGGAAATGAGTTCTTTGATGGCTTGTATGTGTTCTCTATTTCCCCACTCTAGTCTCTTCACAAATAGTTTTGCAAGAGATGGCAGTCTAAGGTTAGAAGACACGTTCTGGGTCAATAGCTCAAGTGCTTTGGTATCTCCATCAGTGGCGACTACAACGTCAGCTGATGTAACAGCAACCATAGAGCAAATGCCTCCACAACCAGATCCCAACTCTAACACCCTTTTCCCTTCAAGAATAGTTGGATTTCCTGCTAGCAAAGAAGCCATCATGCGAGCTGATTCCCAGAGCATCAACCCAGTTGATTTACATGTGTGCTGATATTCTTTGGAGAGTACATTAATCTTGAAATTCTGGTCTCTAACTTTAACGTCGATGGCCTTTTGTTATGAATGATTGGAGAAAAAAAATGGAAATCTTCAATGTATATCTTAGCATATTGATTCTCAGCAAAAACAAAGCTAAATCAAAGCAGCGAAAAGCTAATAAGTAATTTCTGCTCTACAAATGCTTATGAGATAAGATAAAATCATGCTGTCTAAACATTCTTATAGTTCCAAAACAATATTTTGAAGCATGGCCAGAACATTGCAATGGACCAAGACCAATGTTAACTGATAAAATGGACAGAGAGAAAGCATCAGGTAAAAATTTACCTCATTCCCATGGGAAGGCAAAACTCCAAACATTTCAGCTGCTAAACCCTCAGACATGTCAACCTCAACATTGTCCATAGTTTCTTTAGAAGTAGTTTCCTTGACCTTTGGCTCGGTATTTCCTTGATCAAGGGTGTTCTCCTTGACTGGAGATTTTTCACAAAAAGAAGACTTTGAAATGTCTGAATATCGGAATACCGCTTGAACCCAACGCCTTAAATCAGACAAAACAATTACACCAGAAATTACTAAAAAGGAATATAGAATGACTAGCCTCAAGATTTTTTTCCGTCCTTCACAATATTCATTATCTACCTATTCATTATTAATTCACGTGACCGGTTCTCCACTTGCTTGCAACACAAACCAAGTTCTTCAACATCAAATCCATTGTCTCTGAACAAGTTTGTCAAGAAGTCGTTTGAGAAGTAAAAAGCACGCTGAAAAATTAGAAGCCAAAGATCATATAAGAGGCTGGCAAATTGAAAATAAAATACTGAGGCACTGGCTAAAGAATAGGATTAAGAATCGGATTATCATTTTCATTCCTTCGGGTGTTAGGTGACAGAAATGAAGGAATAATGGAATGAGAAAACAAGCAAATGAAAAAAAGCTCAACTTGATTTCTACATTCACATGGGGGCCAAGTATGAGAGACAAAGCATTTAAATGGAGATCATCCCCATTACCTAATTTCTATTAATAGTAAAAAAATGAGAACTGCAATACAAAGTGCACACATTTGAAAACTTACAGTGCCATCACCCCTGACATAAAAGTTTTCACTAATCTTTTGATCCTTGCAAGTAAATCTTTCCTGTCAGTACGATGGAGGAAGCTGGTTACATAAGGACAAAACCAGCAATAGGCATATAGAGATCAGTGGAAAAAAAAAAGAAGTGGAAGTCCCCTAATCCTATTGCCCAAATTTAAAGGACACTGATTAAACTGCTTTTAGATTTTTTTTTTTTTTTTGTTTAAAAATATATGGGCACGTCCAATTTGCATTACTAAAGCAACTGGCCAGATAAACAACCACTCGTATTCAAGCATGCATATAAGCCAGCATTTCTGGATACATATATGCTAATATACAGCAATTTGGTAAAAAGCAACTTGCAAACGTTATGGGTCAAAGTACCTAAAAGTTAGACACATAGAAAGCATGCTGATTAACAATGTTAATGTATGTAAAATTTCAGCATCTATCAATTTAAGAAGAAATAATTTGAAACGAAACTGCAAATTCACCTGAGCAAGGTCGCCTAAAGCATAGTCACGAAATAGCACACAGCCATTTGGCTGGAAAAAGAAGAAAGTTGGAGTTGCATCAGCTAAAAGAACATATTAACAAAGTCCATAAAATCTCTCATAGAATTTACAATTACAATTATAGTGATTATTTACCTTGAGAACTTTCTTAATATTCTGCAAGACCAGAGGCATCCTCTCAGGGGAAACTGCAGATAAGACAAATATCTGCTTAAAAAGTCAGATGGTTTAATAAAGTGAGGGAGAAAAATTATGAGTAAAGCTTAAGGCGAAAGCAAATTTGTCAGATAAACTGGGAGGAATAGATGCAGATATAAGCATGTAAACCTCATAAATCATAATAACTCGCAATCAAATACCATTGTCACAATATCAACTGAAGATGGAGAAATCTCCTTGTCCAAGTCATCAATGGTCAGATCACATGCAAATGCACTGAAATGGGTGTCCCTGTAGTCTTTATGTGTCTGCAGAGAGCAAAAGAAATACATTATCATTAGACCTACTTAAACTATAGACTATAAATCTATAAGAGTATCAAAGGTAAAATCGTTCAAATTCCATCAGTGCTCCACATAAAACCTATTCTCTATCAAGGTTAAGTTGCAGATGTCAATGAAGCTATAACATAAAGCTAAATACCAAGACTTTGAAAATGGTTAAATGTTTTAAAAACTAGACCTATGGTCAAAATTTACCTAATGACATTCAAATTGAAAATGAGAAGAAACAGTAAAATTTGTGATTATGTTCAATCAAAAATAATAGCGATGGATTGGTGTATAAACTCAAGTAGGCAAACCTTAACCAAGTTAACAGCACGTGGTGAGAAATCACACGCATGAACAAAAATATCAGGATAGGTCGCAACCAGAGGAAAGATGGTGTTCCCAGCTCCACAGCCAACCTGCTTATCAGCAATACTTTTGAATAAATCAACATTGAGAAACTTTGGTTTCAAGGAGATCACAAGGTTCTTACCTCAAGAATGACTTTTCTCCCGGCTCCCTGAAAATCTCAAATTAATAAAAAGCACAAAATCACAAGAGTAAGAAAAAATAACAATGGATGAACACATCCTCTCTTCCACTCCCTTTACTTTTTTCTATACTCACAGTGAAATATTGGCCCCATTCTTTGTCCAAGTAATGCCGATCCTTGAAAAACTGGAGAATAAAAGCAAATAAAAGAAAATTAGAAAAAAATCATTATCCGCAATAAAGAAAGTAATTTAGTTAAAAAAATGGCATCAAGCACCCCATGGCAAAGCTTCTAAACAATTGCCAGCACAATATACTATCAGAAATTACCAAACAGCAAAACACAAAACAAAGTACAATTCTTCTCATACACAATGGCAGCATCAACATGCTGATCAAGAACCTTACTCTGTCTTCATGTCGCTTGTAGAAGATATCCCAATACTTTTTAGCATCCCTTTCATACTTCTCTGCCAAAGTAAATATAGAGTTAAATTGGGTAGAATGTGTATGTGTGTTTTCACTCACAGAAACACAGAGAGAGAGAGAGAGAGAGTGTAACAGAGAGAAACCTCTCCAGTAAGGCGTGACTCCAGTGTTAGAGGTAGAGTAAATTTGCAACTTCTGAGATGGTTGTTGCTGCTCGAAAAAGTTACCCGCATCAGAAGTCATTGCTGAAGCTTTCATAGAAGGTGCAAACATACAAGGGCATTAAGCCATGGCAACAGAAATACAGGCGCCATTAATGCAAACTTTAGCTAAGGTGAAAAAATAAAACAATTACACCATCCATACACAACAGGATTACATTCATTCTTCAGTTGCTAATTACAAGATTACACAGCCTAGATCAATCTCCTAAAGGAAATAAAATCTGAAACTTTGTTTTATTCCAATTTGAGCTGATTCCTGTTCTTTAAAATTCCACTTGTAATTTATCGACCTCGTTGAGCAATTTATGACCGAAGTCGGGAAATTCAAATCATTTATCTTGAATTGGCATCTGCCATCTAGTAGCACTATATCCAATCTAAAATTCAAAATGATGCCTAAAACCAGCTTATTCACGCCCAGGTGTAACTCAACCAAGAAACTATTAGAGACTTTTCAGAGGAAAGCAAAACAGAAATGAAACAAAGAAATCCATTGCAGATTGAAAACCCATAATCAAAAGGAAAGGTTTAATATAGAAAATTGTACCTTTCCTACTTAGTGATGAGCAAAACCGAGAGAGAGGAAAAGAGAGAGAGGTGCTGACGGATTAGGGTTTATGCTTCAATAGCGGGTTTACTTGCACATGAAACGCACCGTATTACGCCAGTGTTTTTCTTTTTTGATGGAAGTTTACGCCAGAGTTAAATACGGTCGTATTTGATATATACGTATACAATCTTTAATTGCAAAGTTTGTCTCCTTTGAAAAAAACAATTTTTGAGAAGTTTGTCATAAGTAGAGTGGCTCCATAGTTCATTCTTCTGTGTGTGCTTTTTTCTCCTCATTAAATTTAGTATTTAACTTGAATTTATATTAATCAACAAGATTGATGGCAGGTTAAGAATATTACACAACAATAAGCTCTTAAACTACATCCAACTGTCCATGAAATAATCTCTTCCTCTTGTATATCTCAACAAATATTTAAAAATTAATGAACATCAAGTGACAGGATAATATTACAAATGGTGGTGGGAAGAATATCAAACAGTTAAAAATAAAAAATAATGGAGCACTACAAAATTATGGTGGGCCTATATGGTTTTTTCTTTGGGTGTTTCATGCTGCAGTTTGCTCTTCATTTGTCTGTAAATTGGGGCTTTCCTGCTCCTTTTCATCTGCATCTATAGTATCCTTTGTGTCTTCAACATCTGGAGTAACCCCATTTTCAACTGCAGGCAGATCCCCATTTTCTTTTATGCTCTTTTCCTCAGCATTACTGTGGGGCCTTGGGAGTTCTCTCGAGGGAGAGGCTGTCAGTAGGCGGTTAATTCCATCATATAAATTTTTTGCATCCATAATAAGAGCAGCACCCCCTGGGTAACAGCGACCAAAGCACGTTGCACAATGTGGGTAAGCCACCTACAGATAGAGAAGTTCGTAATGAGAAGGTAGTGAAAGCAAGTCAAATATATAATTTGCGGATGAAAATTATTTGAAGTTATTAAGAAAAGCACCTCTATAAAAGATCGGCAAAGGGAGAGGAAATGCCCAGATTCATTTTCTCTGAGCATCCGAGTTGCATTGTATCTTAATAAAGAGTCGGAAACAGCCTTCAAGCCTTTAATTAGTTCTTGAGCAAGCACAAACTTCAAACTTAAGGGGGCACAAGGGCGTAGTTCATTCATTGCAGCAGATACACCTAGAGTACGTGCCAAAAAAAGAAAAGAACAATGCACCAAGCTATATCAGTATAGACTTTTCCTATGCAACCATTCAAGTATACAGGAAATCTGCCCTGTGCCAAAATTTCAGCACAAAATGAAGGTTAAAAATTTTCTTCTCTACATCAATCCTTAGTGATCATTGACCGATTTATTAATTTGACACATGGACAATTCTATGCATTTGAAACTGGAACATCCAATGTAAGCAATTAAGATCAAATGCATCAGACATCCTGCATTTTAAGGTAGGGAACATAGCAATAATAATTACAGCAGAAGGACAAAGAGGCTGAGAAATATGCACCAATCATACCGTTAACAAACACTGCAAGAGGTGGATGTTCCATTAAATAAGATGGTGGAGTCACATCCTCTTGATTTTCTTCACCAACAATACTGGTTGAAAAGCCAACTGCTGGTAGTGGAACCCAGCGATGTGAATCCAGAACTAACTGGAATGAAAACATCAAATTACAAATGACAAATCAATAGACAGCTTGCAAGAGGAGTACTAACATGCAAACAACTGGCATAGATTTGGAAAAGAAATTTTCGAGCCACAATAAGAAACAAAATTCAGAAAGATTTCCGTATACCTGAAAATTTTCAACTGCAGTGCTCATATTCTTTGAGAATAAGTTGAGGACAGCCCTGCAAATACCAGACTCAACTTTTACAAAGCAATATTTTGGGAGGAAAAATGAAGAGGAAAACACACAAAATGTATCTTTACTCTTCAAAAAGCGACGGAAGCAAGCCCCGAAAATCCAGACCAACCCAACAAAGTCCCATTGCACAATACTGCAGTGACACAAATAATTAGCATCATCATCAACTTCTGTTCAAAGCAAACAGTCAAATATTCTTTAATTAAATTAAGATTTGCTAAAAAATCAGCTCTTCCATGCTGCAACAATATGTATAATTTGGTGGGCCCTTTCCTTGTTGTGAGAGAGGGGTGAGAGGGGGATAAGAAGGTAGCTAGAAGATGCACAATATTTGAGGTGCAAAAATTTTTTCTGTAGCTTATGAATGACTGTAAGAAAAATGCCACAAGTTCTCTGAAAAATGAAAAGAAAAAAAATGCTAGCCCTGACAATGGCTTCTGTGAAGCAGAAAACTTGGAAATATGGGTTTCCGTTCAGTTTTTCATAAACAACAAGGAAGACAACATTAAAGGAGTTACCAGTATAAAAAATCCTTAGATATTAGCATTCTTCAAGAAATTCTAAATTATCAGAGAGAAAACAGCACAAATGTTCCTATAAAGATGTAATATTCTTACCATGCACTGGTCTAGAATATTTGATAGAGACCCACCCTCAGTTATCTTTGGGAGCATTATTTTAAGAGTTTTAAGGTGTGCAGTAATCTGATGCATGGCCCAACTAAAAAGAAGTCCACCATCATAATTTTCTTCACTGCCTGATGTGTCGTCTGCAAATATTGCTCGATATTGGTTAACAACATCAAAAAGATGCATCCTGTGGCAATTTATCATCCCTTTCAAGTATTCATACGCATTTCGCTGGTCCAGATCCTCCAGTATACCAGTAAGCCATGCCTCTCGGCATTTCAGAAACTAAAACACAAGTTAATCCCATCAAAATATTGGCATACTCAATATTTACTGAAGACAGCTTGCAAGCAACTTTGACGTATCTACATCAGGTATAATACTAGACAGAGATTTTCTATTTACATTTTTGGAATCCAAAACACAATAATACAATTATGCAGAAAGAGGAAAGAGCATTTCTAAGGCTACCTGTAAACGCATTTCATACTCGCTAAATACTCCTATCCGACGTAGATAGCCAATGATCCGGAGGCATTCGGGCAACTGCAACATAAGGCACAACACAAGCATGCATCAAATCCCAATCGATGATCGTCAATTAATCAAGTTACATGTTTCCAAGATCAAAATAATCACCATAGTACCTGGATATTAGATCTAAGTTTCTGAAGAAGCTGAGACAAAAGAGATTGGGTGGTCTGCCTAACCTCTGCAGCTAGTGCTTGAATGACAGGTAATCTTTGAGTTGGGAAAAAAACAGTGTGAGCATATACAAAGTCAATAGGTACTATCAGTTGGAAGGAAATAGCATAGGCATCACTTACTTGGGGTGCATGGTTGAGAGTTTACCAACAAATGCTTCCAGGTCAAGAGCTTCATCATAATTTCCATTCCGTACACATCTGCAGAAGGGTAGGACTCAATGAAGCTTTTCTTATACTACAATGTTAATGGCCAAAAGTAGAGAATGTCAGCATTAACCATGTTTTCAATGGACAGCAATCATAACTCAACTAACCGAGCTTCAGTCCCATTTCTCAACCTAGCTGAGTTTGCCTAAATGGATTCTTTTCCACCATTTGGCTCCATTTATGGCAAGTCTTTTATCAGTGGTTGTGGAAGTAAATGTTATTTAATTTTGAATAATTATCATTATGTAAAAATCAATTCGCAGTTCAAACTTTTAAGCTTTCTTGGGAGTATCCATGGAAAATATCCACAACATGTCAGCACACAGCCCTTAAAAATCCTTGAAAAACAAAGAGTTTCCTGCCTTATGAAAACCAGCAGTAACCTTCGAAAGTCAACAAAGAAAAATGGAGGTATAACTACATCCTCCGAACACTTCTCATTTAGTTTCATCCTCCAGTTTCCATCTTCAAAGGAGCAGTATAGAATTTGTTTTTCTCATACGCCAGTAAAAAAGTCAATTCAATTGATTATCCAAGTGATATATATGAAAAAAATGGAAAATTTTTTAGATTCTGAAATTCGTTTACACACTCAGATTACCATAAGTAGCACGGAATGCAAAAAGTTCCTTTAAAGGTTCAAGTCAAGAATGTATGAAGGGTTTTAACAATAGAGTATGCATGGCAAGCTCAAGGAACAACAATCTGAACCTCTAAAAATTTTGTAAATTGATTAAATTTAAAACAAATGGCCTTAACAATTTTGTGAAGCACATACGTGTCCATAAGTTGAGGAATTTCAAGCAAATCAAGCAATGTGCTGTGGTTTGCTAACAATGTTTGGTTCATCTTCCTCTCCTCTAAAATCTGTTCGGCAGATTCAATGAACTCTGTGCAACCAGATGTCAGCTTTGGGATCTCAGTTATCTGCCAAAGGGAAAAGACTCAACTTTAGCATACAATGACTTCACTTTAAAAAGATAAAGACCAAATTCACTGCAATTTTCTGTAGTTTGAATAAAATGTATCTAAACCTTCCAACAACAAATGAGCAAAACTAAGAAGAATAAATTAACAAGTCGGATTCAAATCAAATATTAAAATTCAAGAAAAGAGGAAGTAGTTTCTTTCTAATTGAACTCCTATATTTAAAGCTCTATGCACATCAAGATATCCAATAAATAAAAAATAATAGGGGACCAGAATGCAAGAGAGTTTAGACGAGTCATCGGGTGGTGCACAAATTGTATTTCCTTTAAATTACAAAACAATCAATTCATACTACCAAAATGACTATCTTCCACTTAAATTTCAATCAATGAAATAATTACCATAACATAATAAAACAAGCAACGGTTATAGTACCAGCGATTCAAGATGTTTGTCAATAGAAGACACTTCCTCTCTAATTGCAAGTAATGCATCAGCTGCAGCTATGAACGCACGGTAATTACATACTGCCACTTCCTGCATTTGCCTTTGAATCCTCTCCGCATCAACTCGCAGTAGCTCTGGTTCCTTCCAACAAGCAAAAGAACAAAAGTAATTCAAAAATCATTAAACCTTGCAATCATCATAAATTGAACTGTGGCAAGAAAAGAAAATTTTGCACCGTTCATTTCCTAATGAGACGAAAGCGCAAAATGAACAACTTAAAGTAAGCATACTTTGTGAAGGCGATCGAGAGTAAAAGAGAGAAGCTCAGAGATGTAGGGCTGCTGAGAGACGGAGGCGAGAGGGAGGAGGCTTGCCACCGTCGACTTCTCCTCTGCATTTTCTGCCTCCATTTCCTTCTACCTGAATATCGAATTAGGGTTTTGGGTTTTGGATCTTCACTTAGTTTACTGAAAAATGTAAAGATCTGCGTCTGGTAATGCTCAGTGCAGAGATTGAATTGGACTTGACCAGCTCACAACTTATTTTATGATTTTTATTTGCGTTTTAGATCTGAAACAAGGCTGGTCGCGCGGGTGAATCACCGTTCCGGTGAGGGGTTATTTTGCCCACTATATGTGGGGCATGCCTCTGGGTCCCACTTAATACTCAATAAACTAAATGACCTGTCGTTTGAGGAACCCGCGTGATATTTATCATTTGTGTTATCACCTTACAGACGACTTGTTTTACCTAAAAGATTTTTTGCCGTTTTTAACAAATTCCAAAATTAAACGACTATTCATGCGACGACCCCGTGATATATGAAAGCTTCGAGCCATAGACGGCGTGTCTTTTGTTGCCGTACCTCACAGACCCGTTACAGACCTTTACAAGTCCTTTGACTGATTTAGTTATGCAAATTAAAAAATGTCTTTTGATTTTTTGCACGTAATCAGAACGAACGACAGAGTCGTTAGATACATCACTTGTACTCCAGTTCGTAGCTGCTGCTGCTGTGGCTTCTCAGAACCTCCGTACGACGGAGGAGAGACCAATAATTCCTGACGTGAACTCACATCGCAGGTCAGTTCAAGATTCCAAATTCGGATTCTGAATTAATGACATAATCTAATAATACTACTATTACCTGATTCTTTTCTTCTGCTCTGATTGTTCTTTATTATATTCTATCAACATTTGCTTTGCTTTCAACTGGCTCCTAAATTTGATTTTTTTTTTTTCGGCCTCTTCCAATAACCCAACAGAGGATGGTAGAAATGAACTTTAAGTTTTTAACCGATAGAGATCAAATACAAAGCATAGAATTTTGTTTAGTTATATGTTGAATTTCATAAAATTTAATATTATGTAGAAGCATATAAAGTGAATATTTTTGCGTTCTCCCAATTATGGAAACATGGAATTCATTTATAATAAATATGCCAAAAATTTGTTATTTCTTGATGTTAAAGAAATTCCATTATAATATTCTGGGTACCAGAGCATTCTTTCCTCTATTACTCTGTTTCAAATCCAATCAAACACGTGTGAAAGAAAAAAAATGAACCGCAGAATTTAGAGAAGGTGGAGAAACAAAGAAAGAAGTTTATTTCATCAAACATTAATATATACAAAATCAACAGTGAAGAACTGAAGAACATAATTAATCAGTAACAACTCTTCTTTTCCATATCTACCAACCTATCTGACCTGAAATTATGCCTTAGCATAAGTTACATTGGACTTTTCTCCTTAATATGTGTATATATACGCGCGCGCACACACAACTTTTCAACAACAAAATAACAGAACAAGAAAGATCACAAATGAAAAAGGAGGGGGAAAATGAGGAGAAAAAGAAGAGGCCTTTGAGGAATAGAAGTAGTAGTAAGGATAAGGGTATTGTCCCTTTGTAGGTGGAGCTTGAACACTAGGTGTATGATAGAAACCAGAAGGAGGTGGTGGAATGCCCCACGAAGGGTACCATGAAGGGGATTGAGGTGGTGGAGAAGTTGATTTTGGTGGCGGTGATGGTGGGGGTGGTGGCGGTGATGGTGGTGGAGAGTGGTGAGATGGGGGTGGTGAATGATAAGTGTTACCAAATAGTGGCGGCGGTGGTGGTGAGGATGGTGAATGATAAGTGTTACCAAATAGTGGCGGAGGTGGTGGTGAGGGTGGTGAATGATAAGTGTTACCAAATAGTGGCGGAGGTGGTGGTGAACAGATAACAGGACAAGTAGTACAATCACTTATACATAGTAAACCAGCTCCTTCAGGTGTTGCCATTTGATCATCCTCAGATTTTACTCTAGCAAGAAGGATTATACCCATAATTCCAATCTTCCATAAAAAAAAACCCATTTTTCCTCTTGAGCATATTACGCCATTAACACAGTTCATCCTTGTATTAGCTTGGAAGAACCAGGCTATCTGATATTTATGTTGTAACTCAGAAACTTGTTAGGTTTATCAACTTTGTTACTTGTAGTTGAAAAATGGAGCCAAAATGAAGCCTCTGGGTAGCTTTTGAAAAAGTTTGCTTTAGCTGATTCTTTTATTGTCCGGTGGTGTATTGCTGTAAAGTACATCATCTGGGCATTTACTTCCACTGCTAGTCTTTGATCCCTATAGCCTAGAGGCTTAATTCACCCAGTTTAGAAGGGAAATATTTTGTACAACGATATGAAGTGCAATTGGTGCCCAAATTGCTTTTAAGGTTTTGTTTATAAGAAAAGCACTACACGTTAAAAGTATTTATTAGGGATTATTAAATTTTGTTTTTAAGGTAAATCATTTCTAATATTTTTTTCAAATAGGAGTTACTGTTGAAATATGTGGATAATATCACATCGGATAAATACAACTAACTAAAAAATGTATATAATATAAAAGGTGAACAAATCAAAATGACTTGTGCCATTTTATGTTAAAGTTAAGCCTAATTCATTAGAAGCCTAATATTAAATACATAATGAAAGTTCATTTGATTAATTTGCTCTGCCCTCCTACGGCCCAGATTCTCAACAGTTATAGAGGGCAAGAATGTCCTTGCACAAGGTTTAATCCTGTTTGTTGAATACAGAAGTGCCTGAATTTGTGGCATTTAGAGTATAATTAAAAGGAAGAGCTGTAGCTTGTTTGAATAATATAATAATACCAATATTTAAGGTATGATTTTTCCCCCCTCTTTCGGTTGTGATGGTGATGGATACATGTGTGAGTGGTCAGAGCACAAATGGTTGGACCTACAGGGACCAAGAAATCACCTTGCCTTTTTATTTGATCTTTTAAGAATGTTTCCCACATAGACCTCTTAAATTCAAAGGTTTAGTTAGAAAAATTTAATTTCAAGATAATGAACAAATGATATATAATTATTTTAAAAGCAGTATGTTACAATAACATCTCTGGTGTTTGGAGCATGTATTTTTGTACTCTTTCATCATCATAATAGGAGAAAGAACTCGAAGCAAAACTTGTTTGATTTGACAATTCCATTTCTTGCTTTTCCAATACCTTTCCCCAAACATAATCCAGCCATGAGGATACCAATTCTATCTTTATTGAACTCCCTTTATGCTTTTTTATCTTTATTTGTGCTTTTCTTCATTATAAGGCTTTTGAATCTTCTTTCCCACTCCTCTTATTTTAATTTCCCACATAATTACAATACCTTTTTTCATATAATGACATGAAAAATATATAATCTTTTTAATAATCATGAGATGAAAGAGATGAGACGATCTATTGATTTTGACCCCCACTTTTCTACTACAAACATGGTTTTACTAAACATGCTCAATAATAAAGAATTAAAGATTTTAGATTTGAAATTTTATAAGAATTCTCAAGTTTAAATCTTGCTAAATGGGTCGGGCCATGCAGGATTTATCGAAAGGGAAAGCTCTCCTTTATTGTTAGCTAATCTAGGTAGGGGAAAAAATTGCTTGTTAGAAAGCTAGCAAGGAAAAGGGCAATATGCAAGTTCTAATGGCACCGCTACATGGTGCATGTTAGAAACTTCTGTTGTTTAAAGCCCTTCCTGATAGATTATTTTGTTTACCAATTTCATCAAAAAATTGACTGAGAGAACTTGCAGAAGTCAGATTAAAATATGTTTTCACTATCTTATCTCCTCTAAAGAGGCATCTGATTATCAGAAAGTTTCCAGGAACTTTCATATTGTACAGTGTTATAACAAAATAACTATCTATTGTGCAAGCACAAAATAATGAAAGTTTGCTAGTATGGTTTCAGTAGCCATTTTCACAAGAACTGAAAAGAGTTCGAAGATATATAGTTCTTGTTTTAAATTGCTTCTGATGTACAACTTGTTTTACATTGTTTTTTAATAACAGACTAGGACTTAAACTGATCGACAGCATCCTTCAGCTTCCTCTTCGTCTTGTTTATAAGCACTTTCATACTTTCGTGTATCAGCCAGGAGCTTTCCAGCATTGGTCTGTAAGTATGTCCTCAACTTCTTTAAATTTCACCTTCTCTCTGATTAGATAAAGTTCCCCAATTAGCAAATATTATATGCAATTCCTAGCTAATTATTTAAAAATCAGCATAGCATATATTAAATCTCAAAAATAATGTAAATGATGCCCAGCATAGAGCAGAATGGCAAAAGAATCCATCAGTAGTTGTTTGGAATTAAGATATTTCACAATTCATCTTGAATCTTCCATTGTGGCAATATGTCTTTAGGTTCTATCACCCATTAGACAAAATGAAAATTGAAATGCATCGAGGTCGGTGTCCATGATGAATGAGTCTCAGACCTGAATTGGGTTTGATACCCTTTGATATGAATTAGTTGGATTAGAATGTGTTAGAGGGCTGCGGCTACGACTTCTACTGCCGTGTCCATGACGTCCATGATGTCCATGATCAGTTCTGCTGCCGCTGTGGTGATCACTGTTCCTTCCAAGGTCTCTCAATCGGTTAAGCTCTGGAACTATATCAGTGGCAAGACTTGGCCTGTCCTTCTTTCTTAACTCAGCACATTTCAATGCCATTTTAGCAAAAGATAAAGCCTCTTCTACAGGCCAGTCTGACACTGCAGGGTCAAGCATCTCTTCGAATGTTCCTTTTTCGATGGCTTTCCCCACCCGGTGTGCAAGACCCATTGGAGGTTTGGCAGTGATAATTTGAAGCAACATTATTCCAAATGAGTATATATCCGATCTTGTAGTCAACATTCCTGTCTGCTGATATTCAGGATCTATGTAACAAAATGTACCCGCAGCTGAGGTCATGTGATATTGTGTGACACTATCAGCTACAGATTGTGGTACTAACCGTGCCAGGCCAACATCACTAATCTTGCTCACATAGTTGCGGTCCAAGAGAATGTTAGCCGGTTTAAGGTCCCGATGGACAAGGGGCTCAGGCTTTGCTTGGTGGAGGAATAAAAGTGCAGTTGCAATTTCAGAAGCTATTTTGAATCGTCGTCTCCATGAAATTGGAGGGGTGTTTTCTCTTCGAAGCAGCCTATCTTCCAAGCTTCCATTTTCCATGTATTCATATACTAAGCATCCATACTCTGGACAGGCACCAAGAAGAAGTACCATGTTTGGGTGTCTAATGCAACTCAGAACCTCAACCTATACATAATATACTGTCTCAGTCTTGCTGAATTATACATACAAATGAATGCTTACCAATTAGACTTCCCATTGAAGCTGCATGGTTATAGGAAATTATGGAGGCACCTTACCTCTTGTTGGAATTGTTTCTTTCCTTGAGCAGCATCAGGTCTTAAAACCTTGATGGCAACTGGTGTATGATCAAGTTTGCCTTTATAAACAGGTCCATATCCACCTTCGCCAATTTTATTGGACTGTGAAAATTTTTCTGTGGATGCTTCTATTTCTTCAATAGTGTACTTTCTGTACCGCACATCATGCGCCAAAGCATTCAGTGCACGTTTCTTCTCTTCTGCCTCTCGCTTGGCTTTCATCTCTGCATATTTTCTTTTTTGTGCCTCCATCTCTGCCAGCCTCTGTGCTTTGTCAGCTGCTTCCATAGCAGCTTTGCACTTAGCCTTCTCTATCTCTGCAATGGCAAGAGCTGCCTCTTCTGCATTCCTAGCTTCCTCAAATCTACGAGCCTCCTCCATTTTCCATTGATGAAGCTCATTAGCCTGGATGCACAATGATTCAATTTTGATTTATTCCCATCCTTTCTCAAAACTTATTAGTGTTTGAACATTTAGACAGAGAATTAACTACCTTCTTTTTGGCATTGAGTGCTTCTCTGCAAGCTGTGCTATACATGTCTATGGTCTGTTTAAGTTCAAGCTTGAGTCTTCTCATCTCAGCTTCTAATTCTCGCTGCATTTCATAATTTCATTACGTTATGACTTATGGGTATGATGCTCATCTTTAACAGATCTAAGTCTCTTGCACTATATATTTAATGTCAATTTGCACTTACTGCATTTTGTAAATATCCATCGTTGTGAGAACCCATGGAAAAGTCTGCAGAAGATATTTGGGATGCTCCGTCAGATGATCCCAATATGTATGACCCTGAAAACTCAGAATCTTCAGATGTAGAATCGCGACCAATTGACATTCTTGGTGCTGTTCCTGTCCCTGGAAAAGAGATATCAATGCTGTCCAGAGAGAGATTGGATGGAGTTCTGTTTCTTTCTCGTAATTGCGCTCTAAAAGAGTCATTGGTTTTTTCATGATGATGTTTGTCTGATCCTGTATTTCTCAAATATCCTTTTCCACCTCTAGATTGAACAAATTATGGAACATTAAATAAAACCATGTGAATATTATATATGTTTATATTAGCTTTACATTTAGTTCGAAGTTTCTTACCTAGTCCCATCTTCATGTTCTGAATGATCATGATGATTTGGAGCAGGAAGTGCTAGTGGAGGTGACTTTGGTGGAATGGGAGGATTAGCAGCAGGCCGTTGTGCTGTTCGCGCAGAGACAATCTTTCCTTTGGAAATCACGTAAACAGAACAAAAATCTGGTGCAGATTTAACTAAGCTAGTTGGCACATCTTGGTTTTTGAATTTCCTGTCCAACCAGAAACTTTATACATGGATATTTTGTTGTGAACCAATACATTCAACAGGATTTAATTTATTTTTATTATTAAAGAATTTATGAACCTGGTAAGAGCATTTCTTGTTGAAGCGCCAACAGCAATACTTCCAATATAGTGTTTGCTGATGTAGTCTAAGAGTGCTCTTGCAACATCACTATCATCAAGTACTACCTCCCTTAATTGAACCTGCATTTGATATTTAATTATAAATTATTGAAATATATAGAGTGCTCTTGCAACATCAACTATCATCAAGTACTATCCCTCTTTAATTGAACCTGCATTGATATTTAATTATAAATTATTGAAATATATATATATATATATATATATATATATATATAATCAAGATCAAATTATACAAACTATACGAACCCCTTTTCGAGCACAATATCCTCGAAAGGGAATAAAAAGCTGTTGCACCTCGTCGGACTCAGGATCATTCCCATTAGCTCCATCTACAAGATTTCCAAAAGGATTAGAGAGACGGCATATATTTTTATTTATATTCGTGCAAAATCTATAACCATACTTGCAGCAAAGAAAACAAAATGAGAAATGAGGGAGGGTACCTACTATATTGATGGTTCTTGTGTCTAACGTGAACAAGAATGATAACTGGGTTGTTGATGATAAGATGATCAATAGCCCAGCGGACAGCTTGTTGGCTGTTCTTGTCTTTATCAATGGCTACGGCGGTGGCATTGACGAGGGAAAGAACATCATCAGCAGGGACGAGAGCCATTTAGGACGGAAAAGAAAAAGAGAGAGAGAAATATAAAAGGAAGAAGAGAAAATGTTACAGTATGTGATGCCAAGAAAATTGGCACCGCCAACACTGCCGCCCACCCAAAGACCTCCAAAACTGCTGGTTGGAAATGAAGGAGGAAACAAAGAAAACGAAGGGGGGAAGTAAACAGAAGAAAAAAAATGGAGGGGGGGCGATCAGTCAGGCCAGAAAGAAGCTAACCCAACCCCAATTAGCTTCTCTCTCTTTTCCTGTCCAGGTGGAGTTGCAAACTTGCAATACCATGTAAAAATTAAAATCCATCAAAAAAAAAAAAAAAAAAAAGAAAAATCCATCAAAACAAAAAAAAAAAAAAAAGAAAAGAAAAAGCAACAAAAACTACTTTTAACGACCTTAAAATTTTGTGTCAAAAAAAAAAAAAAAAAAAAAGAAAAGAAAAAGCACAAAAACTACTTTTAACGAACTTAAATTTTGTGTCTCTCCTACATTTACTTGTTTTAGCCATTTTGACTGAGCCATGCGTTCTTCCTCCTTTATATGGTAAATTCTCTCTCTTGATGGATAAAAGACAGTATTAGTGATACAAAACCGTGATTGGTGTGGTACTGGATAAACAATTAGCGTAGGGACATACTAGTGTATTTTAATAGAAAATAGGTATAAAATGGTAATTTTCCCACATAATAATAATAATAACTGTTGTTGACGGAAAAAGTATGAAAAATTGATGGAATGATAAAATAGTAATTAATGTATTTTAAAAAATGTGGAGATGGTTATTTTATTTTGGATATAAGAATAAAATAATATTTTACAATAATTATTATTATCCTTTATTAATATAACAATAAATTTATAAATATATTTTTATCTATCTAATTAATCATCTTTATTCGCACCTCTACATTTATTATATATATTTTTCCATATTTATAAATAGCAATGTTGGCATCATAAGAATTATTTATTATATCAGTTATTATTTTATGGTAATTATAACTAATTTATATTGTATATTTATATGTAAATAAGATATTAATTTGATTTATAAATGAGGCCGTAGTTGAGCTCGATCTTCTTCTTTTTAATTTCTATATATAATTTATTCAACATACATTTATCTCCTAAATACACTTATCTCCTAAGATGGTTTGAGTTTTCTTCCCCATATACAAAAAAAAAAAAAATTTGAATTATCAAACATAATTTTGCTGCAAATTGATTTTTAAAACCAAATGATAAAAAACGTACTAAACAATAAACGTTTCATTGTCCTTCTATTTTATAGAATTGTTAAATGATTGCTTTGAAAGAAAGAAATAACGCTTATAATGTAATTTTACTTGTAAAATAACACTTTTATAAAAACTAAATCCTCTAACAGGACTAAACCCTAGGGATGAATTAGTATTTTGCCAAATAATAGTGTTGTGATAATAATTTCATTCAAACCTAAGGGACTAAATAGTTAGTTACTCATAACACTTAAATTGCAGTATAGGCCCATTTTATGACCGGCGTCGTTTTAACGTCGAAAAGCTGACGGCGCAAAGAGTTTTCATTTAATCACGAACAGGTTAAGGTCATGCGAGCCTGAAATATGAAAAATTAAAATAACAAGGTCTTAAGAGTGTCTATGGTGTTAGACGATGTCGTCAATATACGTGCTTGAACCGCCGACGAAGGGGAAGGTGATAGTGAACACGACCTACGGGCCACTGGACATTGAGCTTTGGCCTAAAGAGGCCCCAAAGGCTGTCAGGAACTTCGTCCAGCTTTGTCTTGAAGGCTACTACGATAACACCATCTTTCATCGTATTATCAAGGGCTTCCTTATCCAAGGCGGTGACCCCACCGGCACCGGCACTGGTTAGCATTCACTTTTTATCTGCTGACACTTGAAGACAATTGATTGCTTCGGCTAATTAATTGGCTATTTAGTATTTACATTTTGCTTAAGTTGGGGGTTCTTTAGGGTTTTAGTGTGTTGATTGAACTTTAGTCGCGGGTATCGGAATTGGCACATATGCTCCTCTTAAGCTGGAGCTACTCATTGAGACGTGAAATTTACTCTGTAATTCTTAAATTTTGAAAATTCAAATTGTTCCGATGACTCTGTTGGCGCCCATGATTGTTGGAATTTAACGATCTTTGTTCACCAATTACATGTTTAGAGGGGAAAAGAGAAGGAAAAAGAAAAACCGAGTGGCACTTCCATTTCACTTTCATTTTCTTCTCTCAGTATTAAAATGCTTCTCTTAGTCTGAAGTTAGCCTAGGGGAAAGTAAAAAAAAAGTAGGATCACGCTTCTTTGTGTTTCTTTATGGGAACAAATATTTTAGATTATATTAACAAAGTTGCTTAAAACTTTATGGATGATGCTGTCAGTGGCTGTTTGCCTGTTAACTATTCGTAATCTGGATCAAGCAATCCTGTGGTTTGATGATTTCTGGTAATACTTGATGGTGCTCATTGTTATTTATAGGTGGCGATAGCATATATGGAAGTCTTTTTAAGGATGAGTTCCATTCTCGCCTAAGATTCAACCACAGGGGAATAGTGGCATGTGCAAATGCTGGTTCCCCGCATTCAAATGGGAGTCAATTCTTCATCTCCTTGGATAAGTGTGATTGGCTCGATCGGAAGAATACCATTTTTGGAAAGGTAATGGTGATTTTGAATTTTTTTTACTCATTTATGATTTAACTGAAATGAGTTTTTTTTTTTATTATTTTCTTTTTTCAGGTGACTGGAGATTCAATATATAACCTTTTGGCCATTGGTGAGGTTGAAACTGATAAGGATGACCGGCCACTAGATCCAGTCCCAAAAATCAAATCAGTTGAGGTAGGCCATCTCTATTTTCTGAAGCTTACATCTCTTGTATATTTGCAAGCATAGCAATATCTGAAGCCATTGAAGCTGTGATGCATTAGGCAGTTGAGGCAGGGGCGGATTTACAATGGGGGCACTTGCCCCCACTGGCTTTTTACAGTTCAGTTTATAATTTTTTACATTTTAGTATATATAATTATGTTGATTTGTATTTATTCCACTGAATTTTTATACTTTGCCCCCACTGAATTATTGCTTTTATACATTGCCTCCACTAATTTAATTTTCTTGATCCACCCCTGAGTTGAGGTGAATGATCCTTCAAATTTTTGCATTTAGTCGTAGCATGTTTACAAGATGTTGTAAAGACTTGATGCTTGTTCACCTTGGATTTTCATGCATCTGTTATTTAATCTGTTTTATACCTTTACCTTCATACTTTTTGTTTCAATTTGAATGACTTTTCATGGAACTGATGATATTATTTTCTAAATATTATGGTTTAGTTTACTTACTATAGTCCTTCAAAATTTTCTTTTAGGTATTGTGGAACCCTTTTGACGATATTGTTCCAAGAAGAACCCCCAAGCTTTTGACCCAATCTGCAACAGAATCTGAAAATAAAGATTCAAAGAAGAAAGCTGTGAAGTAAGTTCCTCCACCAACTGCAAATCCTACATGAGCTTAAAGAATGTGTTTTTTGGAACGTGAAGATCACTAATTTCCATCAATGTTCTTACTCATGGTTTAATGTGTCTGCGCAATGCAGAAAGTTGAATTTGCTTTCATTTGGGGAAGAAGCTGAAGAAGAGGAGAAGGAATTAGCAGCTGCAAAACAAAAAATCAAGAGTAGTCATGATGTATTGGATGATCCTCGCCTCCTAAAGGAAGATCATCTGGTAATGGTTTAATTTCTAGTGTGGAACTTTTTTATCATGCGGTAATTAATAATGTCTAATATGTAATATTTCACTTTGTTATGATCCTGTAAAACTAGGATATGACCCTTGATTAACGGCTTAAAAATCAAGACATAAGGACATGGAATCATTTGTGTATACATCTCCATTTTTAAAAGTGGCCATTATTTGGAAAAGAAAAACCTTAAATAGCGACACAAATGTGATATTGGTAATCTGTTTGAATTTTCAATATATGACACTAGGGTTGTAAATGAATCGAGTCAAGCTCGAACCTGCTAGGCTCAAAACTCGACGAGCCTGAAAATTTTAGGCTGCTGAGCTCGACTTGAGGCTTCATTCAACTCGAAAAAATTTGAGCTTCAACTTGACTCGAGTAAATCTAAAATAAATATTATGTAAATGTATATATAAAAGCTCAATAAAGTTCGATAATCTTTTGATTTGAACATCATCGAGTTTGAGCCTAACTTTTTTGAACTTTTTCCAAGTCGAGCTCGAACAACTCGTGAGCCGGCTCAACTCATTTACAATTACACCCGTCTATGACACGGTCATTAGAGGCGAAAATAGGAAAAATTGTTTGGGGTGCAAAATAAAATTTTTTAAAAGTTGGGGGTTCAAAAATATAATTTTTTATATTTCTAATTATGAATATGTAATTTTTTTCAAAAAACTTTGTTGGGGATGCGGTTCCCCCCCCCCCCCCCCCCCCCCCCCCCCCTAAAAGTTGATAATTCGTTTTGAATTTGAACATCATCGAGTTTTAGCCTAAACTTTTTTTTGAACTTATTCAAGTCCGAGCCTCGAAAAAACTCGTGAGCCGGCTCAACTATTTAACACTTCACGTGCATCGAACGGTCCATTAGAGGCGAAATAGGAAAAATTGTTTGGGGTGGCAAAATAAATTTTATTAAAAGATTTGGGGGTTCAAATATAGGTGTATTTAATAGTTCTAATTTGAATTATGTATTTTTTTCAAAAGGAACTGTGTGGTTTGGATGCGGTTTCTCCTCTTTCACACGCGTCTTGGTCGCAGGCCACTAGTTCACCCGACTATTCATGGTCTTGAAATTTTTCTATGAAAATGAGGTGGATTCCACATAAATTTTTATAGAGTCCAGCTTGTAATGAGTGATAACGCTTTTATTTTCATGAGATGTTTATCTTGAATCAAACATGTTAAATACAGATTACAGACATTATTGGTAATATTATCGGGTTGGAGCTCAGGCTGCCTCTTTTGCAATGTAGTTATTTTTATAATACTCAGAGGTTAGTTGGCAAATTATATGAGCAAATGGCAAGTGCTGTCTATTTTTTCATATTGAGATTGTTTTGGATGATTACAGACATGTCTTAAGATACTTTTTCAATGCAGAAACCAATCTGATGCAAAAGCAACAAGGATCTGCCAATTATCTGTGGAGAAGCATTAAGGCTCAAAAGAGGGAGGCGCCACGTGGTTAAAGAAACAGATTCAGGTGCTGAATTTTTGGTGCCCCCCCCCCCCCTCCCCACCTAGTTTCACCCGACTTTCATGGTCTTGAACATTTTTCTATGAAAATGAAGGTGGATTCACATAAAATCTTTTATGAGTCAGCTTGTAACTGAGTGATAACCTTTTATTTCATGAGATGTTCCTTGATCAAAACATGTAAAATACAGATTACAGACATTATGAAATTTATCGGGTTGGAGCTCAGGCTGCCTCTTTTGCAATGTAGTTATTTTTATAATACTCAGAGGTTAGTTGGCAAATAATATATGAAGCAAATGCAAGTGCTGTCTATTTTTTCATTTGAGATTGTATTTGATGATCTACAGGACATGTCCTTAAGACTACTTCTTCAATGCAGAACCCATCTGATGCAAAAGCAACAAGGGATCTGCAATTATCTGTGAGAGAAGCATTAAGCTCAAAGAAGGAGGCGCCACTGAAAGATTCAGGTGCTGAATTTTCTAATAGTGGTGGCGATGATGATGAAGATGAAAATGAGGCGAATTTTGATGCAAGAATGCGCCAACAAATACTCAGAAAAAGAAATGACCTGGGAGATCTCCCGTCAAAGCAAAAGCAAAAGCAAAAGCAAAATGGTAGTCATTTATTTTCACAAGCTTTTCACTTAAGTGAAATTTTCCACCTTGACTGTTTAGTGTAATTCTTGCTTTAGATGTTCTCCTGCTAAAAAGATTTTGACTTCCCATTTTCCTAAATTAAAATGAGATCAATGAAGACCTTGCCAAGTGAATTAGTTGGTCCTGGTTGATTGCTGAATTCATTTTCAAGAGTCAAGAATGATTTCTCCTTATGAAATACTAGATGAATACACGAGTGAGCATACACTCACACACATATAGATGCATGAAGGATATTGAGCTAACAGGTTCCCTTGCCAAGTGCTTGAAATTGGTGAAAGAAAACTGTTAGAGCCCCCAATTAACATCCTGTACTTGATGTTCTCATAATTGGTTAATCACATGTTGATGCTATTGCAATTTGTTGGATAAAAGCTGTTTTATGATGGGAGCATTGTGATTCTTGTAATTGCTCTTCACTGGATATTCCAATATGGTTCAAGGCATATACCAATTTTAATAATTTTGGTGCTAGCTCAAGAAAATGGTCTAGTTTATTATTTTAGCAATTAAAATTAGAGCCATATCATAATGTGCATCATTAGATTCATGACTTTAAAAATGGCAATTCTGGCTACTGGTTGCTGATAATGTTAGACATAAAAGAAATGGTTGGTTGGCTAATTTTGTTATTTATTTATCTTTTCTGCTTTCTATGTCCTTCCATTTTAGATTACTACTTTTTCATGTTTGGCTTAGTTATTTAATGTATCTGTTCCAATTTCTATGTGCAGGAAGCGTGGACCCAAAAGACCATCAAATTTCTCCCCCTAGGTTAGATATACCTATACATGTTCTCTTTTTATTTGAGAGATGAGATGTTTGGAACTTCAGTGTTGTCTTTGAGGTAAAATACTGACTTGTGTGCACACCTGTGTGAAGAAATTACTAAAATTGCTTTGCAATGTGTTTAATTGCTAATAAATTCTATGTCTCAACTCACATGTGGAGAATGAGTGCTGACATATTTATCAAATGAAATAAGTGGTACATTACAATGTTTTTAAGGTGGCAAGAAGATGAGACAATGGGTTGAAGTTCAATAGGACAGTGCAAAGCACTTTCAACAAGAAATCAATTAGTCAGAGAATAAAATATGTATATATGTGTGTGTGTGTGTGTGTGTGTGTTCATTGGGAAATGATTTTTCATTTGTTTGTGAACAAATTAAATCTATATGAAAAAAATATTAGTTATGAAAATATGAAGTGATAATTCCCTAAGTATTGCTGCATTCAAAGCAGAGTAAAGTTCTTTATCTTTGGGATCATGTGTACCCTTGCCTAGTTTCATTAAAGGCCTTTTCCCTCTTATTCCAGTAAACTTGTCCGATTCCTGTCTGAGCCCAAGGTTGAAGCGTGCTCAACTGAATATATTGTATTATGCTGAATATAACTATTTTATTGCTGCCACATCCAGTCCTAAAAGCACTGATGATGACCAGCCAAGAGTAGAAAAGCTGTCACTGAAAAAAAAAGGAATAGGATCTGAAGCCAGAGCTGAACGCATAGCTAATGCAGATGTAGACTTACAGCTATTCAATAATGCTGAACGAGAAAGACAATTGCAAAAACAGAAGAAGCGCAGACTTCAAGGACGGGAGGAGGATGTAAGTTCTGTGTGGTTCATCCTTCTACCTTGTTTTCTCTTTGACATTATGATGATATGATCTCGTAATTCCTGAATTTTGCATACTTTTTCATTCCTATCCGTTCTTTTCGTTTTATCAAATTAACATATACCTTTTATTTATTTGGCATTATGATGTCATAAATCCTGAATCTTGCATGCTTTTTCAATCCTATCCTATTCTTTTGATTTTATCAAATTAACACATTAGATTTTGTATTGATTTCAATTGTATCCGAGAGGCATGAGGCATGGACCTCTACTATTGTAGCATTAAGATTGAAGGCAAATATGAATGAAATTTGCAAACTTAAAAAAATTGCCCCCTGAATCATAAAGAGCAACAAAATGGAAGCGATTTTGCAAAATATGAATACTTTAAGTAGAGCCACAGAAAGGAGAATTTTGCACAACATTACCATTTGGTTGTTCTTAACAGTTGAGGGGGATCTCCTCTTCTAAATTAGCAAGTTATGTCCATGTTTCCCTTCAGTTTTACTGGTACATTAGCATTTGTGGTTCCATTTTATGCGTCTATGGGTAGTTGCGCGTGCTCTTTATATTTGTGACCTACTTTTATATTTCATTTTGATGCATATTTATTTACATCTTTTATTTGATTCTGGTTTCACTACTTTCAGGTTTTAGCGAAACTTGATAAGTTTAAGAAGAGTATTTCTGCAAAGGCTAATACTTCAAATAGTAAGTCTGAAGGAGGTTACAAAGAGGATTTGTCTGACTGGAGTAATGTCCGCTTAAAATTTGTTCCGGAACCTGGCAAGGTAAGTTTCTTTTATCTTTTACCATCTCCAGTATGAATTCTGTTTATTTTCTGGGAGACTTCTTGAAACCACGTTGGCATGATATCATTTATTTTTTAAACAATGATATATTGGTGATATGCTTTGTTAAGGTACTATAGAAAATACTATGCTTGCCAAGGGTATGCAAAATATTAAGTTTTTCAACTTTCTAAATGGTGATAGGATCGTATGTCTCGCAAAGATGACCCAAATGACTATGTTGTCCATGACCCTCTTTTGGAGAAGGGGAAAGAGAAATTTAACCGGATGCAAGCCAAGCAAAAGAGAAGAGAACGGGAATGGGCTGGCAAATCTCTTACTTAGTTTTTGTCTCTGCAAATGATGCGGGTTTCTCTGACACAATGAAACTATGAGTTGGTTTTGTGGTTCCACCTTGTCTTTTACTATGTATTTTAGGCTATCAAGTGTGAAAAATTACCCAATCATGCTGGAAAAATCCCAAGAAATTGAGGAAGTTGGATGTGCATTGTTGACCAATATTTCATTCCTATACTTCACAGTCCATTTTGATTGGGAATAGCATCTTTACCGTAAACGAAGTTACTCCACAAAGGCATCTTGCCGTCATCTTTGGTATTGTGCTCTCACTGTTTCTTGCCTTCTTTTTAATATATACTGCCTAATTAATTTCTGAAAGGGTACTGTTCATTGTACATCATCTATTAAATATGGCACAAATCAGAATGTGTTTCAAGAGTCAAATTGTTTACCTGAATATTTGTAGTTAGTCTAGTCGATATGATTTTCATTTTTCCTGGGTGTTGGCCAACCCCACTAGTGGTAGTTCTGAACCTTCAAAAATTAGCATTGGAAATGATCTTGTTGGAAGAAGAGGCATTTCTTTTCTTTATTTGACCATTGGGAACAGGGATCCACAGTCTTGATGGTTTAGACTCTAATAAAGACTTGTTAAACAGCCCAAAACCCGTGTAGAAAGAACATTATTGCTGTTGACTAACTCCTTTAGTTTAGACCTGACTTTGCAATTCTAATTTTCTTTTGCGGGCGGATTGCCTGGAATTCTTGCTTTCACACTGCAGAAGAATACAGGTTGGTAATATTCACTTTAAAAATTTATCAGTTATGGGCCAGTCTATCTGACTTTGTTTCCTTGTATAGCCAAGTAAAACGTGTTCCTAATTCTATGCACTGGAAATTTGTTGGTAGTTAATGTTTTGGTTATTCTCTCCTATGTGTTTTCACCTTTCGCAGCGGTAGGGTTATTGCTAGTGACATGGTCAAAAGTAGTGGATAATGTTGAATTTTTTAGCACATACGTTAAGTGCTACTATGGCCCCCAGAAATACATTTTTATTTTGTGAGAATGATTACACTATTGATATCAGACAAAGAAACCATTACATATTATATTATTATACAATTGCTTATCTATCTATAGTATTAGAAGTGAGGAGGTTATTTACAGTAGTCGTCGATATTTCAATGTAAAGATATGATATATGTTTGTGCTGATAAAAATGGCATCAAATCATGTGAAAGTTCAAAATTTGCTTTGTTGGATTTTGTAGTTTGTCGTTTTTAATTCAATTGTTACTTGGGCAAGCTTTTTACAATAATTTCAAGCCTCGTTTTGTTTGTCATTTTTGATAAATGTTCATATAATTCAGCAATTATTCTTGAATCTTACAAGACCTATGCCATTATTTTTAAATTGCTTAATTTTTTATGGTTTCTTTCTAATCAATTTTTTACTAAACGTGTATAGTATCAAAGTTTCTACTCGCTCTCTTTTTCTTTACCTTAAATTCAAACAAAACCCATTTTTCCAAAGCAATAAAGCTTAAATAAACCTTCATCCGACAATAACACTTTGATTATGATTTAGAAGATAAAAATTTCCACCAAAGTACATACTAAATTTTGATTCTGTCCCCGAAAGTCCCTGTCAGAATTATCGCTGTAACTCAGTCAATTTTTAGGTCTGTCAAAAGTTTGTTTAGCATTATTATGCGATACTCCATGAGAATTTTATCTACAAAGTTATAGGTCTAGAATATGGAATTTCGATGGTTGGAATTGTTTTATCAAAAAGGAAAAAAAAAAAAAAAAAAAAAAATCTTTACCGTTAAATTCAAAACAAACCGACATTTTTTCCAAAGCAATAAAGTTAAAATAAACTTTCATTACGACAAAAACTTTGATTTGATTTAGAAGATAAAAATCACAAAGCTACATACTAATTTTGATTATCTGTCCACGAAAGTCCTGTCAGCAATTATCGCTGTAAACTCAGTCAATTTTTAGGTCTTGTCAAAGTTTTGTTAAGCATTATTATGAGATACTCCATGAGAGATTATTATCTACAAAGTTATAGGTCTAGAATATGGATTGATCTCGATGGTTGGAATTGTTTTTATATAAAAAGGAAAAAAAAAAAAAAAAAAAAAAAAGACTTATCTAAAAGAATGAGAAATTTCAATAATATATAAGTTATTCTTTTAATAGTTTTTTTTTTTTTAAAAAAAAAAAAAAAAAAAAAAAAAAGACTATCTAAAAGATGAAAAAATTCAATAATTATATTAAGTTATTCTTTAATCGTTTTTTTTTTTTTTTTCAAAATAGAACCCAGGTCATAGATAAAAAAAAAGACCCACACCATCAGCGGCTAGAATTTGACAAATTGCAAATTAGCATTCCATGTTTGGCATGGCAAGATACCAAAAAATCCAAACCACGTAATCCCAAGTCGTCACCGTCCCACACCTACCGCCACCATGCTCAATATAAACTAAAAGTCTAATATTTTAGCACTCGTCTTCAAAGCCGTGTTCACACTTGCACATGTCCTTCTCTAGTAATGTTTTTGTTTAAAGATGTACAATTTGAGGTGGCACCTCCTCAATCAAAGTTTTTACCCTTTTTCAGACAAAATTATCATCAAATACTCCCATTTTTATATGCAATCCTGGGTCAAGTCTAGTTGGCATTTTCTGTATTCTAATCTAAATGTTAAATGGATTATTGGGTTAAGATTGTCATCTTATTAATGATATTTGTTTATTCGAAGTTTATAGTTAAAAAAATTTCATTGGTGATTTGACCTCAAAAATTAAAATTAAATTCATTTGTTCTTCAAATGATTTTTTGAATTTTAACTTGAAAATGGGAAAGAAGAAAAAGAAAGTCAACATTAAACTCATAACCATGATTGTCAATGGATATGCTGTGTTCACACTTGGCTCACACATTCTTAAAAGAGGCAATAACAAATACTAAGACTTTAGTATTTCTTCCCTCTCTCTCCCTCTTCTTGTTGTGTCTTTGCTTCAACTCTTTTCCCATTTCTTATTTCTCCTCTTATATGAAACTCGCTTCTACACCAAACCCAGTAAAACGATATTTCTCCTCTGTGTCTGTGTACACCTTGTTGCTTGTTCAAATCCTCACCAATCCAAATGAATGAAATTACCAACACCACCACCAAGAAACGGCACAGAAAGGATAAGCAAGAAAGCGATAACGATGATGAAGATGGTGATAACAACTCATTTGAAGAAGACAGCAATAACAGCAAGAAGAGGAAACACTTTAAGGGTATAATTACATCACTGGTGTTGTTAGAAGAGCAAGAAAAGAGCGATCAGGAAGAACAAAACAAAGCCTCATATGAAGAGAAGCAATTATTGGAAGAAAACCACAAGAAACAGGCTAGAAAAATGACTGAATACTATTCCAATTTTCAAGATTACTACTCAGAAATTGAAGAAACTGACCGAGTCAAACGCAAGAAATCACGAGCTATAGCTGGTGCTGTTGCAATTTCTGCTGCCTCTAATGGGGTTGCTAAAAATAAAGCAATTGGGGATGCAAAGCAAGCGACTGGTGGTCAACACAGACGGTTATGGGTCAAAGATAGAGATAAACAATGGTGGGATGAATGCAATAGGCCAGATTATCCAGATGAAGAGTTCAAGCAAGCATTTAGGATGAGCAAAGCTACTTTTGAAATGATATGCGAAGAGCTACGTTCAGTTATAGCTAAAGAAGACACTACTTTGAGGAATGCAATTCCTGTCAAGCAAAGAGTTGCTGTTTGTATTTGGAGATTAGCAACTGGTGAACCTTTAAGACTTGTGTCAAAAAGGTTTGGTTTAGGTATTTCTACTTGCCATAAATTAGTTCTTGAAGTTTGTTCTGCTATAAGAAATGTTTTAATGCCTAAATATTTACAATGGCCCGATGAGGATAATTTGAAGAAGATAAAAAATGAGTTTGAGTCAATTTCAGGTATACCTAATGTTGTTGGGTCTATGTATACTACTCATATTCCTATTATAGCACCAAAGATTAGTGTTGCAGCTTATTTTAATAAAAGGCATACTGAGAGGAACCAGAAAACATCATATTCGATTACAGTTCAAGGTGTTGTTGATCCAAGAGGAGTGTTTACTGATGTTTGTATTGGTTGGCCTGGTTCAATGCCTGATGATCAGGTCTTGGAGAAGTCTCTTTTGTATCAAAGGGCTAATGGAGGTCTTTTAAAGGATGTTTGGGTTGTTGGGAATTCAGGATACCCTCTAATGGATTGGGTTTTGGTGCCTTATACACAGCCGCATTTGACATGGACTCAGCACGCTTTTAATGAGAAAATTGGAGAAATTCAGAAGGTCGCAAAGGATGCATTTTCAAGATTGAAAGGAAGGTGGAGTTGTTTGCAGAAAAGAACAGAGGTGAAATTACAGGACTTGCCTATTGTTCTTGGTGCTTGTTGTGTTTTGCATAATATTTGTGAAATGTGTAAAGAGGAAGTAGATCCGAAGCTGGCGATTGATCTTGTTGATGATGAAATGGTGCCTGAAGTTGCTTTAAGATCAGTAAGCTCGATGAAAGCTAGAGATGTTATTGCTCATAATCTTCTACACCATTGTCATGCAGGCACTGGATTCCTATAATTGAATGAGTTGCATTTTTCCCCTGATATTTGAATTCTTTTGGATATGTTCTTTCTTTCTTCTATATACATGTAGTTGTATTATAGAACAAAACAATTGTCATTCTTCGTGTAATTTGGTCGAAAGGGGCTATGAAAACGGTATCTGCAGCTTCAGCTGCAGCTCCTCACACCCCAACAATCAGCTGATAGTAGCATTTGTAGGTTTAAGTTATACATGTAGATCATACAGAATCATGGCACCATACCCAAATTCAAAATAAAAAGATGGATGAAGTTGACATTAGTTGTAATATTCTTTTAACATGACCCTTCTGTTAGTCTTGTTTTCAAATATTAAGAAAGCATGCCTCATGGTTTTTGTTTTTTGTCTTGTTGTTACTAGTAAGGATATACATGACTATAAACTAGTAATTTAATGATATATTTTATTCTTAAGAAAAGTGAAGGATGATGATGGATTTAGTTGAAGAGAATAGCTTTATAATGTATGTTATCTTTTACTATTGCTGCTACAGACAACTACAGGAAAGCCATTAAGAGATGTTTATGTAATTGACTTGGTTTCTTGGTGATGTCTGGAGACAATGATTTGGTAGCTTTTGTACTTTTCTTCAGTGCTCCCATATATATCTTCAAAACTGTTGGCTTTGACAAGAATTAATTTGATTTGTATACATTCATACAAGATGAGGGTGACAAAAAAGGACCCAAATGATTGAAAATAGACAGTTCTCTATGGATGTAGCCAAAATGCAATATTCCTGCAGCGAGCAGATCAGGAATGGGCATGGCAAGCCACCATCCAGTCTCATGCAGGCACTTTTACAAGTATTTAGGCCATGTTTGGCATTTCAAAGTATTTCTGTGTTTGCAACCATCTAATCAAAAATACATGTGCAATATATAAAAACAAATCAAATCATATATAATTGGTTAAGTCCCAACACAAATGAATGGCTTAAGCTTGCAACTACACCTCTGATTAATTGATAAAAAACAATAGAATTGGATCGGTAGGCATCTGTTACACAATAATACAACCTTTAAGTTCCATACTGTCACAACACTGGATCTTCAAATACAAAGGAGCATTCTATGCCGCCCGTGGCACACCCACGTAGAAATTGCACATCGTGCAATAGCAGCGTCTCTTCATATCATAACAAATACAAAGCTACAAGTTCCAGTCTCACTCCATCATGAACTTGTGATCACCGCAGGATACCAACACGCTGTTCATCATGATCTGATGGAAGCCGGAAAGGAAAGTGTGCAAAATGAATTTTCAAGACAGGGGAGTCAGGTTTCCTATCATCAAACCTGTACCCTGAAAAAAAATCCACGTGTCACAGCCTGATTGAATTATAAATTTCCCTACAGAACTTTTATTGGTTGAGCATTTCCAATATTCTTTATAAGATAACTGCAAGTGGTAAACTAAAAGAGATTATTTGCTAAGATATATAAAATTGATGTACCACAGGTATTTCAATTGCATGGTAACTGATAAAAAAAATGTTGGACCAGAATGCATACTTGTAATGAATACAAAAACATAGTTGGAATATGGATATTGGCCATCTAGTTCCACAATTTGAAAGGGGAAAGTGCAAATGCAGCATACTGTCACTCAGGAAAAGTGAGTTGACAAAAAGATGCATATTCTTGGATGCAGTTTACCTTGAAGAGCTTCCTTGGCAGTTATAGCACACTTTGTGTCAACAAACTCCACAAAGCATAAGACCATTGCCTTGTCTCCAGTCTACAGTATAGTAACATATAGAGAAAATTATTACAAACAGGGGAAAGAAACAACAAGAAATAAAAGGAATACATAATTTGAAGAACGTAGCATTATATCAGGTGCAGGAGGAGGCTGCTCGGTCATAACAGTGGGAAGTGGTCAATGTATTGGAAAATCAATGACAAGCATGTTTTCAATTATTAAATTTTCATTTTATCCTTAACAAATCATTCCAAGACGATAGAAGAACCTTTAACTAACAAAAAAAAAGTATCAGCATATTCCTTTATTTTCAACTTTTATCTGATAGGAAAATTGACAAAAAAAAGCTTTTGTTATAAGCATCTTCTGACAATACGTATAGAAAAACAAAAAAAAATCTAAACCAATGCTTTTATAAGATTTGGGGGGAAATTTTTCAGAACAAAAAATGAACAGATGTCTCAGCTTAGATGTACAATTTTAAGCTGCAAATGTAAACAAGGAAGAGCAGAATAAAATATTCACCATTGTCACCCTTAACCCACAAACACACAAAAGAAGAAGTATAATGGTACCTTCAGTTCTTCACCGAAGGACCTAGTTTCATGTAGGCAATGACATAAACATAAGTACCTCCAAGACAGTAATGCACCTATTTTCTTTTTGCACAGTAAACCTTGCATCAAATCAAACTCCATAGAGTATAGTAAAGTAGCAAACTTACACGTCTGGGCTCCTTGTGAATAACTTTGATGTCTTTGTATCCAATAAATGGACGGAAAAGATCTTTGATTATAAATCAAGGAAAAAATATAGTAGAAATAATAAAACAAACTGAAGTCATTTAAATGTTTTTCAGACATTCCTGCTTCTTGGGCTTAAAATTAGCAGGTACATTTTCTTTCTTGAAAATAGAAAATGGCCAAAATATATTCACAAACAGGTAAATTCAAAAGCACTTTAGCTGAAAATACACATTTTATTCCAGATTACAAATACGCTATGATGAACTACTATAAGGATACGGCCTACTTCTCTTCTAGTGCAATCAGTAGGGAGCCCATCAACAAACAAAATGTTCGATTCCCCTCTTGATATTGAAGGGCCATCAACATTTCTCGAAGGACTGGGCCTTCCATTTATCAAGTCCGGCACGGATGAGATAATGTTAACTGATGCATCCCGTCTTTGCCTTGGTAACTTTGTATCTTCAACAGATGGGTAACCATTTCCACTAGCTCCAGCTATTACTTCACTGATGACAGGTTCAGTACGAACACCAATACTCGAAATATTATCCAAGCCATAAGACCCAGATTGTAATGGTTTTATCTGCTACTAAAAATAAAATTTTATTAAGGAATGAAAAAACTCTGTGCACACAAATTTCATTTAACATGTACAAAATGGACTTTTAACCTCTCTCTGTAGAAACCCCGAAGCAGAATCTCGCAATTCATTTGAAACTGGAATGTGATAGCCAGAAAAATTAGGCAAACCTGAAACAACAAGATATCTTTATTAAAATGAAATCTAAAACAGCAATCAGCAAACAGGAAAGAAAGAAAGAAAAACCAACCAATAAAGCAGACTAAACGAATTCCGCAAAGTTTTGTAGAATGCAATTGAAATTTCACAATACCATGTTTAAAATAAGTGCAGATGTTTATTTCACTCCCATAAATTCAATTTCAAGAAATTCAACAAGACTAAACCAAATTATATCATTAGTAAATGAATTCCATACTTCAACAAGAAAAATTATAGCCAAATTCAATAACTATGTCAGAATTTTAAATAACCCGCACTTTCTCGCATTTTCTCACCAGCCAAGCAGCAAATAGCAGTTTTAGTAATGGACGCACAAAATTTTTAGGGTTTATGAAGTTTTACGGTTTGGATATAGAGAGAGAGTGAGAGAGAGAGAGAGAGAGAGAGAGAAAAAAAAAAAAAGGTTTGGATATAGAGAGAGAAGTGAGAGAGAGAGAGAGAGAGAGAGAGAAAAAAAAAAAAAAGTACCTTTGTCTGCGAGAGCACCGTATCTGTAGTAAGGATCCGCCAATGCTGGCTTTAATTATGGGTTTCAGCTCCCTCTTCCCGTCTTTCTGGTTTAAGGCCGAGATTGAGCGGTTATAACTTCAGAAGTGAAAGTTGAAACGACTTCGTTTAACCTTTTTGTTTTTGGGGAATATTCTTCAGCGGAGGGTTTCGTGCTCGGCCCAATTCATTCTCCACTTCTAATCCAGAAGGCCTGGGCCCAATAATGTTTACTGTCTTCTTTTTTTTTTTTTTTTTTTTTTTTTTGGCCAATTTATATTGATATTTAATGGTTTCAAAATTTTATTTTATTTTATTATTATTTTTTTTTTTTGAGAATAAGAGAAAGAAGCTTTATTCGAGTTGTAAATCCAGAAGCAAGACAGTTTCAATACACGAGGGAGTAGTTTCCCATTGATAAAAGCAAGGATATGAACATGCAATGGTGAGCTGCACTGTTCCCTTGTTCTCGAGACCAGCAAATAGAAGAATTTGCTAAATCATGCACGAGACGTTTACAATCAGGGACAATGCTACCAAGTTAAGAAAGAGAGATAGACGGACTGCAGATGGCCTGGTACAACTGCAGGCAGTCCACTTCAATAATAACAGAAGGAAAAACTTTAGTCTTGAGCCAAGATAAGACCTCCCTTAATCCGATTGCTTCTGCCATAGTAGGATTCATAACCCAATTAAAATGACCAGACAAGCCAGCAACAAAATTAATTACTTGTCCCATCACGAACTATCGCGCCAAAACTGGACTTATGAATCGACGGCGATATCGCAACATCAACATTGCACTTAAAGGTCCCTGTAGGAGGACGTTGCCAGCGCTGAACACTGCCATGTCAGTCAACCAGAGAGCTGGAAGGGAGCCGAGAAGCACGAGCCGACTGCCGTCCCTGCAAGCCACGAAGAGCTAGTGAATATTTGTTTTAATTGAAAATTATAAATTAAAATTTTGAATATAACTATGTCATTACTTTAAAATTTCTGAATAACATTTCACAGAAAAAAAAAAAAAAGGAAAAATAATATCTGACACATGCATATTTCATTATGGAGTACTGTTATATTAGTTTTCGTTTATTTTTCAATTTTATTTTCTATTGATTGATTGAAATATTAAAATAATAGAAAAACTTAGAATTTAAATTTATGAAACTAAAAAATATTTAAAATTATAAAAATTTTATCTTTTAAAATTTTATTATTAAATATGAAAATATGAAAAAGTTATATATATATATATATAATATATATATATATATTTATATATATTATACATACACACTCTGTATAGTGAGAGAGAGATTTGGAAATTCTAGATTATAAGAGGGAATTACACTAGCTTCTTTCTTTTAATATCATAAATAAGTGGTGTATTTTTCTTTTTCTAAAAATATAATTTGTGAAATTGATATTTTGCAGCATATGTATAAACATCTATATTTGTGTATATATATAAAGGAAGATGAATTCAACTTGAATATATATTATAAAGTCGTATATACATTTATCATTAAATTATCTTTTAGTGTGCACACATGTATATGTACTTTATTAGCACATTTTACTAATTTTAAATACTAAATATAATTATTATATATCGATTACAGATATTGAATATATCATTTTCTTTTTTTTTGGGAACCAACCTTGTTTCCTCAATGCTGTTTAAAAAAAAAAAAAAAAAAAAAAAAAAAAGAAAAAAAAAAAAAAAAAAAAAGACATAACTCAAAAATTTGTCTGTATCCAATTATTATTTGAACTTTGCAAACCTTAATCCAAAATATATTTTTTTTCCATGGCCTCATGGGCACCAATTTGCTCTCGTATCTAAACTTATATTTTTGGTTTGTCCTTTTTAGGACATACCTCTAAATCCCACCAAATCCAACAGCTGTTTTGACAGCTCTTCTAAAACTAATTCTCCTCTTTTTTTTGTTCCTTTTATATAAATGTTTAATAACAAATTAAAAATTTTGTTTAAAAAATAAAAATTTAAATTCTGATAATTTTCCTTGAAGTGTTTCAATATGTCAAAAGAAGTTAATTACTAATTTTAATAAATTAAAAAAAATTACTTGTGAGACTAGTCACAACATAGAATATTCGTAGCCAATGAAAAAAAAAAGCTGCTTGCTTACCAATTTGAAAGAGCCACATCAGTACATGGAAAAATTATAGTTGGTCAGCGATTGCAGTGGATCCATCACACGTGGCCTTAATTATGGTACAGCGCAACACATCGCAAGATGACATGGTATGGCAGTATGTTGCCGGTTCACAGCTAGATTGTGGTAAGATTTCGCTGCAAATTCCTTTTTAAAAGCACAATTTGTGCGCGTGCAGTAATTAAATTACTATAACTGAGACGGAGTTAATTGCATCTATTTGCATACACATTTGTTTTGGTTTTATCATGAGTTTAGAATTAGAGCTAATCCATCATTAACTTGATCAACGTAATGCAAGCGATGCTCATTTATTTCCAACCCATAGACCACCGATCGGTTTGGTTTAGTTTGTCTGATTTAATTTTTTCAAATCAATTTTGATAGAAAATATATTTTAATTTGGTTTGATTTTTATTATGTAAAACCGAAAAATTTTAAAATCTTTAAACCTATTTGATTTATAAAAAATAAAGTTAAAATTAAAAAACAAAGTAAATCTAAAAGTTGGGTTCGATTCAAATTAATTCAAATCAATTGAATATTAGTACATAACCTCTTAAACAAGAATTGCAAAACCCACCATATTATCATTCCTAAAAATTGTTTAATTAGTTTCATTAATATATTTTTATCTTTCCATAATGTGATAATTAATATATTGTATAAGAATTTTTATTAGAACTTAGAAGTAAACAGCCAAAAGCCAATATTGAGAATGGAGCTACAATAACATTTCCTTTTTATTTATTTTTTTCTTTTTTTTCTCACGCCTGATGTCCCACACAAAGTACAGTCAGATTAATATATCAATTAAATGTGTGAGAGCATAACAGAGGAGACCAACTCACACTTTAAGCAGAGACGCCCAATCACGGGCCAGAGAATTAATATATCCACGTTACAACAGTGCAAGTGAGATACACGCTCCAATCGTGTGCATAACGTGGGCCCTGCTGTAGTTCCCTTGTTTGTTTCTAAAATGCGATGAAACGTAATGCATGATCCAATAGCGACACTTTTCTCCAGCTCACGTTGAAATTAGCGCGCGTGAGCCCATCACTCACCTCTCATGACAATAATCGTTAAACTCCCTGGTTAATTAAACAAATAGATTTCATCCTCTGTTTTTGGTTCAGGGTACAATCATGCGAACGGGATGTGAAACGTCGCCGAATGGTGATGTAAAGGTGTCTGATTGGATGAGTATTACTACTTGTACAAGGTCGGTGCAGAGGATCACAAGGCCTTGCGTTTTGGGGGGGTTTTTTGAGGTTCTCTCTTCGCATCATCTCCTCGTTGTTGCAATAAATGAGAGTTTCAGAGAGAGTGTGTGCTTGTAGAGAGAGAAAGTGAGGTTTTAGAGAGAGAAATTCGAAGACTCAGCCTCAGAGGCTGCAAGACAGGAAAATAAATTTCTGAAGGAAATTAGACGTGTAGATAGAGGAAGAAAAAGAGAATGGAGGGTATAGAGGGGGAAGGCAACGGAGAAGAGGAAGTGTTGGGATCGAGCTTGACGATGGAGAAAGTGGCGGCAGCGAAGCAGTTCATAGAAAATCACTATAGAGCTCAGATGAAGAATATTCAAGAGCGAAAAGAGAGGTATCTCTCCAACTCTACTACAGATTGATTGATTAGAAATTTAGAATTCGCTATACTTCATTTTTTTAATGGCCTGTTTGGCTGCTGTAAAAGACTGAATTGAGATTTGTTGAATGTTACATTGTGCATTGTCTGGGGAACCGAGAGAGAAATCCATAATGTTGACTTAGCTGGAGTTGTAGACAAGTGTTAGGCTTAGTTGATTCAGTGATTAGTTTTTTTCTCATTCATTGCTGTGAAATCTATTATTAGAAGCTTGCATTATGGGATCTGAGAAGTAAACTATACATTGGACTGTGATGTTTTTTGGGCACCGATTTTTATATGGCTTAGTTTTACTGTCTCTGCATATCACTTTACTCTGTCTGGTTCTGGTAGCTGGAGAAAATGTAGGTAAAGGGAAGAAAGTAAAACTATATACTAGACTGTTGTTAAATTGGGAGTTCAACAGATTTCATCTAGTTGGATGTTGTTCTTAATAAATGCTAATTACTATTGTGATGAAGGCTTTATTTGTTAATTTTTGAGAGCAATAATATTAGGTGCTGTATTAGCTGTCTTCCTTTAGCATTTGTAACTATTCATCAACAACTATGGTTTCCTTTCCAAAAAAAAAAAAAAAAAAAAAAAAAAAAAAAAAAAAATCAAGTACTATGGTTTCAAAAGGTCAATTAGCAGAGATTGATCAACATTTCCTTTTTTTAATGATAATTCCAAGTGCATAAAATTTTTCTTCTGAAATCAACAATGAGATACATAAGTGTTATTTGTCACTCCCATATCCAAGGATACTCACAACTACTGTCATCAGGTTTAATTGATTAGATCGGATGAAACATTTGATTTTCATTTTTTGGAGCGCATGCAAGGCAAGACAGGTTCCAGATGGTTCCTCTAGATGAGTGGGATTGTCCCATCACCATCTTTGGTTACAAGAAAATTATCACAAACTATTGTCTTTTTTTGTTTTTCCTCAGATAGTTTCACAACAAAGTCTTGGGATGAAAAATTATACTATCTCAAGAAATTTCTGTGGACTTCTGCGTGATGAGAGCCTATTACAAACTCTTAAGTATTCATTCTTTTGTGATTGAAATCTCTGCTAATTTTTTTCCCAGGTGTTTTCTCCTTTTATGGAAATATTTCCTTCTATCACCTCTTCTGTACATTTTGAGATTGACAGTACTTTTTTTTTTTTTTTTTTTTAACAGACTTTTTTTTTTTTTTTTTTTCACATCTATTAGCGTCATACTCTGAATAACATGGGTAATTTTTTTTTTTTTTTTTTTTCACATCTATTAGCGTCATATCTGAATAACATGGGAATTGTATGATACACTTAAACACTTCCAGGTCACTGCAGAGTTCCTCATTGCATGGTTGGATGGATCTTATATTATAAAAAAACATTAATTCTTGATCTTGGGCAAATAAGACCAAAATCCTAGTTCTCTTAATTACTTACTGAAGCTTCATTTAGTCAATGGATATCCTGCGAAAGAGGCATGTTTGCTATAACTTCATATCTCAAGTCTTGAGTTGTTGCTTTTAGGACCTTTTAGATAATGCAGGACAAAGTTGTGATCCATATCCTCAACTGTAATCCAATGCTTTGAGACAGTGCAAACCTTGATTTAGAGATTCTTTTTCTTAGTAGTTATTGACATGCTTGCTTTAAAGTGCAGTTTTTGACTCTTGATATCATGATTGACTTCCTCTGCAGACGATGGGTGTTAGAAAGGAAGCTAGCTTCTTCTGATGTGCCCAAGGAGGAACAGATCAATCTGATTAAAGACTTGGAAAGAAAAGAGACAGAATTTATGCGACTCAAAAGGCATAAGATATGTGTTGATGACTTTGAGCTTTTGACAATCATTGGTAGAGGAGCCTTTGGTGAGGTTAGGGATTGCATGATAACCACAACGGGTTGAATGAGTCATCATTTCTTAGATTCTCCTTTTTTGTTTCTCCTCTTATTTGATTACCATGAGTTGGTGATTTGTAATACATCTTTCTTTGAAACTTTCTTTGACAACAGGTCCGCTTGTGCCGGGAGAAGAAATCTGGCAATATTTATGCGATGAAAAAGTTAAAGAAATCTGAAATGCTAATGAGAGGACAGGTAAAATGAGACATTATAACTTGTATATATTTTTGAAGTTCATAGCATATAATGGTTGTCACATTTTATTGTAGTACTGGACCCTACACTCTGTTTCGTGTTTCTCCCTTCCTGCAACTGCCTCCAAGTGTGGGAATTGTTTGTGTGGGAAAACTGAACAGGTTAAGGGAACTGGTGGCTTTTACAGTTTTCATTGACTTTGTCTATGGTAATTGTAACTTGTAAATGACTCGATGAAAAGATTTTGAATATGTTCTGTGATAACCTTTTGAAGTACATTATCTAGTTGCAGTGGTCCTTTTGCCTCGGTTTGTTAGCATTTGAACTCTTTTATGGAGTGAGCACTGCCACTTCTGCTTTATGAAGATCTGATTTGTATCACTTTGTATGATGCTTCTCGATTCTAGTGAAAAAAAAAAATGTATTTCTGCTCTACAGGTGGAACATGTAAGAGCTGAAAGGAACTTGCTGGCAGAAGTTGCAAGCCACTGCATTGTCAAACTATATTACTCATTTCAGGATGCAGAGTATTTATATTTGATTATGGAATATCTGCCAGGTGGTGATATGATGACTCTGCTGATGAGGGAGGACACTTTAACTGAAAATGTGGCTAGGTTTTATATCGCTCAAAGTGTCCTTGCAATTGAGTCAATTCACAAACATAATTACATTCACAGGTTGGAAATCAGTGTCAATATGCTTAATTTTGAACCTGGATCATGTGGTGGCTTATTTCTCAACTTGCTTTAAGTTGGATACTTTCATTGAATATATTTCATTCATTTTCTTTCCAGAGATATAAAGCCTGACAACCTTCTTCTGGATAAAAATGGTCATATGAAGTTATCTGATTTTGGCCTTTGTAAGCCTCTTGATTGTACAGTTTTATCTGTGATTCCTGAAAATAAAACGATTGGTGATGAAAGTATGACCGAACCGATGGATATTGATGGAAGTATCCCTGATGCGGACAATAAGAGTACTTGGAGAAGCCCCCATGAACAGCTTCAGCACTGGCAAATGAACAGGAGGAAGTTGGTAAGGAACTTAATTTTATAGATATGTTTAACTTCTTAAAGAGCATTCAGATCATGTCTATAAGCACAAATGTGGAACTGGTTCAAAATTTCTTTTGTCAAGATATAAGCAGGTTGAAGAGCATAACTTTGTAAATGATGTAAATTTTCATCTATAGATTGAGTACTCTCAGCCTAATTTCGATTTCAGTTTATCCCTGTCAACCTGTTCAAATACTCAAATATATGGATAGTTGTCTGCTTTGGTTCCCAATAGCTTGTGGCATTCTTGTTGATCTTAAGCACAATTATAATAGACTCTGAACTTGAATTGAAATTGAATGTCCTTGTGTTTTAAATTGTGTCCAAATTCAGTTGTTACCTTGCAAATACTTCGCTTTATTAAAAGATTTTGAGTCAGTACCCAGGAAAAGACTCTCCAGACATTTCCATGGCTTTGATTGTATATTGAGCATGGCACATGTCATCTAATGGTGCCTCTACACTGACACTGTAAACATTTTAGCTTTCAGAAGGGAGTGGCTGCTAATGTTACAGATTGTTGCCTTTGTAAACTCTATTACTTAGAGGCTAGAGAGGCACGCACATGTCTAATGGATTTGCCTATAGCATGGTCTGATTAACATTGCACTGGAGCTATAAGAACCTTGGCTGTTAAGATATTATGGTGCTTTTTTTGACTATAATGGTGATTTCTTGTTTTTTCTATGAAGGCATTTTCAACTGTAGGGACACCAGATTACATTGCTCCTGAAGTATTACTGAAGAAAGGATATGGCATGGAGTGTGACTGGTTAGTTTGCGACTCCGTTTTGATTTATTCATTAAAGTTCTTTTCGATTGAGTTTTGTAATTCATTGCAGTTTTAAGTTTTGTTATTTTTTTTTTCTTTTGATTCATTGGTTATCTTCTTTTTGCTTGATGTATTCTATATCTATTTCATTCTAGCATATCGTGATCTTAAGTCTAGTATGTCTCATAGGGTATTGTAGATGCTAACTGTAAATGCAGAAACCTTGTTTGTCTTTCTTTTATATATATTTGTGATTGTGTCTTGTTCTAATTATCAGTATGTAAATGGTAATTGTTACTTCTTTTTTCTTTTGATGAACTCCATTCAGGTGGTCATTAGGAGCAATTATGTATGAGATGCTAGTTGGATACCCTCCGTTTTACTCAGATGACCCCATAACCACATGCAGAAAGGTATTGCTATCTGCTTCTGTTTATTACTGGAACCGTAAGTTATCCTTTTTTGTTTGGTTTTCTTCAAAATTCCATTTTCAGCTTACCATTTTGAGTTTGGGTTAGCCCTTATCTTTGTACCAATACTGTATCAAGCTAGATGTTGTTGGTCATTTTTCATTAGGAGGTTGGCTGTGTAGCATAGGAGAAGCTAGAATGATGTTTTGGCACTATGATGCCAAATAATTTTCCTTGATACCTTGTTGCATATCATTCCTTTGCTTTCTGTCTTTGTTTCTAGCATGATTACTTAGATATTTTATTAAAGAGCAATTCTCTTATTATTGAATTGAATTTTCTTTTTTTTGCTGACACTTGTTCATCACGTACTCAGATTGTTCATTGGAGAAATCACCTTAGATTCCCAGAAGGTTCAAGATTGTCTCATGAGGCAAAGGATCTCATTTGTAGGTTACTATGTGATGTTGATCATAGGCTAGGTACTGGAGGAGCACACCAAATTAAAGTAAGAAATTTATGTTTATTTCAAGGTTTTTCCTTTGCTTCAGTCTTGGGTTCTTCCTTAAAATAATTAAGATCCTTCCATGTCAGGGTCATCCTTGGTTCAAGGATGTTGTGTGGGATAAACTCTATGAAATGGAGGCAGCTTTTAAGCCAGAAGTCAATGGAGAGCTGGATACACAGAACTTTATGAAATTTGATGAAGTATTACATATCTGCTTATCTTTCCTTTTCTTTTTTTTTTTCCTTGTATTTTTTAGAGCTTCTTTTAATGACTTATGTGTTCTCGTATTAGACCAACTTCTGCCCATTTTATTTCAAAGGAGGCTTATTTTAATTATGAGAAATTAACAGCAATGCTGAATTAAGAAAAATTAAATATTTATGGCTTGTCCTATGATGTCTTGCCACAGCAGGAAGTGATGCTTATAATACATTAGAAGGTAGAATAACATGCAATAACAATTATATGCACAGATGACATACTTTTGAAAATACAGCCATCATATCTAGAATTTTTTTTTTTTTACATGAACTTTTGGAATTTACATATTCTATCTCTTGGACAAATCATAAATCCTACAGTACCTATGATTAGAAGCTTGAATAACTGTGTCACTTTAGTTTAGTGTCATGTGAATGTTTATCTTTAAAAGTCAATATACCTTTTGCCTATAATGCGTAGTAACAGCATTGGGTGAAATTTTCAGATGTCAACACTCTGTAAATGCATTCTGAAAAAACTGTCAGAATGAATATCACCTAAATTGTGGCCACGAGAAAGGTCTAAACTGAAAGCTTGTTTGGCTTTCCTTCAGTTAGATAATCATATGTTGTCCTTTTCTTTTTCTTGTTATAATTCTGTTAATTATGGTGTCTTCTTAGAATACTGTAGTTATGAGTTATAATTTTCAATTTGTCATCAGTTGGACTCTCCAGCACCTGCAAGAAGTGGTTCAGGGCCCTCAAGGAAGGTATGTTGTTATTCTTGTTGTCTATAAATCAAAATTTAATTTTTACTGGCAGTCATTGTTATCATAGCTTCATTCCATCTATAAATTTTTTGGGTAAATTTGTGCATTGGCAAGGTCTACACTTTTGATTTATCAGTTCAGATAGTTACTTGTAGATTAACTTTAACTAATAGAAATGCAATAATATAGGAGTTTTCCATATTCTGAAAGTTCTCTGTATTGCTTTCAGTGGCTGTTATTTTTGGCCTGCACTTCTTATAAAATTGCTTTGAATGTATAAATATTTTTGTTCATGCAGATGCTATTAACTCCCAAAGATTTAAGTTTTGTTGGCTATACATACAAGAATTTTGATGCTGTCAAAGGACTACATCCTTTTGGTATGTTTTTCAAGCCTGACTAGTCAATATTATCTAGTCCCTAGCGCATTATATACGTTTACTAGTTTGAGAGTATGTCTTCTTTCTTCAATGGACATTTGGATGCAATTATTTCTGCTTATGTAATTATCAAGGGTAGAAATGTATCTTGTTTATACACATTGAACTCAACAACGAAAAAGAAAAAAAAAAAGGAAAAGCTCTATACTTGCATAATTGCACAAGCCGCATGGGTGACGGAACATCTCTAGGCTAGAGCTGTAAATGAACTGAAATTTAATGAGCTCAAGCTCGAATTGAACTTGGAAAACCGAGTTCGAGCTTGGCTTGTTTACAATTTATAGTTGGAAAAGAAAAAGTTGTAGCTTGTTTACGAGCTTGAGCTCATTTACAAAGTTATTTGCTATTATAAAGCAGGGTTCGTGAGCCTCATTTCAAAGCTCAAGCTCGAGCTCAGCTCATTTATTAAACGAGCTCGATAAGCAAGCTTGAGGTTGGCTCGTTAAACTTATTGAATTAGCTTTTTCAGGGCCGAGCCTTAAGCAGCTTACAAGTGGCTTAGCTCATTTACAGCATTTTTTCAGGCCAAGCTTTATTTTCCAGTTTCTTATAATTTATGAGAAGAATACATAATACAATTTGTGTAGAAATTAAAGGAAAGAATATGTTTTATTTCTTTCAATTGTGTTATATTTTTCAACCTCTACTCCACTATATATATACAAAAAATTGTTCCATGTAGAAATTAAGAAGGAAAGAATATGTTTTATTTCTTTCAATTGGTGTTTATTTTTCAACCTCTACTCCACTAATAGTATATACAAAAAATTGTTCCAATATAGGAAGCAATCTAAATAGGAATAAACCCAAATGGAATAAACCTAAATTAGGAAACACAATCTTTACACTAATTAGGAATAAACCTAAACTAGGAAACACAATATTTACTTTAATCACAAAGATTTCAACAATTTGGGCATTTGATCAGTATGCTGGCAATGTAGAGATGACAGGCAAGTCTAAGCCCTTTCAGAATGAGATAGTTTATCAAACACCTTAGTTTGCATCCCTCAGAAGAATGGGATAGGGGGAACAATATGGAGGAGATAGGTTAGCCATATGGGTGAAACAGTTCATGAAGTGATAAGCAAACAGGATGAAATGAAATCCGTGAAATGATAAGAAAACAGTGTAAGTACATAAATAAAATAAAACAAAAACAAAAGCCAATTTTTTTATGTCATGGTATCAAGGGTGTCCCTATATTCTGGTGTTAATTTTGAATTCCTCGCTTCTGCTTATGTTTGTGCTTTTTTAGAATGTAATGCAAAGAAATTAAATTCTATAAACCATTTCAATGCTTGCAGATCTCAAAGGAAGTATGTCACCGAAACGGCCATCCATTGATTCTATATTCAGTATTAGATCTTACTTATTTTTCCCAATTTTTTACTGATGGTTGTTCTTTTGATAGCTGAATCTTTATGTATGCAAATTTATTAAGCTTTGTCGATGATCTGTATAGGTGGTTCTGGGGCAGATTATACTACCAGGCCAGCTGAAGAAACAGAGGTGCAAATGTTTGCATCGTCAGGCGATCCCATGGTACCATAACATAACAAAATGGCTATTCTATTTCGAGTTAGGTGTTTCTCGAAAATCCCATATCTAAGTGTGGGTTGGCTGCCATACAACTTGCTTAAGTGTACAGCAGTAATTGAGAAACTTGTTTAAAGTCCAGTGATGGGTTAACTGGTAGGTAAAGTGAGATTTTATAGCTGAAAAAACACATTGTGTATTAGATTTAGCTATAAAACTTATGTCCTGGCTGCCCAGGTTGGCTGTGGTAAAAACATGCCTTCTCTAGTGGCAGTTTCTGGTCAAATTTTAATGGAAGCCGGAAGCAAAAACTACTTGAGAAACTCGATAGCTTTCTAATGAATTATTCCCCATTTTTAGTTTTGTGTGTATGTTGTTGTGGCCAAAGCGAATAATAACTGAAGAAAATATCTAAGAAGTAACACTACAGTCGTTGCTCAAGTAGCTACTGCTCATGTGTTAAATTATAATTCCCTTGTTGTATTTTGTTATCATTGAAATTTTCCTTTTTCTGATTTATTTAACTTGTCTTCTAAGTTGGATTTGTATTGTTAGTTAATGGATTTGATCATCTTAATATCTCGTACCAACAGGTCTCAGGTGCTCGTACAATTATTAAGCAAGGCTTGCAAATGTCTTCGTACACAATAATTTCATATTAGAAAAAAAAATTTTAATCTATTTTCCCTTGCAATATCAACGCTAAAAAGACTCAATGCTGCTGTCATGATCAACACACAATAATTTCATATTATATTACTCAACACACTCCAAAAAAAAAAAAAAAAAAAAAAAAAAAAAAAAAAAAAAAAAAAAAAAGAAAGAAATTGCTTAGAATATGTAATGTTTTAATCTCAATTATGACTTTCACTTTGAAGAAATCGACAGATCATTATGGATCGAGTTCGGATTAGATTTTGCAACATGCATGTCCGATTCAATAACAAAAGTTATGTTCATCAAATATCTGTTCCGCATTCGATTGAGCCTATGTCATATATCATTTTAATATACTTAAATTCATTAATAAGACCCTACCTTTTATATATATATATATAAAAACAATCGGATTGGCTCGAGTCTAATTGCCCACTCCATCTACAAATGGATTAGGTTTTATTAGCTGAATTGGGATCCAATTGGGTTGAAATGGAGATCGCTACTTCCAATGTATTATATAGTGTTAGGCCTATATATGATAAGTATTGGGCCTAATTCCGCCCAAGCTTGGGCTTAATATTTTGAGGGTAAGCCTTGAAGCCTATATATGTTCTTTAATAAATATATAATACACTTGTTACTGTAGGGCATGGTTGTTTTAATTATCAATGTATTAATATTTTAAAAAAAATACTGTAGTCCAATATTTAACATTATAATCCAAATAAACTAAATATTTTCTATTTTGACAAAAAAATGAAACAACAAACATCTACGGGATAAATATAATTTGGTTCGTTTTCTCTTTTGTAGAGAGTTGAAAAATTTAAATTTAAAGTCCCTCAACTTTGAACATTTAAAAAAAAAAAAAAAAATCTACATGATAACGCCTAAAAATATAAATTTTTTTTAGCTCATAAAAATCTAAAGCTATTAAAATCACACAGAAGCTGACAAGATCTACTAAAGATTCTATTAATATCTTCCTGGACATTGGCCTCCCGTTCTCTTTTAACCTCTGTTTTCAAATTCCAATATCTTAAAAAAAAAAGTTAGCCATTGCTTTATTAGTTTCTTTCTTTCCACCTTTCAATTAAAAAAAAAAAAAAAAAAAAAAAAAAAAAAAAACTCAAATGCAATGAACTAAAATTGCCAATATATTAATAACTGAACTTATTTAGAAAAATTACCAATTAAGACTGTCTAAGATCTATAATCATCATTGCTAATATTTCATTAATTAGTTTATCTTCTTTTGTCTTACAAGATTTATTTTATATCCTCAAAAGAAAAGACCTCAGAAAATGATTGAGTTATACTTATGGCTTTATATATTATTAAAATAATAATAATAATAATAGACTCTTTCGAGCATGAGATGCAAAAAGAACAATAACTATGGATTGGAGGAAAAGGAGGAGCATAGGATGGGTGGAGATGCTCCAATAAGCTCTTCTAGATTTGACACCTGTCCATCTCTCTCCCTCACTCACTTTACGTTGTCTTTTTCTCTGCTTGTTTTCAATTCTTTTCTTTTCTTTTCTTTGCCAGAGTTATTATTTTTATACTAATTTTCTTCGCCACTCCCTTTATTGTTCTTCTTCCGAGTCTTCAACGCCCAGATATGATTTATATTTATGTCAAAGGTTAAAAAGGAATCAAAAATAACCATTACTTACTGATCATACTTGAGCTGTTACTAGTTAAGTTTTAAATGGTAAGCAAACCCCTCCATTTCTTTGATTCTTTCTATGATATTTCTATGGTTTTCGGAATTTAATTAGAAATAAAGCAAGAAGATAGAAGGGAGAGGAAAAGGAAAGGAAAGCAAAAAACTTTCTTGAACAGTTGACTCAAGTAGGTTATGGTGACTCCTTTTTTTCTTTTTCTTCTTTTTGGCTCGTCTCTCTTTGTAGATTAATTGCAGTAATTATTAGAGAGACAGAGACTGAGAGGAGAGTTAATTTACGAGAGGTTGATATGGGTTGCTTCAGATCTAGGGAACTTAGAGTAAACATGTGAAAATGAGTGCCATCTTTTTAGGTTTTTTCTTGTGATTCTTGGGATATCAGCTTTCCTGGGTTCTTTTCATGACTCCTTTTACTTTCTCTTTCTTGTGTTTCAAGATAAGGGGTTGGTTTCATATTTAGTTTTTTTTTTTTTTTTTAGAATTTTTTCTTTTTGGATTTAAAGTTGTTTTCCTGTTTTTTTTTTTTTTTTTTTTTCCCTCTCACATTAGATGGATGGAAGTAGATTTTTTTTTTTTTTTTTTTTTCCCTCTCACAATAGATGATGGAAGTAGATAGAGAAGAGTCCAGAGATGAAGAAGCTGATAAAGCTTAAGCAGGTGTAGGCCTGTCCATTTATTAAGGTGATAAATTTCCCAAAATGGAAATTTGGGTCCATTCTTGTTGACCAGATCTGACTGTCAATTTCCTTTTCACCACCTTTTAGCTGTTCACCCATATCCTGCATCTTGTAAATTTTGGTTTTGATTTAGTTATATTCAGCTTTCTTTATGCACACTTTTTCTAAAAAGACATGGAAAATTGTTTTCTAAAGCCCTCTATTCTTCACATTCCAAAATCATTCTTGTTAAGAGAACTTGATAATTTAGTTGAATAATGACAGGTTTTATGATTTTAGACGGGTTGGAGGGTAACTTTTCGTACTGCCCAGATAGGGATTTTGATGGAGGAGATGTCTCCGACGGTTGCAGTGCCATTTAGAGTAGGTAACTCAGTCTGTGAAAACCCAACCATTGATACCCATTTGGACATCACTAGGCTTAAGTTTATGGCAGACAGGGCTCGCTTATTATCCAATTCTGTAACTGCTAAGGACAGGGATTCTAATTGTGGTGATTTGGATAATGAAGTTTGTGATGCAACAGTTACAGTTATGGAGGAGGACAAAGGGGGAGGAGAAGGAATCCCTTTGTTGGGTATGATTTCTGAAAATAAAAGCAATGGGGTTGTTAATGATGATGTGATAAGCCGTGAAAGTGAAGATGATTCTTTTTCGTTGGAGGGTGATCCCATTTTTGATAGCTCTTGTTCTCTTTCGGTGGCTAGTGAGACTAGCAGCTTATGTGGAGATGATTTCTTGGGTTTTGAGGCCACCTCTGACATAGGTACTCCAAGTTCTGTGGATATCGGAAAGAGCATTTGCAGTGTTGATGTAATTTCTAATGCCACGCATTTGGTTGAGTCAAATGTTGAGACAGAGGCTGTGGGAGATTCTGTTTCTGTTGCAGTGAGCCTTGAGGAAGAGAATGGAGATGAGTCTGACCTGAAGCCATCTGCAGGTGTATTTCAAATGGCTCTGGAAAGAGAGGTTAGCGGGACTGTCCAACGCAGTGTTTTTGAGGTAGAATATGTACCTCTTTGGGGATTTACATCTATATGTGGAAGGAGACCTGAGATGGAAGATGCATTTGCAACTGTGCCTCAGTTTCTGAAAGTTCCTATCCAAATGCTAATTGGTGACCGGGTCTTTGATGGTATGAGCAAGTATATAACTCACCAAACGGCTCATTTCTTTGGAGTTTATGATGGTCATGGAGGCTCACAGGTAAGATTCCCATCATCTTTGTTGTCTTGTATATTTGTTTCTTACTGTTCAAAAAAATATGCAATTTATTTCTTTCTTCAAATGAATGTCTTGCATGGGTTTGGTGCTTTGTACAGGTGGCAAATTATTGTCGTAACCGTGTCCATTCTGCTTTGATTGAGGAAATAGAATTCGTTAAAGCTGGCCTGAGTGATGGAAGTTTGAAGGACAGTTGCGTAGAGCAGTGGAAAAAAGCATTCACCAATTGTTTTCTTAAGGTAGATGCTGAAGTTGGAGGAAAAGGCACTGCTGAACCAGTTGCCCCTGAAACTGTGGGTTCAACTGCTGTTGTTGCCATTATTTTTTCATCCCACATTGTAGTAGCAAATTGCGGAGACTCAAGAGCTGTTCTATACCGTGGTAAAGAACCTATGGCATTGTCTGTGGATCATAAAGTAAGAGCTCCTCAAAACTCTACAAGCTTGCTTCTTCCGTTGACAATTGACTGGCAAGCTGGTTTTCATTTGTTGTTTCATCTTGTCTATGTTATTCCAGCCAAATCGAGAAGATGAATATGCGAGGATAGAGGCAGCTGGAGGCAAAGTTATACAATGGAATGGGCATCGTGTCTTTGGCGTTCTTGCAATGTCAAGATCCATTGGTATCTGCTTCTTAACCAAGATATTTATTTTCTCATTGTCAAATTCAGCTATGCATAATCAACATCGATCACCAGGATTATTTTTTTTCTGTTATTTTCATGTTCTAGAAGCCTAATCTCAAAGGTGTTAAGTTCAGAATGAGTACATTCACTTTGGGGAAGGACTTAACTTGAGGTGGTATCCAAGGACCATTGAGCCATTGCTGTCTATTCCCCTTTTTGTTTCTACTGCTGAAATTTTGTAGGATGCAGACATAGCAATACTGTTATCCATTAGCTGTCCGTGGAATGACTATAAACTTAAAAATTTTGGTTTGGCATAAGGAATTAGGAAGTCAGAATATGCCTGACCCTTAAAAGATAACTCCTTTGGCTATGCCATCAAAGACAAGTGACAACACAATAAATTCTTGCTCGTACAACTTCCATTGTGGGAAATTTTTTTTTTTCTTACTTGAGGTCTTAGACTATGGGATGTTTGATGTGAAGATGCTAGTACTCATGTTGAACCTCTTGATGTCATTTTGATCTGCTTCTCAATATTGGATGGGTTGATTGGAGCAAAACCGGTATAAGCAATGAAATCAAGATATTAGTTGGATTAAATTCATTTGACGTGCTTTAACCCTAAAATTATCAAGAAATGAAAAATAGTTAAATATGTCTGTAGAGTTTTCTGCAATTTACTTATCCTGGTGCTTCTTAAAATATTTACCTTCTGCATGAAATGAAATTTTTGTGCATTTGGTGAATTGTTAATGATATTATTGTGGACATGTCTTCATAGCAGTAGAAATCTATTCGGAAATGTTTTTAATATGCAGAGGCAGTGTTCATTTTGTGAAAGTGCAAGATGCAATAATGAATCTGCCTTTCTTGTACTGAAGATTGTGCTTATAGAAGAACAAGATGTACGGAAACTCTCAGCCATAGGGTCCATTTTCCCATATAAAATGCCGTTTCTCTGTGTAAAAATTATATTTAAATCGCATATTTCCATTTCCATTTCCGTGCAAATAGTAGAAAATTCTCAATACATGAAGCTACTAAAGCTTGTATGCCATGACATAGGGTTGGTTGTTCTGATATTCATCTGTGTAAACAGTGAAAAGATTGCCATGCACCATTCCTATGCGGAATGTGTGCTTGTGGTTTGAGAAATGTTTTCTTTGTGAAGTTAGCTGCAGCTCACTTCTTTGCTGCGGGCAGAAATGTTAATGCTATCTGTGATTGCAACTACTGAAGTAGATCATATAAACTACACTTTTGAAACCTTACCTGGATGGATGCAGGTGATAGATATTTGAAACCATGGATAATTCCAGAACCAGAAGTGAAGTTTATCCCTCGGGCGAAAGAAGATGAATGCCTTATTCTAGCTAGTGATGGTTTATGGGATGTAATGTCGAATGAAGAGGCATGTGATCTTGCTCGGAGACGAATACTTGTGTGGTACAAAAAGAATGGTTCTGCGTTTCCCATGTCAAGGGGTGAAGGAATTGATCCTGCAGCTCAAGCAGCAGCGGAGTACCTCGCAAACCGAGCTCTTCAAAAGGGAAGCAAGGACAACATCACCGTCATCGTGGTGGATCTGAAAGCTCAAAGGAAGCTAAAGAACAAAACGTGACAGTTGCTTTCTATTTTTCTTGCAGCTTTTTGAATTTGTTAAAGACCTTCCGGAGGGTATAATAGAGTTATGCCCATCTGTTTTTCACATGGGCGTTATGGCCACTTGTATGTACTGTGGAAAGTGGCGCCATTCTCCAACTCTCATTCATTGATTTGAAGAGTTCATTCATACATCGTCATGCCTATGTAAATGTTTTTAGCTATTTGTTTTAGGGATTAGTAGATTGTGACAGTTCCACTCTTCTACCATGCTTCGACATTATGGGCAAGTTGTATTCATTATATGCCTCCGAGTTAACACAAAAAAGAGGCTCTGAGAGGTATTTACTTCCAATTATTTCAATTGCCTTTTGTTATTGTAAATGAAATAGCAAGCCGCTTGTTTTATTGTTTGTAACATTTACAGCTTATGTAAATTACCTTGCACATGCAATTATGCCAATAGATACACTACAGCACAGTAAGGATAATCTAATAATAGATTAGAACAGAGATGATTAAATGGGCAAAGCTTAACGGCGTTGTTAGCTCTAGGGTTACACATCTACAAACAAGGTTGAGATTAAAAGAAGAGGAAGGGGGAAGGGGCATTAAAACAGTGAACCATGTGGAACAAGCTTAAGGTCCAGAAATATATCCATTGTGATCAAGGGTTGCCAATGGCATTCACATTCACACGCAATGTTCTTATTTTTTGCAAATTGTTACAAGAACTTGAGAAATTCCTTAGTATTTCCTGTATGCCAATTCCTTCACAGCCTCCGGAAGTTGCTTCTCATTCTGAACACTCTGAACCCACTTTGCGTTAATGTTGACCCTCTCAATACTCTGCTTCAAGGTTCTAGCAATTGCAGGCTTAGTGCGGGTTGCAAAGAACTCTTCCACTTCCTTAGCCTTCTCAAATGAAGCAAACTGTAAAAATTGAACAATGTCGAGGAAATTTAACCATATATCTAATGTTATTTGCAGTATACCATATTATTTGGAAAACCAAAAGCAGAAATTAGAAACTGAAGAAACCAATAACAGAGCAGAGGAAGGAGGCCAAACCGGTGAGATAATGGCACTGACAAAGCGAGTTATTAAAAACCCAGCACCCCAGGTTTTTGAAATGTGCTCCCAGTTATCCTGTATTTCCAAAATTTAAAGTGTTAAAACTTTTTTCCCTCGTTTAACTTAACCATTAAACGATTAAAAGAAACAAGCAAAGTACTGACAAAACTAGAACTCATCATGAGCAACTTTGAGGACAATGTCTTCATGATTTCAAAGAGACTAGCAGGATTAGATTATTACCTTCAACCATGTCCAAGCTGTTTCCCGCCCTTCCTTGCAGACATTAAGTCCAAAGACAGCATCTTGACTGCGAACCTAAATGGAGTAAGAAATAACTTAGGATCATGTAGATGAAAGACACTTTTGGCCCTTAATCTAAATATTAACTTTCATATCATTAAGGTGAATCTACAAAACCCAAGACCTACCTCAGAGGACAACACAAAGTTGAGAACTTCAAGAACTATGCTGGGATCCGGACAAGATGCCAAAGAACCTGAAAAGTATTGGATGAATAATTACCAGACACTCATCAATTCATATATCTATTCTACGACATTTTCACATGAGTCATCAGTACCCAGAATGCGTGTTTTCTCTTGGCTTAGATCAGTCTCTCTATAGACTCTTAGAAGAGATTCATAATCTGATCTATTTGATGCACTAACTCTCTGCATTACTGCCACATATGCTGCCTGAAACCGTTGTCCATAACATTAATGAGTTGTAATTAGATGAACAGTGACTTTTAATACATATATGATGCTTAGTAACCTTTCTTATATCAGGTGGAAGGAGTAGAGTATTTCTGTCTTCTACAAAAGCATGAAATCTCCTACTTGCTTCATCTAGTGTTGGACCATGTCCAAAAACAGCAAGGGCAGTCAAAAGTTCTCCCCTCAACATTGCATCAAGATGGCTTTCACCTTGTTTAGGATCCCAACCAAGTTTCCTGAAATTCAAACATTTGAAAAAGTTGGAAGACAAAAGTACAAAATCAGAGAGAACATCATGTTGCTTAAAGAAAGTAAACAAGCATTCAATTTGCACTAGAATTAAGAAAATTAAGATTCTTGCTCTTTCGGCTTGCATATATCTCCGTACTCGTGAATGTCTGGAATAACTAAATATTTTCATTCCATCAGGTCAGAGTACCTTCCACCTGAAACTCACTGGCAATTTTTAGGCCCTTTGTAATTTAGTTATTTACTAAAATCCCAGTGGAAGATTTGGAAGAAGATATAATTGGAGGACATTAACTACATTCAATGATTCATAAATATGTGATTAAAAAATACCTTAAACCTGTGAGTTCAGTCATATAACCCAACAAAAAATATAGAGCATTATAGCTGTGCACACCCTTCTCCTGTGAGCAACTTAAATGCAATGGATGCCAACTTTATAGGGATGGTGTTTTCTGTACAGAACTCAGAAAAGAGTTCAGAGTAACTCGTCCAAGAAAAGAATAGAAATTTACAGATTGCATTTTTAGCATGATATTTGCATTTTTTTGAAAAACAATTTTACTAGGTTATCACTTACCATCATGCAAGATTCTAAAATGCAAGAAATGTTTATGTTCTACTTAAAGTTGCAGTGAATCCATGAACTACTATATTATCATGTTTATGAATAAAATCAGCATCTTCTAAAAACTTTAATCAAAATCACTTACTCTGCAGAATACTGGAAAAGGTTAATAAAAAATTGGTTAATGTGCTCCAATAATTCAGGGGTTGCATCTGATACAATCCTTGTAACTTTATAAGTTATCTGTGAAAAGAAGAACAAATAATTAGAAGATTAATGGAATAACTGAAACAAAAGCTTGAATTTGATACAGAGATGAACATTACACTAATCAAGTTAGACAGCACAGTATACTCAAGTTCGTCCCTGTAAGCTCCCATCAAAGTAAGCAAAGATGTCAAGGATTGGTGACGAGCCATAGAAAGCGCAAATGTATCATCCAAAATACCTTTCAGAAGTACAACTAGATGTTAGCTACAATTTTTTAAAACCAAAGAAAAAAGTACAAGTGATGCAAGTCAAGTGACCCCACCAAATCTGTCTGTTTCTGTCAGGTACTTCTTCTCTATCGCATATCTAAGTCTAGCTGCAAGCTCTTCATCATATTTCACCCTATAGAAACCAGTCTGATTCACATTAATTTTTACCCAAGAACTATTTATCTCCACAAGGCCGGATTCCTTTGCATCAAGAGTTTCAGATTTTGTTTGCAATAAAAAATTCTTGCATGCATCATACGAACCACAGCATAAAGTTATTGGAACAATCCATTGCCCATCTCCATGGGAAGCACTAGACAAGAATTGTACCTGCCATATATTACATTCAGTTGTAAGAGTAAAATAACTTGTCTCATGAAACTGAAACTTGTATAAATGTCAGATACCACAATACCTTTAAGAAAAGGATGTAATCTCAAAGTTCAAATGGATTATAGATGAAGCATTTAAAAAAAAAAAAAAAAGCATAATAAAGGGTAAGACACCAGAAGAGAAAGAAGACCTGCTCAAATTCCAATTTATGATCTTTGAGTTTGACAGATACAACAGGGTACCCCTTTTGCCTAGTCCATGAATTCATCAACTTATTCACAGGCTCACCAGATCCCTCCTCAAGGGCAGCCCACAAATCTTCTGTCTTCGCATTCGAGTAAGCATATTTTTTAATGTATGAAGCAAGAGACCTCTGATAGCATACATAGGCAAAGTGTCACAAACTGTGTTAACTTTCACAAGGAACAAGTTCTTGAATTTTTAAAGTAACAAAAAAAGAGGATTAAGAGATAGCAGATCAGAAACCTCTCAAATGAGCAAGAAGAAGACATACTATACAACAACAACAACTAAAACTTAGTCCCAAAATCGGTTGGGATTGGCTATATAAATCATTTGTTTCCAATTTCCGCTCTAATCAAATTAATAACAATGCAAACCAAAGTATAATTTGGAAAAAATTTTGAAATACTTTTTGTAGGGAAAAAAAATTTTTGAAAGCGGAAAAACTTTTTTGAAGACATACTACAAACTCACAATTTCTCAGCATGAAGACTATGTATGTCAGCTTATGCATGGATTTAGTTATTAAATAAGAGATCACATGACTTCTTAATCAGATAATTAGAAATATGGTTGATTAGAAAGGCAAAACAAAGGAAAATGATATAAGCACTCTTCTAAGCAAGGTCTAGCTTCAATAAAGAAGAAGCTTTGACTTGCAAGACATTAGAGCACTAACTTGAAAGGGTTCAGCACCAAGATAGCTTTGCAGCATTCGAATGACAGAAGCACCTTTTCTATAGCTTATTGCATCAAAGATCTCATCAATCTCACTAGCATGATTTATATCCACCTGCAAAGAAAATGTTATTGGAATATAAAATACTTCATTACTTACATAAGACTAAAAAAGAAACCTAAACTGAGTTCATTTACCTCAATGGGGTGGGATTCCTCAAGGCCATCAAGTCTAAGACCTTCAGTAGTTTCATCAAGAAACTGAGTCCATATCTTCCATTCTGGAAACAAGTGATCGGCAGATAGATAGCTCACCTGCACGAATAAAAATAAATAATCTATTAATTATGTATTAAACGAAAGGTACTGCAGAGCGCAAATACACCTGAGAGTCAAAGAACATACCCAGGTAGCAAAACCCTCATTAAGCCACAAATGAGTCCACCATTCCATTGTCACGAGATTGCCAAACCACTGATGAGCCAGCTCATGAGCAACAACAGTAGCAACCTTAAAAGCAGCCCCAGAAACAATTAGTAATGCCAAATCTACATTTGCAAAAGTCAACCGGGGTGGAAATTAGAAATTATGAAATGCAAATACCCTCTGTTTGTTGGCAGCAGCAGAATGTTTCTCATCAAAAAGCAAGGCTGTCTCACGATATGTAACTAAGCCGTAATTCTCCATGGCCCCAGCAGCAAAGTCGGGAATTGCAATCATATCCAACTTGGGAAGAGGATATTGAACAGCAAAATATCTGCAAAACTTATCTTAGTTATTTGATAATAAATGTCAAACAAAATTGGATAATAGCTTAATACTAATAATGGGCATTGATTTATATCTATCTCTTCAAACTGGAAGACTCTGGAAAATGATCAGAATATTGGGGAACAACGTGATGATAAAACATACTCTTTATATAATTCAAGCGTCTTCACAGCAACATGCAATGCAAAATTCCCTTGATGTGCCTTTCCAACTTGACAATACACTCGAACTTTGATCCCTGCATAGATTTGCAATACTACAACATGAAGAAAAAGGGTTGTACCATCACCAACAAACAACTGAATCAAAGTACAATTGTACCATCAGATGTGTGATCTTCAACATAATCAAACAAACCAACGACAATTGCCACCAAATATGTAGACATGATAGGTGTTTCCTGGTAGGAAACTTTCTTCAGAGGTCCATCCACTTTCTCCTCAAGAACTGGCATATTGGAAAGAGCTACCAATTCAGATGGCACATCTAGAGTGATCTTGAATTTAGCCTGCACCACCAACACTCATTTGGTCAACAGAGTTACATTTATAAATAAAAAGAAGCAGAAAAAGCACGTGACTGATACAAAAGCGATAAGAGAGACCTTGCAAGCAGGCTCGTCCCAACATGGAAAGCATCTCCTAGCATCAGCAGGCTCAAACTGAGTAACTGCCATATTCTTCTTCTCCCCGTTATGCTCATAAGTACTGAACGGAACCAGCCAAAAAAGAAAAATTGAAACTTGAATGAAACACAAAAAAATTTTTTAAATTAAACTTTCAGGACTCGAGAATTTAATAGTTAGAATACCTTCTATAAAATCCCTTCATTTTGTCGTTCAAAACTCCGTCGAACTCAATCGCGAGAACTCCCAAACCAATGGGAAGTGTGTCATCGAATTCCAACACCAGTATCTCATCGGCTTCCACCAAATCAACTTTCACGGGCTTAAACACCTGGTTTACAATGGCAGCTAATTTCAACTGACAGAAATTTCGAATATTAACAAAAAGAAGTAACATGGTTAGATCAGAAAATACCTTAGAGGAGGTGAAGCAGACGGAGCCGGGCTTGACAGAGAGGTCAGCAGCGTTTAGGACAATGAATTTGGTAGCAGTGACGATGTCAAGGTCGATAGAGACAGTGCCGGCGAATGTGCAGGCAGAGAGGTCCGGTTTCAGCCGGATATCGTATCGTTTAGGGGCAGCGAATTTAGGGAGGCGAGGCTGACCTTTGAACTGATCCATTTTTAGCTTGAAGTTCACGAATTAGTGTTGGGACTGAGATCGGATGGTTTAGGAGTGAAGAGATGAGCGAGAAATGAGAATTTATAGAGATGGTGTATCTGCACGGCGCCGTTTCATGGGTAAGTTGACTGTAGAACGTTCTTGTCGCTTAATGGAATTTTAGAGGAAAATACTTTCTTTGGTTTTTTTTTATTATTAGAGGAAATAATCCACAACAAAATTCAATTTTTTAAGTCCTCATAATTTCTTCATTAAATCCTTTTTTTTTTTTCAATTACATAATTCATAATATAAAAATAAATTTTGACCGGGGTAAGTACGGATCCATGTAGAAGGTGAAAACATTCAGAATAATGTTCAATTTGGTAATCAAATTTAAAACAAGTTTGATATAATTTTAATATAAAATAGTTCATTTTAGTTTACATTTCTTTTTTCATTATAAGTTTTTTTTAATATCTTTTTTTCATTATAAGTTAAAGAGTGGCTGCTAATCTAATTTATATTGAAATCCAATTAAAACTAGTAATTAATATGACCAAAATTATGATGTTTAATTTTGATTGCAGTTTTAAAGTTTATCAGTCGAAAATCGCTCATTTAGGAAATTTTCAAGTATACATATTTTATTTACACATTAAATGATCATTTCGAAATTAATAATACATTTTTTATATATTTCAATATTCATATTTTACATGAAAAAAAAAAAACATTTCTTTTCCCCGTCAGTGTTATTAAAAATTACATTACTTATTAATTTTGTTTGATTAATTTCATTGTTTTATTTGCTTCAATCACCTTAATTTGGGAACAAATAGTTTGAAAGCATTTAAATGATTTTAACAAGTGAGATAAAGAATATTTAGCCCAAAAATTAATTTAGTGGAGAATAAAATTATTCATAATGAATAAAGAATATATAGAATAAAAATTATTCATAATGCTTCAATCATATTTTAGAATAAGAATATATATATATATATATTGAAAATCACTTAATTTTTTTTTTTTAAAGAATCACAAGTGTTTTTTTTATCATATAGTGTACAAATTTTTAACTCTCTCAATAAATATATTTTATTTTTATTTAAATTTATACTTTTATTTATTTATTTTTTTTAGTATCGGGGAAATTTTTAAATTAAAAGGAAATGAGGTAAAAAAATTAATCTTCGAGTAGGAGGTGAAGACATTCTAGAGTTCCACATGCAATTATATTAATTAATGCTAATTCATTTGAAAAATTATATTATCTTTAACACGAAATAATCAATTTGGATTTCCTTTACCATTAAAAGCAATAAGTGGCCATTAATTTTACCCCAATAAAAATCAGATTGGAATTGGATTAGGAGCTTTAATTTCAATTCAGTGACACTTTTTAGACAGAATAATTAATTAATGTATTTATCAAACAAGAGAAACGAAAATTGTAATTATATCAAACTTGAGGGACTAAACATTTAGTTACCAAGAAAACGACATCGTGCTTCTTTGGGAGCAACTGTACGGGCTGGGCTGAAGCCCATTTAATTCTCTATCCATTTTATTTTATAATAAAAAAAAAGAGAGTTTTAGACGTAAATTAAATTGGCGCGACGGCGCAAAATCAACGACAATAGCGAGACAAAAGGAAAATGCGGGATGGGTTTTACTAGGAAAGACAAAAAGACTTCCTCTTCTTCTTCTTCTTCTTCAACATCGCCCTGTGCTCAGCTAAGAGCTGCTTATCATAATTGCTTCAACAGGTCAGTCTCCTCGCTTTATTCTTTACCTAGTGTCGGGATCTTTCAATTTATTTCCAAAAAAAAAAAAGAAAGAGAACTTTCCTTAAAACCCCTCTTAAACTCTAACGCTTGCTTTTTCTCTGAAATACCATATTTGTGTTATTTGTAAAGGTGGTATTCAGAGAGTTTTGTGAAGGGTCAATGGAGCAAAGAGGAATGTGTTTCTGAGTGGGAAAAATACAGAGCTTGCCTATCTGTATCTTTCTTCCGTTCCTTTTCTTCATTTTGTTATTTTATTAATTCTTAGAAATTAGATAAACTTTCGTTTTTGTTTTATATTTTTATATCTTCTTTCATGTTTTTAACAGGATCATTTGGAGGATAAGCAACTGAGTCGGTTCTTGGAAGCTGAAATCCTCCCGGTTGATTTGGGAAACGGTGGCGGTGGCGGTGGCGGTGGCGGTGGCGTTAGCGTTTCCCAGTGACTTTCTCTGTTTTATCTTTAAATAATAATCTAGAAGACAAGTTAAGGTTGACTGCTTTGGCTTTTCTGAATTTATTGCTTTAATGGTTTTATTGATGGTAACATAAGAAATTAGGGTTTTATTGTTCTTCCAAAACTATGTTTTTAATTGTTATTGATCTTGTACTTGTAAGAATGAAGGATGTCATATGTGGATGCTGGGTGAGAGTGAGATTACTAATTAATATATGTATGTGAGTGGGACAGAATTACTACTTTATCAAAAGTATATGTAGATATATTGTTACAGTTGCAGAGTCGGTAAACTTGATTTGAAACTAGTAATATTGTTCGGCCCTGCCTGCCTGAGCTAAACAGCAGTGATGGCATTAAGAAAAAATTTTGATAAGCCTTGTGATCCCAAAGGGAAGTTTATTGACACAAGGCACGGGTTGAATGATATTATTTAGTTAAGACACTGGTAAATGCATAATGCTCTATGTTCAATAAGTCCAAGTTCACTACTTGAATGTTTTAGTCAAATTTTGGTTTTGTATGGTTTTCTTTCTCATAGATTTGTTTTTGACTATAATGCTGCTACTGCAGAGGATTGTTTTAGGATGAATGGAGGCTAGAAGTTGTAAGCTAAAGGTACATAACTTTACCCCATTCTAAAATTCTGTTATTGATCATTCTTGTTTTTCCTTTCATAATACGGTTAAATGTGGCACTTAACCATGTGTCTTTTGAGATGTTCTTATGGAATGACTATTCAACATTACCTTGGATCTTCTTTCTTTTCTTTCTTCTTCTTGTACTTTCTCAGTATCTACCTATAAAAGTTGAAAGGCACTTGAGGTCTTCAATAACGTCTATACCAAAATCTTTAAGTAATATCAGCTGGTTGGAAGGAATATGTTACATCTAGGATACATGTTACTGTTTTGAATGCTGCAATTCCATGGTTTAATAGCGACTCTCATAAAAAAAAATATCGTACTAGAATCAATTCCACCCCCAACCTGCTTTTGTGCCCTGAATCAAAAAATGTCGCCAAGGTATATTTGGTTAGCTGATGCAGGCTTTCTCTGCTACAAAAATTGAAGCTGAGTAGCCAAATTGCCATGTCTTAATCCTTATACCAATAGAATCTCTAGATGTCATGGGAGTGTAAGAACATGGAGCAAGAGGTGCCTTACTTGGTGCATAAAATTGTAGCTGAAGAAATGTTTGAGAATTGATGATTAGTATAGATCAGCTGCCTCAGGACAATATATTGCACTTGCAGTTTCACTTGCTGTCATTTCCCCCATTAAGTCTAATTGTCTGCAATATACTGAATTAAATGTACTTGCTCATAAATCATCATGTTGACATTTGTTTCCCGATAACTACCGTATGCTTGCTTAGTGCAGTGGAGGATTTATCTGAACAACCTCTGGTTCTGGTTTTGTTCAGTGATTTGGACTGTCGGAAAGGATCCTGCAGTTTATTTTTCCAGCTAGGTACAGTTGAATTGCTTCATAGGTTGTATGACTGAGGTTATTGGTGCTGGAAATTCTGATGCACCGTTGTTGAAGAATTTTATTCAATATTTGTTTATTACTGTTATGAATTTTGATTTGGAGATAAAAGCGTATTGCCTCCAACAGTTCAACTCTGTTCTAGGAACCCCATAACCGTTATTTTTATTATACATACAATCGTGTATCACATTGACAAATTTGACTATCACTAGTGTTTATCTTTGTTTACTTAAATCAAAATAATCGTACTGTTAAAACTAGCAAAAAAAAAACCCAACATAGGTCTTCAACATAAAAAAGAATGCAACATAAAAAAGAGTGCATTTAACATTAACGGTCATTTTACATTTCATTTTAACAGTAATGACAGTTAAAATTTTACTATTATTTTCAAACTCTCCCAACTTTAACTCTATACCGTGGGACTAAAATGATTATAAAACCGGTCCATTACTACAAGGCTAGGATAGATGGTGCTCATTGGCTGTCTCCTACAGTAAAGAAAAGAGCAGGTTCCTTTCGTCAGCACGCTTCCTCTAGCTGTAATAAGAAAAAAGATGGATTACACCGGTTTATGAAAAGAGCTCTCTATATACACCGACATTAATCAAGTAATTGCTATCGGTCTTCTGCTATCAACTGGAATAAACAATTAAATTAAATAGAGTAATAGTTTGTTGATTTGTAATAAACACAAGATTCAAATTAAAACAATGAACAATGTGGAACAAGCATAAGGTCCAGAATATGTCCATTTGTACATGGGTTGCCCATGGCATCTACAGTCACACAGTGTTCTTATTTTTTGCAAATTGTCACAAGCATTTGAGAAATTTCTTAAAGGAAAATGCATCCCTAGTATTTCCTGTTTGCAAATTCCTTCACAGCCTCCGGAAGTTGCTTCTCATTCTGAGCACAGTGAACCCACGCTGCGTTAATTTTGACCCTCACAATACTCTGCTTCACGGTTCTAGCAATTGCAGGCTTAGTGCGGCTTGCAAAGAACTCTTCCACTTCCTTAGTCTTCTCAAATAGAAGCTAACTGTAAAAATCAAACAAAGTCGAAAGGCAAAAGTACTAAATCAGAAAGAACATCATGTTGCAGAAAGAAAATGTAAAAGCATGCAATTTGCATTAGAACTGAGAAAATTCAAATTGTTGCTCTCTTGACTTGCATAAAATCAGCATCTTCAAAAAACTTCAATTAAAACCACTTACTCCACAGTGTAGTGGAAGAGGTTAATAAAAAATTGGTTAATGTCCTCCAATAATTCAGGGGTTGCATCTCCTACAATACGTGTAACTTTATAACTTATCTGTGAGAAGAAGAACATATGATTAGAAGATTAATTGAACAACTGAAAGAAAAGTTTGAATTCGATACAGGGATAAAGATTACATTAATCAACTTGGACAGAGCAACATACTCAAGTTCTTCGCTGTAAGCTTCCATCAGAGTAAGCGAAGACGTCAAAGATTGGTGACCAGCCATAGAAAGGGCAAAAGTATCATCCAAAATACCTTTCAGAAGTACAACTAGATGTTAGCTTCAATTTTTTAAAACCAAAGATAAAACGTTCAAATTGGTGCAAGTCGAGTGACCCAAACAAATCTGTCTGTTTCTGCCAGGTACTTCTTCTCTATGGCATATCTAAGTCTAGCCGCAAGCTCTTCATCATATTTCACCCAATAGAAACCAGTCTGATTCACATTAATTTTTATCCAAGAACTGTTTATCTATACAAGGCCGGATTCCTTCGCATTGAGAGTTTCAGATTTTGTTTGCAATAAGAAATTCTTGCGTGCATCGTATGCACGACAGCATAAAGCTATTGGGACAATCCATTGCCCATCTCCATGGGAACCACTTGACAAGAATTGTGTCTGCCAGTTATTACATTCAGTTGTAAGTGTAAAGTAATTAACTTGTATCAGGAAACTGAAACTTGTAAAAGTGTCAGAAATCGCTACACCTTTACGTTAAAGGATGCAATTTTGAAGTTCAAATGGTTCATAGATTAAGCGTTGAAAAAAAAAGAAGATGAAAGACATGCAGCAGAATCAAGACCTGTTCAAATTCCAAATTCTGATCTTTGAGTTTGACAGAAACAACAGGGTACCCCTTTTACCTTGTCCATGAATTCATCAACTTATTCACAGGCTCGCCAGATCCCTCCTCAAGGGCAGCCCACAAGTCTTCTGTCTTTGCATTCAAGTAAGCACATTTTTTTTATGTATGAAGCAAGAGACCTCTGATGGCATAAATAGGCAAGCGTAAGAAGCCTATTAACTTCATTAGAAGTAATGAATTTGTAAAGTAACAAAAAAGAGGATTAAGATATAACAGATCAGAAACATCTCAAATGATCATTTACAAGACGCATACTATAATCTCACAATTCCTCAACGATAACATGTACGCATATACTTAGATTTAGTTATTAAATGAGAGATCTCATCACTTCTTAATCACATAATCTGAAAGATGGTTGTTAGAAAAGCAAAACAATGGAAGATGATAGAAGCACTCTTCTAAGTAAGGTTTAGCCTCAACGAAGAAGCTGACTTGCAAGACTCCAAAGCACTAACCTGAAAAGGTTCAGCACCAAGATAGCTTGCCAGCATTCGAATGACAGAGGCACCTTTGTTATAGCTTATTGCATCAAAAATCTCATGAAGCTCACTAGCATGCTTTATCTCCACCTGCGACGAAAATGTTATCGGAACATAAAATGCTTGACTACTTTGTACTGAAACGAAACTTAAGCTGGGTCTATCTACCTCAATGGGGTGGGATTTCTCAAGGGCATCGAGTCTAAGTCCTTCTACAGTTTCATCAAGAAACTGAGTCCATAACTTCCATTCTGGAAACAAGTTACAGCAGCTAGATAGCTCACCTGGACGAATAAAACCAACGAGTTAGTGATGATGTATTAAATGAAATGTACTGCATCAAGCGTAAATAGACATGAAAGTCTAAGAACATACCCAAGAGGCAAAACCCTCATTAAGCCATAAATGAGTCCACCATTCCATTGTTACGAGATCGCCAAACCACTGATGAGCCAGCTCATGAGCAACAACAATAGCAACCTTAAAAGCAGCCAAAAGAAATATTAGCGATGCCGTATCCACAGTAACAAAAGTCAAAAGTGGTGGCCAAAAACTAGTACTTAGGATTTAGGAAATGCACATACCATCTGTTTGTTATAAGCATCAGAATGCTTATCATCAAAAAGCAAGGCTGCCTTACGATATGTAACTAAGCCGTAATTCTCCATGGCCCTAAAGGAGTCAGGAATTGCAATCATATCCAACTTAGGAAGAGGATATTTAACAGAAAAATATCTAAAGAACTTATCTTAGTTATTTGAAGTAAGTGTCAAATAAAACTGCATAAGAGTTTATACTAATAATGAGTATTGATTTATAACTATCTCTTCAAACTGGAAGACTCTGCCAAATGATCAATACATTAAGGAACCAAGTGATGATAAAACATACTCTTTATATATTTCAAGCGACTTCACAGTGTTAGGGCCCGGCAATAAAATTACGAGAATAATAACACAGCGGAAAAATAGAAATACGACACACATATATTTAAGTGGTTCACCCTTTAACTGTTTAGGACTATGTCCAAAGGGACAAAAAACCGAATATTTCTTCCACTATTAAAAATAGTATGCTTACAAAGAGAGTAATACAAAAAATAGTGGCGCTCAAAAGTGTTTTCCAAAAACACTCCAAATTATAGAGTAATACAAAAAATAGTGGCGCCAAAAGTGTTTTCCCCAAAAACACTCCAATTATCCTCCAACTATTTTCTCTTCCCTAATTTTAGAAACAAGTTCTAAAATTTTTGATTTACTCTCTAAACACTCTCTCTTTTTCTTTGCTGTGGTGTCCCTTGAGCTCTAGCACCATCTCCTATTGTATAGGAGAGGTTGGACGTGTTAATCAGCATCTACCGAAAAAACGATCACCTACTGAAAATATAATATATATATATATATTTTTTCAAATGTTGGATCCCAGTTGAGTGGGCACCGCACAACTAAATCTCCCCTGCACACTCAAAGTGGGGGACGTTAGCCATACCGGCTATCTTTTCTATCTTTCTGCAAGTGACAAGTTTCTCTGTAGGTAAAGCTTTAGTCATCATATCAGCGCCATTATTATCAGTGTGAATCTTTTCAATCTAAAATAACTTCATCTCCAACGCATCACGTATCGAATGATACCTCACATCAATGTGCTTTGACCTTGAATGAAAGGTCGAATTCTTGCGGAGATGTATCGCGCTTTGACTATCACATAGCAGAATGTACTTCTCTTGTTCTACACCCAATTCTTGTAGGAATTTATTCATCCACAAGAGTTCTTTGCTAGCTTCTATAATGGGAATATATTCCGCCTCAGTGGATGAGAGTGCAGTGCAACACATTTTTGTAATTTCCCGATTGCCAAAGAAACTGCTGCTCCTTGCAAGGTCATCAGATATCCAGAAGTTGATTTGGCGCGAATATCAACATACCACACATATAAGTTGATTTGCGTGAATCAACATCACCACCCATATCTACATCTGTATAACCATCTAACATAGGTCTATTATCACCAAAACATAAGCAGATTTTGGAAGTGCTCCTAAGATACCTGAGAATCCACTTCACTGCATTCTAGTGTTCTTTACCTGGATTTGAAAGAAATCGGCTAACAACACCAACAGCATGAGCAATATCCGGTCTTGTGGATACCATGGCGTACATCAAGCTACCAACGGCAGATGCATAAGGAATCTTCTTCAGTTCTTCTTTTTCTTTCTCACTTGAAGGACATGGACTGAGACTTAATTTGAAATGACCTGCAAGTGGAGTACAAACTAGTTTCACATTGCTCATGTTGAATCTGCTGAGAATTTTCTCTATGTACTTCGTTTGAGATAACCACAACTTTCTTTGTTTCCTGTCTCTAGAGATCTTCATTCTGAGAATCTGTTTTGCCGATCCCAAATCCTTCATGGCAAAGGATTTTTCAAGCTCCTTTTTCAAGCTCTCAATTTTCTTAGCATCATGGCGACAATTAGCATATCATCCACATATAACAAGATAATGATAAAGTCACCATCTTCGAAACTTTTTACAAACACATAATGGTTAGAAATAGTTTTCTCATACCCATGATTTACCATGAGAAAGAGTCAAACTTTTTGTACCAACGTCTGGGGAGCTTGTTTGAGGCCCATACAAGCTCTTTCTGCAATTTTAACACCACTAAGTGTTTCTTTTGCCTTTGACTTCTGAACACTTCTGGCTGCTCCATATTAAATTTCGCTCCTCTAAGTCAACCATGAGAAAGCGGTCTTTACATCAAGTTGCCTCTATCTCCAAATTCAACTAGTTGCTAAAACCGAGCACAACTCTTGATAGAAGACATCTTGACTACGGTGAGAAAATTTCTTCAAAAGTCAACTCCTTTCTTCTGAACCGATCCCTTCAGCACCAGTCTTTGCCTTTGTACCTCCGGCGTGAAGTTGTTCTGTTCAGTCTTCAATCTGAACACCCATTTGTTCTTCTCCAGTGCTGAGGCAGTTTCACCAACTCATAAGTCTGATTCTCATGCAAGGACTCCATTTCATCTTGCATGGCTTTCCACCACTCATTCTTTTTACAATCTTCCATTGCCTCCTGGTAGTTTTCTAGTTTTCCCCCTTGAGTCAACAAGTCATACTCATTAGGAGAATATCTCTGGGAACGTATCCTGCCTCTCGCAGATCTTCTCAATTGAGGCAGTTCTTCTGTAGGACCTGGTTCAGCGTCATTGTGAACTGGTTCACCATCGTCTTCTTCATCGTTTTGTGGTTCTACACGAGGTTCTGCATCAAGACTAACAGGAAACTCATTGATAGACTTTGGCTTTTCATTTTTCTCAAAGTCTTCAATGGTTTGGTCTTCCAGGAATATGACATCTCTGCTTCTAATGAGCTTCTTTTCGACTGGATCCCATAATCTGTACCCAAAATCATCATTTCCATAAACCAAGAAGATACACTGTTTTGACTTCGAATCAAGCTTGGATCTTTCATCTTTTGGAATATGAACAAAAGCCCTGCAGCTAAATATTCTACGATGATCGTAAGAAATATTTTTCCCTGACCACACCTTTTCTGGTACATCTTTATTGAGGGAGGTTGAAGGTGAAAGGTTGATCAAGTAAAAAGGTGAAAGGTTGATCAAGTAAACTGCAGTATTCATTGCTTCAGCCCAAAAGGTTTTCGGAAGTTTAGCATCAGAGAGCATACATCTAACCCTTTCAACAATGATTCTGTTCATTCTCTCTGCAACTCCATTCTGTTGTGGAGTTTTGGGAACTGTCTTCTGAAGTCTAATGCCATGTTCTGAGCAATACTTCTCAAATGGACCTCTGTACTCACCACCATTATCAGCTCTAACACATTTTAGCTTTCTTCCCATTTGTCTCTCAACACTAACATGAAAGATTTTAAACATATCCAACACCGGGTCTTTTAACTTTATTGGTAAAGCCCACACTTTTCTAGAATGATCATCAATAAAGCTAACATAATATGAGCAACCACTCAAGGATTTGTCACCCATTGTGTCACCTATTGAGCAAACATCAGTGTGTACCAATTCTAGAATAACCAGGTTTTCTAAAGATGGAAAAGGGGATCCTTTGGAAAGGAAACCTAATGTTGTTTTACCAAGACAAACATCAGTGGCATATTTTTAGAGGCAAAACCTTTCAGAGGATAGCAATTTTCTTCTTAGTAAAGTCTCCATTCCTTTCTCACTCAAATGACCAAGTCGTTGGTGCACAGACTCAGCAAGATGAATCTTCGAACGCATTCACCACTCTGTGCAAAACTTTGGCCTGGGTGTAGTAAGAGGGTGTTGAACCTTTCCTTCTCTACGCGAACACCGACAAGTTACCTTTGGAAAGCTTCCACAATTCTGTTTTGACAAACAGATTTGCATAGCCCAATTCATCAAGAACAATGAACTGAGATCAGATTGAAGTTTTGCCGTAGGAGTGTATCTCAACATCTTCCAACCAGAGATCAATACCAGCATTGGGTTTTGATGCATACTGTTCCAATGCCCCGCAATTTTTTCACATATGTGCCATTCAAAGTCTTGGACATGGCCGTAATCTCTGAGGGGTAAGTGGTGAGAAATATTCCCTTCTTTGAATACGAAAATATGATAAGAAACATGTAAGTCATAATCCAAAGGAGATTGTTGACTAGTGGAACACTCAACTATGAGAAATCAGTGCACTACCATCACCAAGTGTGTCAACATCAATAGCTACTGAAGCTACCTCCGTATCGTCTTTTTCCTCATCATTTTCTTTGGCTTGTTCCCTATTCCACTTTCTGCAGTGCCTTTGGATGTGACCGGGCTTGCCACAATGATAACAAGTGCACCTTTTCTTGACTTGGATCTTCTCCGTGAATTATCACGTTTGTTTGGATTTTAGGGGTATTTGGTTTTGCTTCTCCCCCTCCTTTCTGTAACTGTAACGAGTGCATCTAAGTTGCTACTCGTACCAGTCTCCTTACGTCTGGTATCTTCATTCAGAATACTTTTATAACATCCTCTTGAGTTGAGTCGGGTTGAACCAAACCTGGTTGGGGTAGAATGGATGATAAGTGGACTTATTTGCATGGAAAGTTTAGGACTCTGTGGACTTATGTGAATGTAAAGTTTGGACTTGTTTGCATCAAAACATACAGCTTGGGTATGAAGTTGTAGCCTTTGTATACTTGAGGTACCAATTAGCTATGTTACACAGCCAACTCACGTCTTCTAGAGACTACCTGTTCTTATCAGTTCAAGTTTCTATTTTCATGTTTATCATTCTCCTCTTACTTGTCCCGCTCTTTTCCTTTCACTCTTCAAACATAGTTAAGCATTAAGTCAACTGCAAGTAAGTAAAATTCCTTGAAGTGTGATGTTATTTCCTATTTCATTGAGTTATATTGGAGATGAGTTATGAAGAAGAAAGTTCAAAGGTAGCAGAAAAGAGAAGTTAAAACAGAGCCCCAGCTTTGAAAAGAGAAGCTAAAACAGAGCCCCAGCTTTGTGGCAAGACAGGTTTGATATCTCTTGTTATTTCCCATGTTCTTTGCATGAAAAATTGTGTGAAGTGTTGCCCATGAGATCATATGTTGCTTATATATTGCTTCACGTTGAGTGGGAGGACTGGTAATGGTGAGAAAATAGGGGATGGAATGAGTTTATGCTGAACCAGAGTTTGCTGGAAATTTTACCAGCAACTTTATCTTGATTTTCACCCCATTTAATGATGGAACTAGGAATTGGCATAGAAGAGTTATTTGTTCCTCTATGTGTTATCTTTACGTGGCCTTTTGAATCATTCAATTTGGAGTTGTATATTGAGAGTTATGGCCAAAAGAACACAGACTGCACAATCTGGAAACACGTCGCGCGCTTGTGCGGTCTGGAAAGCAAGTCGCGCTCGCGGACCTTTCACATGCGCGTCGCGACTTTTGGCCAAAAACCTCTTCTGAACTCTCAAATGGCAAATCCTGCGCTCTGCGACTTCACAATGCGCGGGTCGCGACTTCGGCCAGAAAGCTCTCTGAATCCTCAGTTTGCGTTCCTTTCGGCCTCAGCAACTCCAACAAGCGCGCTCGCGACTTCATCCTCGCGCTCGCGACTTGTGCTGCGCGGTCGCGTCGCGACTTGAGCCAGAAACCTCTCTGACTCTCGATTTCACTTCTCGCGCTCGCGAGGTTTGAAGACGCGCTCGCGACTTCTCCCTGGGAAGCATTTCGCGCTCGCGACTTGTTCCTGCGCGCTCGCGACTTATGTTTTCATGCATTTTGGACTTCTTTTTCTATGTAATTACATTTCTTTGCTCAACATATATGCATCCAATCCTTCTACAACAAAACTATAATATAAGAACATGGATTAAAACAACATGTAAGCATTCATATGATGTGAAATTAAATCAACATGATGAACTATGAAGTTATGCAACCATTTATGATTTATGTGCTATTGTGTTACATTGTTGACATGCTAATCTTAAGCTCCATTGAGGTTAGGTTATGAAACCATGTTAGATAAGGCTATGTCCGCCGACATAGAAAATAGCAGATCTGCGCCCGCATAACAGTTTGAACTCCGGCTACGTTGAGTGGATATGATTAAACCGTGCGGTGCAAATCCGGTTAGGGGCACCAAAACGGACAATATTGGCATAGGCGAATCCGGTTTGGGGCCTATGGCATACAATTTCATCCAGTTTCATACAGTTTATCTTATCACTTCGGTTTCACTATGACCTTATGGAGCCATACAGATATCTTGACATAACATTTCATGAATCATACAGTCTACTATACAGCAAGAAAGATTATCAAGATAAAATGAAAATATCATGATCTGTGTGCTTACATTCCATATGTAAGTACATGTTTATTTCTACATATGTATGTGCTTATATGTTTCTATGTTTCATTATTCATTGTAATATTCACTGAGTTTAATCAGAGTTGCAGAATTCATACAACATAAAGAACATCAGGTAAGATCATGAACGTATATTGTTGTATATGCTTACACGTTTAATTATTGCTTCTGTAAAGAGTCATACAGTCATGAGATGTTATTAATCGTAATTTATATGATGTGACTAAAAGTGCATAAGTCATACAGCATAATGAATAGCAAGTATTTTGTAAACTAGTATCATGTTATGTATATATTCATTACATTATTAATGTAAACAACTTCCTGTATATATATAAATATTCAGTATTATGATATCAACATGTTAGCACATACAATCAACCAGTTTTGTAACATCTCGACTCGGTTCGTGTGACAGCTTCTGAGATTGAAGGTGAAACCTATTATGTTTTACCAAATTTGGGAAAATCATTTTCAAAGTTTGTGAATGACAATGTAGAATCCTTGTTTGTTCTCACTTATGGAGGGGATGATTTGATAGAAATGGATTTCCTCCTGAGAGAATGTTTCAAGTAATTATTAATAATTTTAATTAGTTGAATTAATTATGTGTTCTATGTTATTAAAAGAAAAACTAAATGTTGTTATATTTTCTTCATAATTACAGGAAAATTGTTGAAACAATTGAAGCTTTAATTAAAGCTAGAAAATATCATGGAATTATCAAGCGTGGATTTTGCATAGACGACGAAGGAGATGAGGCGATTGTTAAATTTTTTAATTCTCAATGATTCGAAGGTAAATTTGTTTTAGGGTCTAATTACAAAACTGAGACTAAATTTTTAGTCACCTTTTTTGTAACATCCTACTGAATCGAATCGTTACATATACATGAGTCGAGTCGGGTCGAACTAGAAAGCAGTTAACGCCGGAGTGGGGTAAAATGGGATGTACCATAAATAAGTAAAAGAAGTGGACTTACTTGAATGAAACAAAAAGATCAAAGTATAAGGAGTAGGACTTACTTGCAGAATAGTGACCGTATACTTGAATAGTAACAGTATATGTAAACAGTACCCGCATGCGTGAATATTAACTGTACACGTAAATAGTAACTGTACACGTAAATAGTACTATGCGTGAATAGTGTTGGGCTTACTGAAACAGTGACGCCAATAGTACTGTTCACCATCAACTACTATTTTACTATTCATCACTAAGTCGATTCTGTAATGTCTTTCCAAACGGACTGCACCAATGGACTCGGCGTAATTTTCTCGTCGTCGTGGTATATTTATTTTTAAAATATATCCACGGATCCGGTACATCCACGGATCCCGGTTACTGTTGATCTGTTAGAACCTTCGGCTCGGATTACCAACTTGTAAGGGCCCGACAATAAAAATTTACGAGAATAAAACACAGTGGAAAAATGGAAATAATACACACAGATATTACGTGGTTTCACCCTTTAACTGTTTAGGGCTACGTCCACGGGACAAAAACTCGAATATTCTCTTTCTACTTTAAAATGTAGGCTTACAAAGAGAGTAATACAAAAAATAGTGGCGGCTCAAAAAAGTGTTTACCAAAAGACACTCCAAATTTATCCTCACTATTTTCTCTTTACCCTAATTTTAGACAAAGTTCTAAAAATTTTGATTTACTCTCCTAACACTCTCTTTTTTTTCTTTTGCAAACAGATCATCTACAGAAGAAATATATATATATATATAAATACTATATATATATATTATTTTCAAATGTGGATCCCAGCGGCACCCGCACAACACACGCAACATGCCCAAATATATTATTTCAAATGTGGATCCCAGGGCACCGCACAACACACAGCAACATGCAATGCAAACTTCGAACATTGATCCCTATATAGTTTTGGCAAGATTACACAACATGAAGAGCAAGCGTCGTTCCATCACCAACAAATAACTGAATAAAGTACAATTGTACCATCGGATGTGTGATCTTCAACATAACCAAACAAACCAACGACAATTGCCACCAAATATATAGACATGAGAGGTGTTTCCTGGTAGGAAACTGTCTTCAGAGTTCCTTCCACTTTCTCCTCAAGAACTGGCACATGGGAAAGAACTACCAATTCAGATGGCACATCTAGAGTGATCCTGAATTTAGCCTGCACCACCAACACTCATTTGGTCAGAGTTACAGAAAATAAATAAAAAGAAGCAGAAAATGCACATGACTGATTCAGAAGCAATAAGAGAGACCTTGCAAGCAGGCTCGTCCCAACATGGAAAGCATCTCCTAGCATCAGCTGGCTCAAACTGAGTGACTGCTATGCTCTTCTTCTAACCGTTATGATCATAGGTACTGAACAGAAGCAATGAAAAAAAAATCAAAACTTTAATGAAACACAAATCGATTTTTAAAATTAAACTTGTAGGATTCGAGAATCTAATAAGATAACCAAACCTTCTGTAAGTCGCTTGAGTTTGTCATTCAAAACTCCGGCGAACTCAATCGCAAGAACTCACACACCGATGTGAAGTGTCTCAGCGAACTCCAACACCAGTATCTCATCTGCTACCACCAAATCAACTTTCACGGGCTTAAACACCTGTTTTGAAATGGCAGTTAATTTCGACTGACAGAATTTCCCAATATTAACCCAAAAAAGAAAACGTTTAGATCGGAAAATACCTTAGAGGAGGTGAAGTAGTTGGAGCCGGACTTGACAGAGAGGTCAGCGGAGTTTAGGACAATGAATTTGGTGGCAACGACGATGTCAAGGTCCATAGAGACTTTGCCATGCGAATGTGCAGGCGGAAAGGTCCGGTTTCAGCCTGATATCGATCGTAGCCTTTAGGGGCGGCAAATTTCTGGGAGGCGAGGCTGACCTTTGAATTCATCCATTTTCGTGTGCGAGTTCAGAATTTATAGTTGGAGTAAGGCAGGGAGGCTTTAGTTTAAGGAGGTAAGAGATGAGTGAGAATTTATGGATACGATGTAGTCTACATGACTCCGTTTCATGGCAAGCCAACAGAAGGTAGCTATGTTGCATGGAAACTTTCATTAGATTGAAAGAATTGCACGAAAAAGAATCTGAATAATTAATATCAATTTTTCTCAACTTCAGAAATTCCTTAAAAAAGTTTGGAGCAAAAATTGATATTTTAGATACATATCAAAATTGACTGACTCGTTTTCTATTTGAGTCAAATGTAATTTCTTATTTTTTTTCTCTATTTTCATTAATATTTTGTTGCCTTTTTAATATTAAAACAGTACATTTAAAACATAACCTAGTGATAAATACTTACACAACGTGCTATGATACTAGATTTGAATTCTCTCTCCTAATACTAATTTTTTTTTTGTTAACATATTAAAATTGACAAAATTACTTTTTTAAATAAAATACAAGCAATAGCCAAATCAGGCTCAGGATTTAATATTGATCATAAATGGGACCCTACGGTCTCACCAAGCTTTCGGGCAAGCCATGTCAGCTTGAAAAAACATTAAATTAAAAAATTTAAATATTCAGACAATGTATTGTTGCTATTACTCCTAATACTCCCACGTCTTGCCAACCCTGCTCTAGGCAACTCCATTACTGCTATTTTTGTTGTACAACAATGTATTATATTGACAACTTATACTTATTTTCTTAGATCAAATTAAAGAGTCGTACTGCTAAGATTATCACACAAGCCTTAGGTTCCCAACATAACATCTTCAACACGAACAGGGAGTTTTTCACTTTTTCTTGAACAGGAAAAGTGCAACCATCCATTCTTCTCCATTGTTATATCCAAAAAGTTCTGCAACAGCAATGAAGAACGTTCTCCAGTATACAGTCCACTTGAGAGCTTGATCTTTGCCATAGGTTGACTCCATTATTGGCTTTATTGATACCATGTTCTGGTCCATTCTTTTGAGCCACTCTTCACTGAAAATTTCAAGTACGTCTTGAATGTGAATCTTGACGCCAGTATAGGAGACTAATGAATCTAGAAAGTTTAAATTGCAGGGTTATTTTCATTCTCACCTTGTCTGCGCATAATGTTTCCCATTCACAAGCCAATGGTTGACAACAGAAACATCATCCTGCACAAAAGTTTTCAGCAAGAAGACGTCTTCTGTAAGAGAACTGAGCTCATACAATCATAATGCAAAAGTTCTAATAGCTCTGAAGCGGTTTTCAATTTGTTCTGAAAGGGTTATGCATCTCCATTTTATGATTCCTTCTGTTTTTGTGATCTTGTCCATTGGAACAGAAATATGCATTTTACACTTCGAAAGATATGAGAATGAGATGTATAAAGCAAACCTGGAAATAAAGCAACAGATTTGCAGCAGGCATTGTTCCTCCAGTGAAGAAATACTTAGTAATCCAGTCATCGTCATTTAAATCCTGAACAGAAACAGAGAATGGAATGCAAATTAATGCATAAGCACTAATCCTTTGCATAAACTAAAGTTCAAAAAATATGCAGATGATCAACAAAATATGTGTGTAATTAACAGTTATGACCAATTATACCTCAAAATGGTAAGCAAATGCCTTGTGGCAGAAATGATGAACAAAAAGAAGACCATCTTCTTTCATCCACTTGGAAATCTTGTGAAGGAGATCCTTATAGTTCTTCATATGCTGTTAAAGGGACAACTAAGTTATCAAATTATATAGACTTTTTAATATCATCATCCATGATAAGGCATGAAAAACAACTTACCTCAAACATTTCAATTGAATATATTCGGTCATAGGACGCCTCCATTTCGAATGTACTAATATCTGCAACAATGATTTCTACATTCTGCAACTGAAGATCCCTACAGAAAAGGGTAATTAAATGGTTTTTGAGTTCTGCTAATCAAATTAATACTACATATCCAGAGTAAAATCTAATTTTTTTAAGTGTCTGCTAAATTGCTATTGCATCAAGCAGCATACTACCGGCACTGTTCCTCTATGTATGCTTTCTGTGTTGTTGAATTGCAAATCCCAGTAACCTTGCAGTTGCTGTACTGTCGGGCGATGTACAAAGAAAGTGATCCCCATCCACATCCAACATCAAGAACAGTGTGTCCATCTTTTAGCTGCGACCTTTCACAGTATAGCTCCAGCATTGTTTTCTCAGCATCTTCTAAGGTGTTTGATTTGTCAGAAAAATAACAACAACTGCACTAGTTAACATATAAAACCAAATCAGCTCATAAAAATAGCAAAGTTAAGTGCCTCCTATATCCAGTTTTGTGAGAACCCCATAACAGTACAATCCATAACAATAAAAGCGTAGATTGAAAAACCCTGATTTGCCTTCTCATGCAACAAATGGGTAATTAGGTACTTTGACTAATTATTGATTCTTGTAATATTATTGCACCAATTGATTTTATTCTATCAATCAGTTTTGACTATCCAATGACTATGACAAAGCTCAAAACGCTACTTTGACTACTTAACCAACTGATTAACAATACCTGTATTTGAGATTTTTGCCCAAAACGAACTTGAAGAAAGAAGTGGGTAGTTCATAATGCTGAGTTTTAGGCTTGTCAGTCTTAATTGCTATCGGCATCTCTTTTAGAGCTATAAACACAACAGTAAGAGCACCACAAATCATCCATCAGAAGAAACAAAAAGAAAAAAAGAAGTGGCCAATAATATATAATTTATTTAAAAACGAAAAGGAAAGCATTACAATGCACGAACTGGAGGAGGTCAGAGAGTTGTAGCTGAGAAGAAGGCTTGTAACCGGACCGAAGACGACTTGCCAAGAGTAATCGAGTGAGCCTCCTTGTAACGGCGTCCGGCAGCAAATTTCGTTCCAGTGAAGCTAACATAACCTTCACTGTAGCATCATAAGGTACGTGCATCAATCCCTCCATTTTCAGCAAGAAAGACGACGCGCTATCTTTTCGAAGATTAGATGAGTTTAAAAGTCACTGATATCCTGTCTCTCCAGCTCATTCACCTTTTATTTTAGGAAATTTATTTTTTAATTAATATTTTTATCTTCCTCTTTTTAAAAATATTAAAGTCCTTAACATTCGCACCATCGGACTATATTTTTTCCTGAAAAATCAGCATTTTATAATTAATTAAATACATTTTTTGGACTATATTCATTTTTATTATGATAAGTGCAAAATTTGTTGAATTTAAGGTTTGATAATAAGTTTAAATAAAAATTAAAGGTATTATAATAATTTTTCAAAATAAAAATATAAAAGCATTAATTAAAATCTAAATTAAAAATTGAATTGTATATCAAAATTTAAAACCGTAACTCACGTCACTTTCCTGTCTTTAATAAACGACAGTACTGAGATAATTAAAGGATCTGTCGTTAATCGACACCGTAAAAAAAAAAACCGTTGTCGATGTTGGAACGGGATTACATCATTTTCGGTAATCTCAAAATGTCGTGACATATAGAAAAATGGATTTTCAGTCCCATTGTATGTAATCCCGTTTCAAACGAAATTAAAAAAATTAAATTAAATAATCCCGTCTCAATTATAAAGTCTCGTTGCGTATAATCCCATTCCAAAATATTCCCACGTTAACTCATATATTTACTTTTATGCTGCCATTCACTTTATTCAAATTTAAATTTTAAAGATAAAAAATTAAAAGAATCTAGTAGCCTCAATTTATACTATCTTTGAGAGAATATAAAAATAAAGAAAATTGAGAAGGAAATAAATAAATTTTCTTTTTTTTTCACTTATTTGGGAATGAAAAGAATTATTAGAGGAAGAAAAATATGAAGAAAAAATAAATAAATTTTAGTACCATAAGTTCATTTGCTCACCAATTTGGGAGAAAAATTAGAGAAAAATAATTAAAATTATAATTTTACTCTTATTTGTTGTGATTTTTCTTTTAAAATATATATTAAACTCATAATTTTATTTTTTTATAAAATCATTTTCTCTCAAATATCCAAAAATCAATAAGATTTTACATATACTTATTTGTTGTGATTTTCTTTTAAAATATATATTAAACTCATAATTTTATTTTTTAATAAAATCATTTTCTCTCAAATATCAATAAATCATAAGATTTTACATATATATATATTATATATATATATATATATTATATATATATATATATATATACTATTAATATATATATAATAATATTATATATATTTCCTTTATATTTCCTTTTTATTTTCCCCCAATATTTTCTTTACTCTCTAAATTGCTATCCAAACAAATTAGTTGTATGCATGTGCGCACTTCCTTCTATCGCTCTCTTTTAAAGCAAAAAATAAGTAGGATTCATTTAATATAATCATTATCATTATAATAATAAATTATCATATTCTATTATTAGCATATTATTTTTATTAGCATATTATCATATTCTATTATTAGCATATATTCTATTAAATAATTATTTTAATATTTTTATTCCTTATGAATTCAAATATTCTTAATTGAATTGAATTATTTCTGCTTTTTTTATTTACAAAAAATATTAGAATTTCTATTTGAGTTAATGTATTTGTCCTTTTTTAATATCAGGTTTTCTAGTTGGATTTTTTAATGTTAGAATCCTAATTGAGTCCAAATATTAAAATTTTGTATAATAATAAATTTCTATGGATATTTTTATTTCTTTGCAGAAATATTAAATTTTTTATTGAGTTAAAATTATTTCTCTTTTTTTATTTATAAAAATATTAGAATTCCTAATTAAGTACAAATAATGTTTTGACAGTAATGCTATCATTTTTTTAGATTAAGATTCCTAACATAGTTAAAATATTCCTAATTGTAATAATCCTTTTTTTTTAATTTTATGATTATTAATTGAGTTCAAATATTTATAATTAAGTTAAAGTTATCATAATAATAAATTTTCAACAATATTTTTGTTTTATTTTTTAAAAATATTAGGGTTCCTAGTTGACTTAAAATATTTCTTCTTCCTGACAGAGTTCAAAAATCCAAAATGGAAACTTCTGCTAGACTTTGTAGAAGAGAGATATAAATCCAATTTCAAGCCCTAGACACAACTAAAAGATGTTTACTTGTTGGGTAATTGAAACAATCGTACTGCTACGTTACAAAAGCCTTCTTCAATACAAAGGGAGTTATTCATTTTTCTTAAACAGGAAAAGTGCAACCATCCATTACTCACCATTGTTGTATCCAAAAAGTTCTGCAACAACAATAAAGAATGTTCTCCAGTAGACAGTCCACTTGAGAGCTTGATCTTTGCCCTAGATTGACTCTATTATTGGCTTAATCGATGCCATGTTCTGCTCTATTCTAAAAATATGCCACTCTTCACTGAAAATTTCAAGTATGTCTTAAATGTCACACGGTCTTTGTCTCGTAAATTGCAGTGTTATTCATTCTCACCTTGTCTATGCATAGTGTTTCCCATTCACAAGCCAATGGTTGAAAACAGAAACATCATCCTGCACAAAATTTGTTAGCAAGAAGAAGCTTCTTTAAGAGAAGTGAGATCATATAATCATAATGCACAACTTCTCTTGGTTCTGAAGCGGCACAAGTTCAATTTGTTCTGAAATGGTTATGCATCTTCATTTTATGATTCCTTCTGGCAAAGAAATATTCACTTTACGCTTCAAAAGATTTTACAATGAAATGAACAAAGATAACCTCGAAATAAAGCAACAGATTTGCAGCAGGCATCGTTCCTCCAGTGAAGAAATACCTAGTAATCCAGTCATCGTCATTTAAATCCTGAACAGAAGTAAGAATGGAATGCAAATTAGTTAATTAACAATCCTAAAAATATGCAAAGCTAATAAACAAATATATGCTTAATTAACAATTATTACACCTCAGAGTGGTGAGCAAATGCCTTATGGCAGAAATGATGAACAAAAACAAGACCATCTTGTTTCATCCACCTGGAAATCTTGTGAGGAGATCTTTATAGATCTTCACATGCTGTTAACGGACAAAACTAATTATCAAATTGTATCCACTTTTCAATAGTAGCATTCATGATAAGGTATGAAAAACAACTTACCTCAAACATTCCGATTGAGCATATTCGGTCGTAGGATGCCTCCATTTCGAATGTACTAATATCTGCAACAATGATTTCTGCATTCTGCAGCTGAAGATCCCTACACAAAAGGTAATTAAACGGTTTTTGAGTTCTGATAATCCAATTAATACTACATATCCGGAGTAAAATCTAATTCTTTGAAGTGTCTGTCAAATTGCTATTGCATCAACTACCGGCACTGGTCCTCTATGTATGCTTTCTGTGTTGTTGAATTGCAAATCTCAGTAACCTTGCAGTTGCTGTACTTTCGGGCGATGTACAAAGAAAGTGATCCCCATCCACATCCAACATCAAGAACAGTGCGTCCATCTTTTAGCTGTGACCTTTAACAGTATAGCTCCAACATTGCTTTCTCAGCATCTTCTAAGGTGTTTGATTTATCAGAGAAATAACAACAGCTGCACTAGTTCACATATAAATCAAAACCAGCTCATATAAAATAGCAAAGCTAAATGCTTTCTATATCCAGTTTTGTAAGAACCCTATAAACAGTGCAATCCATGACAAATACCTCTATTTGAGATTTTTGCCCAGGACCAACTTGAAGAAAGAAGTGGGTAGTTCATAATGCTGAGTTTTAGGCTTGTCGGTCTTGATTGCTATAGGCATCTCCTTCATAGCTATAAACACGACAGTAAGAGCACCACAAATCATCCATCAGAAGAAAAACAAAAAGAGAGAAGTGGCCAATAGTATATAATTTACTCAAAAGCGAAAAGCAAAGCATTACAATGCATGAACTGGAGGAGGTCAGAGAGTTGGAGCTGAGAGGAAGGCTTGTAACCGGACCGAAGACGGCTTGCCAAGAGTAATCGAGTGAGGCTCCTTGTAACGGCGCCGGGCAGCAAATTTCGTTCCAGTGAAGCCAACATAACCTTCACTGTAGCATCATAAGGTACCCGCATCAATCCCTCCATTTTCAGCAAGAAAGACGACTTTCTCTCTGCTTGAAGTTTAGATGAGGTTACTGTCTTTGGTAGACGATAATTAAAGGACCTGTCGGTAACCGTCTTGTAAAGGTTTGTTTGGGTGGAGACTTTTCGGATGTGGTCGAGAGTAAGGTAAGGAAAGGTTTTTTTTTTTTTTTTTTTTTTTTTTTTTTTTTTTTTTTTTTGTGTGTGTATTATTCTGAGGAGTTAACTATTTTCTCAATCCACCACTTGAAATGAGAAACTATGAAATAAAAAACTCTTGAAACTGCCAGATATGAGTGTGATTGCATCTCTCTTCTATTCTGTACAAACAAGGAACCTTCTACTGTTTATTATAATCAAAAGTTTCACCTAACTTCAGGCCAACTTTAATATTCTTTTAAACTTTACGACCGGCCACAGTCACACGCTTACATCCTTTGGATAATACGGCTTTACTGCATGTTAGAAATACCGGAAAATTTCTCTGGTAGGAGAAATTTTTGGTTACTGGGACACGGCTTAAGAGTAATCTCAATGACTGCGCGTGGCTTGCAATGTTATATTTTATAGATAATTTTTTTTTTTTTTTTTTTTTTTTTATGTGTGTGTAATTATTTGAGGAGTTAACCTATTTCTCAATCCACCACTTGAAAGAGAAACTATGAAATAAAAACTCTGAAAACTGCAGATATGAGTGTGATGCTCTTTTTCTATTTCTGTACAACAAATGGAACCTCTACTGTTTATATAATCAAAAGTTTCACCTAACTTGCAGGCCAACTTTAAATATCTTTAACTTTACGACGGCCACAGTCACAACGCTACATCCTTTGGATAATACGGCTTTTACTGCAATGTAGAAATCGAAAATTCTCTGGATAGAGAAATTGGTTACTGGACACGCTAAGAGTATCTCCAATGCTGCGCGTGGTTGAATGTTTATTTATAGATAATAAATTTTAAAAAAATTTCTTTAATGCATTAATTTTTAGATTTTTTTTATTCTCTTTTTTTCTTTCTTTTCCGAGCTCACAATTACTAAAGAACAATAAATATTAACATAGTTTAAAAAACTTTTTAGAAATAAAAAGTGTAGTAAACATTATCCATTCGTTTTTTTGACACCTTAGCTTGATATCCTAAATAGACATTAGCATTGAAAAGCATTTTTCAAGAAATTTTTCTATTTTTCTGATGTGATAATTAAATAAGAGTAATTCACATTTGGATCGGAGATGCTCTAACTTGTTAGGTAGATTACAATGTTATATATTGTTTTTCTTTTTTTAACTTTTAGAAAATCTTTTTCCAATAAATTGGGATGAACTTTTTTAAGAATATATATAGTTATAGTTATAGTTCAAATATCTCTAATTATCCTCGATGATTTTTTAAAATATTATGATTTTAATGCAGTTAAAATTGTCTTGATAATAAACTTTTAAGGATTATCTTTTTTATTTTATAAAAATATTAAGTTTCTTAATTGAGTTAAAAATTTTTACCTCTCTATTTTTTTAAAATATTAGGATTCCATATTCAAATTAAATATTACTCATTTATTATTATAATAATAAATTGCTTAAAATATTTTTATTTTTCCTAATTGGGTTAAACTTTTTATCCATTTTTTAATTTTATGATTCGTAATTGATTTTTTTAAATAATAGGATAACTAATTGAGTTGAAATTATTTTTCTTTTTTATTTTATAAAAATATTAGAATTTATAATTAAGTTAAAATATTTATTGTTTTAATATTATAATTTCTAATCGGGTTAAAGTATTTTTTTTAAAACAAGTATTAGAATATATTTATTATTATTTTAATTTATATATCATTTATCAATATCTATCTATATAAATATATAATTTCTAAAATATGGATGCTAATGTGGCTTGATTTTTTTCATTATAATTAATTTTTTTTACATTTAAAAGCATTAAGTTAAGTAATTAAACCAGCGTTGACAACTAATAGTTAATTACAAAACTAATGAAATTAATTAATATTAATTAGATAATGAAGTTATAACAATGTGGTGGACTAATAGAATTAAAATATAACTTTAATTCACTAAATTTTATTACAATATAGTTAAATCTTTTTATACCTTATTTAATTATAAAAGAATTAATAAATATTTTGATTGCATATGTGAAAATTTCAAAGAAAAAATAAATAATTTTATCACTTAATTACAAAAGGAGCATATAATTCCACATTTCATTATTTAATTAAAATACATAAGCTAATTATTTAAATGAAAACAAGACAAATATAAATCACAACAATACTTTTAAATATTACTATTCAAATTAATTTTAAAATATAAAATTACACAATCCGTGGATTGCGCGTGTGCATAACTAATTATATATATATATACACAAAAATTGAAACAAAAGGAAAGTTTAATGCGTTCTATTTATTCAGCATTGTATTTTTCTTTTTTTTTAAAAAAAATTTAAAATTTTTTCTTATTTTTTTGTATTTTGATTGATCAACTTAATTAATGTATTTAATTTAATATTTAGTATAATACTGATAATTGTTGATAATTGATAACGTTTTGAAACCTAATCTAATCCAATCATCTAAAATAATCCAACTAAAAAATCTGAACTTTTAAATCTGGATAGATTTATTTAAATTATATGTTATTGTATATAATCTCCAACCTCTTTCATCATTATATATTATGGTAAGCTGGATCCTTCTTCATAGGATATACGGAAACGTCTTACAGCTTGATGACGGTTATTGGAATGAGACAATTATTGGATTTGCGGCATGCTTAGGCAACACAATGAATGAGGCTGGGTGTGGTTTCTGCAAAAGCATAATTTATGCTTTGAGAAGGATTATATATGAAGAAGGTACGTAAGGTTTATATAGGTTAGTGTAAAATCTAATATTGAACCTAGCTTTTAATTGATTTTGAATCTCTTTTGCTTTGCTTGGACTATTTTGCAACAAGTGTTTTGAAGACTTGAACCAATTGATGGTTATCAAATCTCTTTGCAAATTTTTCTTTTTCTTTTTTATTATTTTTTAAAGATTTTACATAAAGCAAATAAATTTTTCTCAAATAATTTTATTTGCGCATCCGGTTCGAACCGAACCAGAATTGCTGGTTAACCGCCGGTTCAAGACCGATTCATGTTCATTTTTTAACATTCACGTGAATCTTAACCGGCTTTTGAACCGCCGGTTTTAATTCAAAATTTTGAACCACCAATTTTGATTTATCTACAGTATGATTCGATTCGGTTAAAACCGAACCGGTCACCATGCTTAGATGGACTCTAAAAGAAAGCTTAAACCATTAAACTGGCCTTAAATATCATTTATGATATTAAAGACCTTTACAATTTTATTAATAGTCTTGCACATAAGTTTTACAATTGTATGTTTTTGGAACATTATAGATTTTTTTTAAATATAGATGATTATATTTATTTTAAAATATTGAATAATCAATTATTGTATATAAATAAAGACGAATAATAATATAATTTAATAATTATTATTATTATTCAAACAATGCAGTAATATCTGCCTGCGAAGCGCAGAAGTAACAAAATACGGACAGAATTTGAGTAGCTGTGAATATGACCGTATAAATTGAGTTAAATTAGAATCAGTACGATATCCAATTTATTTGCAATAGAAAATTCGAGGTGATGGTTCTCGACGACCTGTCTTATTCTCATATTGGTTTTCCTGAAAACGGCATCAATAGGAATTAAACGACTTTGATGCAATCATTAACGGAGCCCGTATTTTACGCGACATACATAAACGACAGGTCCTTTCTCAATCAGAGGATTAGACAATGACCGTTGGATATGGATCGCTATTTGTCAAACATCCAACGGTAGATGGATAAAACCTATGTAGAGTTGATTACATGGAATCATGGGAGACGTAAAATAGTGTCGAAGCTCTGCGGTCAACGAAGTTCACGTAGCACACGGCACAGACTATATTTTTTCCCTTTCAGGACAAGACAACTTTAATTTTCTCACGATGGTCTCGTGAAATTCTCCGGGAAAGCATATGCAAGAAGATTGGACGGTTTGGGAGAATATGCTGCTGCTACCAGTGAAATGAAATCGATCAAAGTGTCCATTGGAATTTTCTTTGCTTGATTTTGTCGGGAGAAGTGAACTTTTTTTTACCTCTGTAAGTGAACTTTAGTTCGATTGCATGATTAGTTTTTTTATCTGGGGATACTATCCTGTTTGGTTTTGGAGAAATTGGTGTGGGAAGAACATGTTTTATATGACTTATATTTTCTAGTTTGGGGTTGAATTGGTACTATACTAGGTTGCTTGTTCTTTTTTGAGCTTTTTATGATTTTCAGGTAATCAAGCAATGTTGGGTTTTGCTTATTTGATTTGGTAGTTAACTAGTGATATATTTCTGATGGATCAAACAGTGAATTTTATGAAATAAACATTGATTTTCTCTTTACTCGTCTGCTTGGTGTCTAATTAGAATTGTGATCCAAGAGAGTTCCTGAAGATAGAAACTGAATTGGCCAGAGGTCCTATGGTGAATTGGGTTATTTATGTGAGTTTGCTTTTTCTGTTTGGATGCCAAAATGATGCTGTCAAAAATTGGGTCTACAAATAGTGATGGTGATGGAAATTCAAATAATGGTCAGCTGTTGCGTGACATAGAGGCAATAAGCCAAGCCCTTTACCTCCAGAAAGCCCCACGAAAGGCTTTAATCTCTTCATCCAGTGCTCGATCTAAATCAGCTGAGAGACCTAGATTATCAGAATCAAAATCTAGTCTGAACCCAAGGACTTATGATGCAAATGTTTCTATCAAAGACAAGAAATCATCATCATCAGTTTGGAACTGGAAGAAGCCTTTAAAGGCTTTAGCCCATATTCGTCATCAAAAGTTCAATGTCTGTTTCTTTCTGCATGTGCATTCAATTGAAGGGTTGCCTTCAAGTTTTGATGACATGAAGTTGTCTGTGAATTGGAAGAGGAAAGATGAACTTTTGCAGACCCGTCCATCAAGGGTTCTGAAAGGAATTGTTGAATTTGATGAGACTTTGATGCATACATGTTGTGTATATGGTAGCAGAAGTGGAACCCACCATTCAGCAAAGTACGAAGTGAAACTTTTCTCGATTTATGTATCTGTAATTGGGGCTCTGGGTGTTGATATGGGGAAACAATGGGTAGATCTCACAAGGCTGTTGCCACTTACTTTGGAGGAACTAGAGGGAGAGAAAAGCACTGGTAAGTGGACCACAAGCTTTAAACTTGCAGGCAAGGCTATGGGTGCTACTCTAAATGTTAGTTTAGGTTTCCATATACTCAGGGACAGTTTAATCGAAACTGCAAGGAATATGAATGTCTTGGAGCTTGTGAACATGGTGCACGGTCGGTCATGTACAGTAGAGCAAATAACAGGTGTCAGACAAACCAACAGTAATGAGATGCTTCAACGGGTGGGAAGTGTTCCTAGCCATTTAAACCAGTCTCATCTCTCTTCTCAATCTGTCAATGTAAAAATTTGTGATGAAATATCACCAAACCTAGGGTTGGAACTCTCAAAGTCAATAAGCTTTCTATATCAGAAACTTGATGAGGCAAATTTGCACAATTCAGAAGAGTTTCATGCTTTCTCTGAACATCTGCAGCCACTTAAACTAAAGCCTGATTTGGAGTTGGAGTCTGACAAAGATATTGGTGGAAATGAGTACTATTGCACTGAGTTTACTGTCATTGAAAAGGGAATAGAAATGTCTGAAAAGGAAGACTTGAAATCAGAAGAGAGCAATGTTCAGTTTGTCGATGCTCTCGAAATTGAAACTGTTGATGTGAATGAAATTATTAAAGATGATGATATAGAGCTTGATGGGAAGACAAAGTTTCATTCAAAGGATAGTGTCTCAAGTAACTGTTTGGATGGAGTTTTGGTGGATGACTGCAAACATGAAATTAGTAGTATTTGTAAAAAAGGATCTAGCATGGAAGATCTGGAGTTAGCTTTTAATAGATTTTTTACTTCAGAATCTACAGAACTAGAATCCCCACTTGCTAAAAGTGAGATTTTACAGCAGGAGAATTACATGGATACTAAAGTCAGTTATAAGGCCCATAATGCAGTGAATAAATATCTCAGCTTGGATGAAGTCACTGAATCTGTGGCAAGTGATTTCTTAAATATGCTGGGTATTGAGCACAGTCCCTTTGGTTCATCTTCAGATTGCGATCCGGAGTCTCCTAGAGAGCGTCTGTTAAGAGAGTTTGAAGAAGAGGCCATAGCTTCAGGCAACTTTATTGTTGAATATGATGGACATGGAAAGCATGAAGAATTTGGCTGCATTGCTTCGCTAGCATCTGATTGTGGGGATCTATCTGCAGATTTTGATTTATGTGTGGCTATTCAGGCTGCTGAAGAGGAGCACCAGAGGGAAAATCAATTACTAAGTAGAAGGAAGGCCAAATTGCTTGAAGATTTGGAGACTGAAGCTTTAATGAACCAATGGGGCTTAAATGAGGAAGCCTTTCAGAGTTCTCCACGTTATTGCTCTGATGGATTTGGGAGTCCTGTTGAGCTTCTTCCTGAGGAGCCAGTTGAATTACCTCCACTTGGAGATGGCTTTGGACCTTTTGTCCAGACGAAGGATGGGGGCTACCTGCGGTCTATGAATCCTTCTCTTTTCAAAACTTCTAAAAATGTTGGGAGCTTGATCATGCAAGTGTCCCGTCCAGTTGTACTACCTGTAGAAATGGGATCTGATATTATTGAGATATTACAGCATTTGGCATCAATAGGAATTGAGAGGCTATCCCAGCAGGCAAATAAATTAATGCCCTTGGAGGATATCACTGGGAAGACATTGCATCAAATAGCACAGGATACTACACCTGGAGTTGCTGTGCCTGTGAGGTCTGTGAGAAATTTAATTGTATTGAATCGTGTTAAATTTTCATTTTATTCTGTTCTTAAATTTTCATTTTACGACTCACCTTTTCTCATTGCGGTCACAGGCGTGCTCCCTCGTGTCCTGAATCCTTGCTTGGTAAAGAAGCAATCTTGCATGTTGAGATGGGTTCAGACTATGTCACTCTTGAAAATCTCGCTCCTTTGGCAGTGGATAAAATTGAAACTATGTCAATTGAAGGGTTGAAAATCCAGTCTGGCATGGCTGAGGAGGAGGCACCATCAAGCGTTTTTCCCCAGTCTTTTGAAGGTAAGAGTGCCAGTCTTAGTTGGTTCCTAAGTATGGAAGGGGTTGCAGAATTGCAAGAACTTGATGGCAGAGATGTTGATGGTTTATTTGATCTTTCTATAACATTGGAGGAATGGTTAAGGCTTGATGGTGGAGTCATTGGCAATGAAGATCAAGTTAGTGAACGCACACTAAAGATACTTGCAGCCCATCATGCGAGGTGTATGGACTTGGTCAATGGTAAATTGACAAGAGAGAATTATTGGAATAAAGCAGCTGGGAGAAAGCAAGGTTTATTGGGGAACAACCTGACTGTGGCTCAAATGGTGTTGCTCAGAGATCCTTTTCGAAACTATGAGCCAGTTGGTGCCTCAATGCTTGCTATAGTTCAGGTGGAGAGATCCTTTTTCTGTCTTAAGCCAATAGCAAATGGTACGGTGCTAGAAAGAAGAAGCAATGAAGAAGAAGATACAAATGACAATATATTGGAAGAGGAGGAAACTTCCATTGGGTTTAAAATTACCGAAGTTCATCTTTCAGGGTTGAATGCTGAACCTGGGAAGAAACAACATTGGGGTACTAAAACGCAGCAACAGTATGGAATCCGTTGGCTGCTTGCAAGTGGCATGTCCAAGTCCTCAAAGCATCCATTTTCAAAATCAAAGGCCATGGTAGTGTCGTCACCGCATCTATTGAGAAAGATGCAGAACAATGATTGCTTGTGGAGCATAAGCTCTCAAGCTAGTTCTCCAGAAAGTAAGTGGAAGGAGTTGACGGGATTTGTACCACATATACGAAATCCCAATGTCATCTTTTCTAAATGAAAGCATGCTAATTTTTCACTGATCATATTGAGGTTTACAGGGTACACGTTTCTATTTCTTGAGTGAACAAAGCATACATGTAGATTTTGTTCTGTATTGAAAGGCTGTGTATAGCTTGCTAGTGCCACAGATTAGATGAATTATGTAATCAGGTTGGTCCTGAGGATCAAGTAAAATGTCAGATCAAAGCTAGTAATTGTATTTTTGTTTACATGCTGTGCAGAGGCAATAAATTAATGAATTTTTTTAAGGCCAAATGTCTAGAAGTTTATATACATGCGTGTTTCTCCAATTTTAATAATTTTTTTTTTCAATTTTATTATAAGTCCATTATATTTTTAATTCGTCCGTTGATTGAAATTGATAAAATACTTGCTTCTATTCTATATTATATTCTTTGCCTCTCTCTCTCTCTCCCTTGTCATCATCTAATCGGCTTTGTTAGGGCAATTAAAAACTATCTGAAATAGTAACATTTTTTTTTAGTTATCGTTGGAATTTTATAAAATGGGTTTAACCTTGAAGCGTAAAATTCATTTCTCAATGATAGAATTAGTTTAGCTGAGTTGTAAAATTTAATTTTTAAAAATAAAATCAACGTTTTCATGTATATCCCATACTATATTTAAAAATTTCATGCTAAGTCCATTTTCATGGTTCCTTACTTACCCACGTAGACACTTAATAGAATAAAGCTCAAAAAGAAACAGCAACGGCGATAATGAATTACTCCAACTTTATCTGATTCCTACAGTAACATGAAATCAGATTCCTATATATTGTCTGCTAAAAAATAAGTAGCAAAATTAGAAATCAGGCAATGGAGCTCTTATATTATAAAATATTAATTGGGGGTTTAATGTCTAATAAACCTTTTTCTTGTTATAATTTTTTTTTTTCATGTAGCAAAATCAAAAACAAATGATAAGGGAAAGTTTTTTATATATATATATAGTTGCATTTGCATGTGGTTGAGCTTATGATAATTAATGAGCTCACTAGTTGGATTGTGATCAAACTAGGTAAAGAGTAATTATATATGCTATATCAGCAATTGGAGCAAATTTAAATGATACAAAGAGTTAATACATATATAGATATATATAGTATTAAATTATGGGTTCGAAATCCTCATAATTTCCACCGATGATAACTGAAAAAAAAGTTAACCATACCGTAGGTTTAACAAGTGGGAAGTGAGGCTGCTATGTCTATGGGTAGAAATGAACCCAATTAAGCAAGAGCTTAAAGCTTAAAGCTTAATTAACCGGCGGTGGGGTGATTATGGACACCCTCATAGGTTGTAATTACATATTTTTGATCATCTCTATCTCTTTCTACTCTCTTCTTCACTGGACAGCCTTCGATCGAGCACCGATAGTAATTCCTGCTAATCACATATATTATACAATAATAATTAATATATTACTAACACTTCCATCTTCTTTCTTATATATGGTCTTGTATGCATAATTTTTCCCGAGAAAATTATATGGAATATGTATAAAATCAACAATTCTTATGTACCTTGGGTTTGGGCTACTCTTGACGATCTTCTTGCCATATTTTCTCCACTTGTAACCATCATCAAGAATCTCAACTTCTGATTTTGTTTTGAATGCCACTCTTTCTTTAGCTTCCCTCTTCTCCTTTCTTCCTTCTCCTTTAAATATATATACATATAATTAAGAAATCCACCAAGTATTGTATATTATTATAATAAGAAAATTCATTTTGTTACCGGTAGCAGGAAGGTGTTGATGAGAGCTAGTAGCATCGCCAGACTCGCCGATAACCAGCGCTTTAAAAACCAGATTACCATCATTAGAAGCAGGAAGCAGAGACAACATAGATTGATCATCTTCCTTAACCCATTCATCAAACGTCAAAAATTCTGAGAGCTCAAAATTAGTGAGGTCCCCATAGTCGCTCTCAGGAGTATCAAGTGGAGCAAAATTAGAGCTAGACTCAGACATAACAAATTTTAGTATCAGGAAATTACTTTATTAAAATAATAATGTGATATAATATATTCATATATATATAGAGAGATAGAGAGAGATAGATAGAGACTCAGGCGGCTTCTTTATGATCGTTCCTGTAAGATTGCAGGAAATTTCAATGTTGATGCTAAGCGACCTGTAACAGAGAGCTTCGTAAACTTGAAATGGAGGTGGGCCAAGCCATGGATGACTTCAACGTAGACTTGTATTTAATTTTTTTATTTTTTATTTTTTTAAATTTTTGTGTGTGTGAATTTAGCTTTTGATCTCGTGGTTAGACTAACCCTTTCCCGACGGGCAAGACAGACAGGACCACTGGTCAAAAGCAGGAAATCCTATATAGTGATCTTTTTAGAATAAAGTACTATATAAATTTATACAAAATATTTTTTTACTATAATTATTAATTAATCTAACCGAAATCTGAATAGACTTTTCAAAAAAGAAAAGCAAAATTGAATAGTATGTCTTATCATATCCTATTAACAAGATTAAGAAAATTTAATGTATAAAATTAGTTTGGATTTGAGTCTAATTAAATTGTTTAACAAATTCAATTGAGTAAAATAAAATATAGCAAGTAGAATCTCTCTCTCTCTATCTATATGTCGATAACATTTTTATTTTTTTATTATATATGTTTTTCATATTCGGTAAGTAAGGCTCATTGGAAAAGCCGATTAAAAATCTTTTATTTTTAATAAAAATAGTATGCTTGTAAGCCAAGTCATGAGTAGGTAACAAGCCTGTCTAATCAAGTTTCTAGAATTAAGAAAAATAAATTAAGTAGTCACAGCATTTTCTTTTAACTAATCCAATGGAGACGACTATACAGATTTTTAAATTGGTCACAGAGACAAAGAGAGTAGACATAGCCAAAACAGGATCTTTGACAATGAATGAAGTCCAATTGCAAATACCACACGTATGACGTACATCGTACATATATACTACTACTTGTGCTAAGGTTAAGACTTAGGACTTGAGACTTAATAACACCCTCCTCCATTGCGACTTGCAAGAAGGATGTATATCACATTAATGATAATGTCTTGACTTAGCAACATCGAAATTCATCGGTAACTTCTTCAGAAACCTATTTATTCATTTACTTGAAGTCGTACCTTTAATATATATATATATATATATATTTCAATCGTCAACTCGCTTCCGACTTAGCACTCGAATCTCTCGGTAACTTCTTCAGAAGAAACCCTTTTATTCATTTACTGAAGTCGTACCTAATATATATTATATATATCCATATATATTATATATATATATATATATATATATATGTACGATGTATGATCCCAGGTTTAGGCATCATGCCAAAGTCAATATTCGTTTGTCTCCTTTCCTCACTTGCTTCTCCTTCCAAGTTTACATTGGTCACTTTTAATATTATGGTAAGAAAGCTTGCATGCAGAAAAAAGATGCAGATGAGATGAGAAGGCTCCTAAGCTCAAAGTTGGACTCTTTGCTTGAAATTATGGTAGTTGACCGTGTAATGCCAATGGCATTGTCATGACTCGTGGAGGGTTCTACGAATTTGAGTTAAGTTAACTCAAAAGATGTATCTACTTTTTCTATTATGGTCACATCGATTCTAGATAAATTTTGAATTTAAAGTATTTAAATTTTAAAAGTTCGGGCGACGAAAGAATAAAAGTCATTTTAGAATAATTTTATAATGACACAAAGTTCGGATATTTTTCTAGGTTAAGCCTTTTATCTCGTACTTGATAATTTATTTTTATTATAGTAAATTAGTAATAATAATTCAAATAACTTATTAGGTTGATTTTTAAGATAAAATAATTTCCTGGACGACATATCGTCAAAGGCTTCCCTCTATTAACATTTAACAGACGACAGTTTGATCAACTAAGCTGCCCTTGTACTGCGCATGGTTTAACAAAAATGATGTCGTTAGAGCTTAAAAGGGGAAAAATTTCAGTCTCATCGACTTCACTGTGTCAATAGTTGCTAGCCAAATGGTGCGAAAGAAGGCTGTTTCCTCCAAGCCGAAGCCATCGAGAGCCGCCGAGGATTCAGAAAACCGCCGGCCCAGCAACGCCGAGAGGTCTGCTTACTTCGCAAGGAGAGAGGCAGCTAAGGTCTTGCAGAGAGTGCTGCAAGGCGATGCGCAACGCCGAGCCGTTGCTTCCATCAAATCCCTCGTCTATAACCCATCCGTTAGGAACAAAAGAGCGACTTTTGCTCTCGTCTGTCAAACGCTAAAGCGTATGTTAGCACCAATTATTTGCCACATGAACTTTTGAGTTTATCTTTTTGCTAATTTTCTGTTTTTTTTTTATTGCTTTTAATCAGATTTACCTATCATTAAGGACGTCTTGGAGTCTGCTGCGATACTCAATAGCAAGTGGAAGGTAACAACTTACAAGATAATGTTCATTATGTAGTATCAAAAGCTACTTGAAATGTTAGATTGAATTATATTCATTGCTCTTGTTGCAGAAGCAAGTGGAATTAGTGTACATAATAGCATATGACATTTTATTTGGGCAGGTAATTTCATGTTCATGATGTGTTATGATATTTGTTTGTAATGCCTGATTTTGAGAGAACCTTAAATTTTGCCTGCTATTTGCTGGTTCTTGAACTCGAATGGTGGTTGTTTGATGGAATAGAATTTGCAGGAAATCTCGCTGGTTGGTGGTGATGCTGAGAAGTTTCTCATTCACAGGAGAAATGCTCTCCAGTCTGCTCTGGCAAAGCTTTTAGTGAGGAAGAAAGTAAAGAACCTTGATGATTTGATTGCTCTTTACCAACCTCCTGGTGTGTATTATTAATGATTTCTAACATTCCCTTTGATTTATTATTTTAATGAAGTTATGTTTTTACTAAAACTACCGGACATAATTATGGATTTGGCTGTTTGTCTACTTTACCCTATTTTTATATCCAAGTTTGAGAATACTTTAGATTAATAACTTTTTTCGGCCATGTTGTGATAACTATAAAATTATTGCTTTAGTTTTTACTAAATTTCCCACATTTGGTGTCAATTTCTGGTGCAGATATTTCTAAACCCTGTTATGTTCGTGTAAATACTCTGAAATCAGATGTCAATTCTGCTCTGCTTGAATTTGGAAAACAATTCACGGTACTTTTTGCAACCTTTATAATATCTTAGTTGATGATTTTCAAAGATCTCAACTGTAAATAAAACGTCAAAAAATCTCATGAGCCAGAGTGCATTGTGTTTCTTTGAGTTACATAGGTTCAGAAGGATGACATGGTACCTGACCTGTTGATACTCCCTCCACATGCTGACTTACACAATCATCCTCTGATCTTGAATGGAAGTGTCTTTGTGCAAGTAAGAATTTATTTGAGTCTATGCAGATGTTGCTTTCCATGTTTACATTTGCATTCTGAAATAGTAGTCAAGTCCAATTCCTATTTGATGTAGACATTAAGCATGAACTTATCAAATTGTTGAAATATTTTATTAGCTAGTAGGACTCTGGTGAAGAGGTCCCTTTTAGATTGATAGTTAAAGATCAAAGGTTTTTTAATCATATGAGAACTTGAGCCCTATCTGATAAAATTTAAAAAATTGAAGAAGGAAAAAAAAATGCAAATTGGAGGCTTGTACAGGTGTTGCATTAGAGTTGCAAACATAATCTAGACCACCTTTCCTTTGCTAAGCTTAAGGTAAAAGATTTTATAGTTGATAAAATTATAATAGTCAATAAAGTTTTTCTGACTCCATTGATAAAATTTTTATATTTGGGTTTGTTTGTTTGCTTATATTTGAATTATCTACTTTTGTAGGGGAAGGCAAGTTCAATGGTGGCAGCAGCTCTTGATCCCAAACCAGGCTGGGAGGTGAGTCTGGTTATTAAACATTTGAATACTCGATTATGATAATTAATTTTCTCATCCTTTCTCTGCTTTTGTTATCTGCATTTAAGATATCTTGGATCATGAAATATTAAGAATTGGCTGTAGACACTTTACCCTTTTCGATCTGGGGCTTGTTTCTATTATTATTTCACCATGATTCGGAAGCCTGTGGCTTTTCAACTCCAAAACAAATGAAGTTGGTACTCAACATAGGACCTCCAGATGATTTACTTATGAACATTTTCTTATGGACAATGATAACCTTGGGACTGAATGTCAAGATTTCGAACTTATTCAAAACATAAAAGTTGATCCTGACATATTTGTTCTTGCGTTATTTCCTCAGACCTAATATCATCTGTTACTTTATTTTTTTGTGAAGGTTCTTGATGCATGTTCTGCTCCAGGAAACAAAACTGTCCATCTTGCGTCTCTTATGAAAGGGAAGGGAAGAATTATAGCATGTGAGTTGAACAAGGATAGGATTAAGCGTCTAGAACAAACTGTCGGACTCTCTGGTGCTACTAGTATCCTGTTTGTTGTTTTCAACATTTTAAATGTCATCAGTTGTCATCTTCATTTTTGGTACTTATAGCATATTATCTTTTGACAATTGCATTATTTATTTTTTCAATAATATGCTATGCCTTCTCATCTACTCATCTTCAATTTTATATGTTATGCTTACGCTGCTTCGCCTTAACCTGGCTTCTAGACATTGAAGTTCTGCATGGTGATTTCTTGAACTTAAATCCAGCAGATCCTTCTTTTTCCAAGGTAAAAAAAATCTGAAACACTGTTGAAGTGTTGGCATTTGTAGAATGTGACAGTTTACTTCTGCTTTACCTCTCAGCATTTCTATTTTTTCATTCGCCTAAACAATTCCTTTGCACTCTCCTTGTTCAATCACTGAAATAGCAATTAATCATGCTTGTGGTCTCATATGCGCATTCTGTAGAAAGCATTAAAAGTGAACACTTCTGTGTTTTTATTTGTAGCAAGCTGATTAATCTGATAAATCAGTATATGATAATGAGTGGAATATACTGATCACTGTTTCTTAAACGGCAACACCCTACTTCTTCAGTGTGTGATATAAATGATGTATCACGTTTCTAGATTCTGTAGTTTGTATTGGAAGTTGATTTTTCTTTATAACAATTGCTGTTTCTGATAAATAGGCAGGAGTCAGGGGAGAGGAAAATGTTAGAGCTGAATTTGTTCAGACTATCCATCTCCTCAACTGGACCTTTTATGCACATTTTCTAACAGGAATGCAGTCTTGCAGATCCGTGCTATTCTTCTAGATCCTTCTTGTTCTGGATCCGGGACCGCTGCACAGAGGTTAGACCATTTACTCCCATCTCATGCTGCTGATGTCCCCGAGGCAGAAAGACTGAACAAGCTTGCAGCTTTTCAAAAGAAGGCTCTGGCTCATGCATTATCTTGTAGGTTATCCTTTTTTTAGTTAAGTGCTAAATTTTATGTTCACTAAAATGTAATTGCTATATGGTTTTTAGCGATATGGTAGTGCTGTAAGTGTTCATCTCTGTTTATATAAACTTTATAAAGCTCTAACAAGCTAATTTATTACAGTCCCGGCTGTTGAGAGAGTTGTTTACAGCACATGCTCTATTTACCAAACTGAGAATGAAGACGTAGTCATGTCAGTTTCACCCCTTGCAGCATCCCATGGCTTTGTGCTTGTCACTCCCTTTCCTCAGTGGCACCGTCGTGGTATCCCAGTTTTTGAGGGCTGTAAGTACTGCTCTAATGTATCGACTATTAGTGGAGAGAAAATATATGAATTTTTAGTTTATATGTACATTGGAACTGAATTTTTTTGTGATTACCCTACATCGGGGTTATCGATACATGTGTTGAATCAAAGTGTCTGGGTAATTTTAAATATTACTTGTTACTTAATGTTGCAGCTGCTCATTTGCTTCGAACGGATCCTGTTGAGGACAAAGAAGGCTTCTTCATTGCTCTATTTGTCAAGAACGGCAATGTTAACGATTCAGAAGAATTATCTGGATCCAGAGAGGTTGCTGGAACTCTTTCAACTAAGAGACGCCATTTTAAAAGACTGAGCCATGTGCGCAGAAATAAACGTTTATTGCCTGTGCTCTACAGCAGTGTGTCAAAAATATTGTACCCCCCACACATTTTGCCGAGGAGGAGAATCTGTAGAACATAAAATAATATTTTATTCTGATATTTTATACGCTTAGAACTGTTAGACAGAGCTTCTGTTGTTAGAAACTCAATGGTCTTATATCATTTATTAGCATTTAGTAATGAGATGATACCGTCGTTTTCCCCAAATTTGGAAAAGGCTATTTTAAATTATTATTATTTCTTTGGTTTCTCAATTTTATTCAGAAGATGAAAGGAAAAGCCTGTCAAAAAAAAAAAAAAAAAAAAAAAAAAAAAAATATCGCGTTGTTTAGGCTTAGAACTGTTAGACTCAGAGCTTCTGTTGGTTAGAACTCAATGGGGTCTTTATATTTTAATTGCATTTTAGTAATGAGGATGAATAACCCGTCTGTTTTTCCCCAAAATTTGGAAAAAAGGCTATTTTTAAAATTATTTTATTTCTTTGTTTCTTCTGCTCAATTTTATTTTCAGAAGATGAAAGGAAAAGCCTTTCAAAAAAAAAAAAAAAAAAAAAGAAAAAATAGAGAAGAAGAGGAAGAATAGAGGAAAATACTAAAAAAAAAAAAAAAAAAAAAAAAAAAAAAAAGAAGAAGAAGAGGAAGAATAGAGGAAAATACTTAATAGACTTTATAATATTTCTAGTAAACATCAGCCTCATCAGAAACTAATGTCAGACGAAAACACCCAAAAAGAAAAACACAAGCAGATTACGATTTCAACATAGCCCAAATTATTTCCAGCACGCAGTCAAACGTGACAAAACGATCCTCTGAGCTCAAGCAATTTTAACCTCAATAGTCTTTGGCTTTTTAGGCTCAGGCGGTGGCAATTTCTGGACAGTGACAGTCAAAACCCCATCTTGACACACAGCAGAAATGGCATCAGTATTGGCATTCTCAGGCAGAGCAAACTTCCTCATCAATTTTCCAACTCTCCTTTCCATCCTCACATACTTAGCTCCTTCCTTCTCCTCCTCACGCTTTCTCTCTCCACTAATCAACAGCACATTATCATCTTCCACCTGCACTTTGATATCTCCAGACTTCAATCCAGGCATGTCGATAATGAACACATAAGAATTCGGATACTCTTTGACATCGGCCGGAGTAGAAGCCATAGCCTTCGCGTCCCTCACATAAGTGCGTGTTGGCGCGTTGAAGGATTTGTGGTCAGCATCGTCGCCAATGTCCATCATTTGCTGGAGAGTGTGGAGAAGTGGTGAATCGAGACCTACGAACCTGACATCCATTTTTCCTAGTGTTTTCGCGAGAGATCTTTAGAGATATGAAGTGCAACTAGATATTTTCGCTGATGGAGAATGTTGATGTGTGGGGGGTCTTTATAACGGGAGTTAAGGAAGTTTCTGGAGGAAAGCGGCAAAAATTGGGAGTTTCCAGGAGGTTCGATTGGTGTACTAGGTGCGAGTCTGGAAGTTTATAGAAGATTCAGAGCAAGTCATGAGATGCTAATAATAGCCCATAATAACTGTTTTCTTAACTTGAATTAACAGTTTTCAAACATTTGTTTTTCCTTCTGGTCGCTGTTAAACGGCACCTGTCGTCCAACTTAGGAAGACACTATCATTTTCAAATATGGGCTTTTACTACTAGTAATGGACTGGGCTTTTAAGTATGCTTTTTAGAGCCCAACTTGCATTTGCATTTACAGTCCAAAAGAGCGGTAAAATTGAACCCACCTCAAATCCAAAAAGACGAAGTAAAAAAGTTTTTTAAAAAAGAGCACGAGTAGATCGCTAATACCAGTTAGCCAAATTTGGTACCAAAATAACACAGGAAAATACAGATATATATACGAAATAACACAGGAAAATACAGATTTATATATATATATATATATATATATATATTATAATATATACTTTTTTTATTATTAACCAAGCGCAAGTTCTACTGCAATATTGAACCAGAACAAAGTCCTCATAACTGCGTATATATATACCTTTTTTTATTATTAACCAACGCAAGTCTACTGCAATATTGAACCAGAACAAAGTCCTCATAACTGCGTTCATCTTCCTCGAACAACTTTGACCGCCACGGTCTTTGATTTCTTTGGCTCAGACGGCGGCTCCTTCTCCACGGTGACAGTCAACACTCCGTCCTTATACGCAGCCGATATCTTGTCAATATCTGCATTATCCGGCAACGGAAACTTCTCAAATACTTACCAAGCCTTCTCTCCATCCTTATATACTTAATTCCTTGATCTCTCTCTTTCTCCCTCTTTCTCTCTCCAGTCACAACCAGCATATTCCCATCCTCAACCTGCACCTTTATCTGGTCTGGCTTCAGCCCCGGCATGTCTAGCACAAACAGGAACGCATTCGGCAGTTCTTTAGCATCTGCTGGAGTTGCCGCCATAGCCTTAGCGTCGCGTAAGTAGGCGCGCGAGGGTTGATGGTTGGATTTTTCAGTTTCATCTGTAACATCTAAGATTGTATGGAGAAGATCCACAAAGGAAGGATCAATTCCTATGTTTCTTAGCGCCAACTCCATTGCTGCTTCTTAATCGCTTGAATTTCTAAAGATGTGAGTGAAGGAATTGGACGGGTTTGGCTTTTTATTTCTGGGAGCTACGAGACATTGTGTAATAGCAATTAATTGGTGATCTTGTCCTTTTCGCCTGCCACGTGGTTATGCAGCGGGAGATTTTTGATCGAGGGAGTCAGAAGTCTAACTACAGCTCCTGTTGTACGCGGGGAATCAAAAGGCGTCAAATTCGAGTTCTGGACAGTTATAAAGATATTACTATTTTAGTAAATGTAATTTAAAAGGAAAAAATTGTCATATTTTATAGTCCATAATATTATTTTGATATATTGAGCTCTTAATGTATAAAAAAAATATAAAATTAATTAATATAGAATAATAGGGACTATCTCACTTGAATTTGAATGAGATTTTTCTTTTTAACTTTCTATTATTTTTTAAAACTATCCTAATACCTATTCAAAAAAATAGGAATTTGAGGTTGAAATTTTTACCTAATGACCATAAGATATATAAAATTATAAATCTGTTTATTTTTGAAAAATTTCAAATTCATTAAAAAAATAAAATAGAAATACAATTAGGAAAAGAATCTCATTGTTATTACAAACCTATGGTTGGAAGTTTTTAATATTAAAATAAAATACCTAGATCTATAATTATAATAACTATTCTTATTATTTTCATTTATTGAGATGAGCTATTCTATTCAAATGACACTTTTAAAAAATTAAAATAATATTAATTATTATATTTCCACTTCATTCTATATGCATATATAAATCTCAGGCAACGAATCTAATCGCTCAATTTTTACATTTTTTAGATAAATTATATTGATTGTTTTGTTTTTCATTTTTATTTTAAAATAAATGTTTATCTAAAATTTTTAAATTTATAAATTATATATACATATAGCCGCATGTGAAGCCGCGCAAATACTAGTTATATATATTAAATTAATATATTCATATATTAAAGATCGAATCTCAATATTTTTATTTTTATTTTTAATATTTGAATGCATAAAATAACTATTTTACGAAGAAAAGAGAGATTAAAAAAATATATATATATAAGTATCATGTAATTATAGCTCAAATCGTTCAAATTTATTCATAAAAACATTACGTTCCATACCACTAAAAAACATCAAACACACTGATAGATAATCACAACTCAGAAAGAGACTCCCTTCTCTAACTACGCCACTTTAACTTCAATAGTCTTAGGCTTCTTGGGTTCCGGCGGCGGCAGCTTCTCCACAGTCACAGTGAGCACTCCATCTCGACAAACAGCCGTTATAGCTTCCATATTAGCATTATCAGGCAATGCAAATTTCCTCATAAACTTACCAACCCTCCTCTCCATCCTCAAATACTTAACGCCATCCTTATCATCCTTTTCTTTATCTCTCTTTCGCTCTCCGCTCACCACCAAAACGTTGTCGTTCTCCACCTGGACCTTGATCTCGCTGCTCTGGATTCCAGGCATGTCAACAACAAACACGTAAGAATTAGGGTACTCCATCACATCTGCCGGTGTCGCTGCCATGGCCTTGGCGTCGCGGACATAGGCACGTGATGGGTTGTTTCGGGATTTTTCGTGCTCTTCAGGGAAATCGAGCATGTCTTCCAGCATGGAAAACAGGGGAGAGTTGAAGCCAAAGTTTCTCAAATCCATGGCTAGAGGGTTTGTTTGTTTGTCAGTTTGTTGTGCAAGGCTACTGGGTAAGAGTGCAGAAATGTCAGATGAATTTATACAGCGAGAACGGGGTGTGAGAAATCTCTAGAGTAGCCGAGAATTGGGTTTTCAAGTTTGTAATAGGATCGCTTTGTCTAGAATTCTGGAGAAGTTGAAAGTTTTTATTATTTACTTTATATACTTATATATTTATTTGGTACGGTATAAATAATGTTGGGCTTCTCGTTCAAGTGGGCTCCGGCCATTGGGCCCTACTTGCCATAACCTGGATGGCTCTCTTCTATTTATTTTATTATTTATTTAATTTTGTAGAATTGTGTGGATCGTTCTAAATTTAAAATTTTCTGTTTGCTATTTTATTAACCTTTTGGGTTGACTGACATTCGAAAATTTTAAAAAAATTAATTGAGTTTAGTTTTAAAAAAAAAATCTGTGATTATAATGCAGTAATAATGATATAATACAATGTAGTAAAATTTTTTATATATTTCTTCAACAAAAAAAAAATATTTCACATATTTTCACTTTTCAATAACAATTAATTAATCATCATTCCTTATATATTAGAAAAATATAAAAAACAACCTACGTCACAATTTTTTTTAAAGATTATGTTGTTTAACAAATTAATAGAAAATTTTTACATGAAAAGAAAATCCATAACCATATTGAAAATTTCTTATTATAGGATTCACAAATTATTGGCTGTAAGATATTTTCCATGTTGATCTTTTAAGAGTACAGTACAATGCAGATATGCAGTGATAATATCATCTTTAATAGGTAGCCCCACTGAAGCTGTTGTCGGAGCTGGTAGAAGAGGCAGCTCGAGTCATGGACCAAGCGGCTTGGTGAAGATATCAGCAATTTGGCCATGAGTAGAAATAAATTTTACTGGCTTTTACCTTGTGCAATTAATTCGAAAATAGCATAAAACACAATGTATAGCAACATATACAGTTATGGAGATCCAAAATCATAAATCAATTAATTATCATCAGCATTTTAGGTTTTGCATTCATATATATTTCTTGAATTAAAGAGGGAAAAACTCAGAAGGTTTTTGAAGCCATAAGAATTGACATCTAAGGACGAAAATATGAAACTTAATTACCTTTTCCAAGCAATTCTTTGTTTGAGTGTTTTAATTTTATTTCAAAAATAATGCCTGTGAAAAATGAACAAAGCATATCAAGAAATTTAATGGCTCTAGAATTAAAATTTTCAAGTAATTATTCTATCAGTTAACTAGCTAAAATACAATAAAGCACATAAACTGCAAACAAATTCAATGAAAATATAATATATCTCCATATACATTATACACAAAAAAGAAAAAAGAAAAAAAAATTCAGCTAGAAAATAATATGAACAAGAACTGCATATACATATATATATATATATATATACACACACACACACATCCTAGCATAGCATAGGCAACCCCAAAGATTTTTAGAAAATTTCTTTAAATCACAACAACCCAGATAACTCATAGTCATATATGCTGACCTCATCCTGGTAAATCTGAGAAAAACATCCGTATAAATTAGGGCGTCGATCGATATCCATATCCAGTTGATTCATCCATAAATAATCATCAACGGAAGTAGCAGTAAGATCCAAGTATTTGAACTGATCATCATAAGATTGATTTATCTCTTCAGGGAAGGAGACTAGTTGTTGGTTTCCAAATCCAAACTCATCAAATGAATAATCAAAGCTACTACTTATGTCTGTCTCTGCAGGATCTTCGTGAATACTGTTGCTGCTGTCGCTTCTTGTAACTGTAATTTTGTCTACTGTTTGTGATGTGCCATTTCCTGTTAGTTGTTGAACAAGTTTCTTGAAGCTTGAACTGTCTGTGATATATACTTTAGGTCGCAAAACCTTTATCCAGCTACTGATCATTTCTTGTTTCTTTTCTTTCTTAGATATTTTTGAAGATGCTTCTTCACTTTGTTTCTTCCCCATAACTGTTCAATGTTTTTAAGCTTTAGACAATTCTTGGACCTTGGTTTCTTCGCTTCAATGTTTCTTGATCGATGTGTTTGAGAAGGATATTACTTATAGCTAGGGTTATAATTGTTGCATTTTATTATTATTATTATTATTATTTTAATATATACGTAGAATGTGATTTAATTTATAAATTTTTGAAACAAAACAAATCACAATTCTTTAAAGTAAAGAACATGAAAATGATGGGATCTTTCAACACAATTCTCTCATTTTCAAAATATTAAAGGTTTAAATATTTGACGACTTCAATTGGTAAATCAGTTTGTTTATTATTATTTTTCATGTTTTATTGCATTAAATTTTATTGAATTTTCTTTAAAATTGAAATATAAATTCTTTAGCTCGTAGAAAGAACTCTGATATCACCACAATCATTCTTTTTTCTTTTTGAAAAAATGAGTTCCCATCAGGGAAAATGCTGAAGTTTGTATTTTGTGGAGGATGATGATAAGGGAAGCTTGAGGTATTATACAAATAACGAAATTAATTAGATTAAAAATGCGACATAATATGCCGTGGATAAGAGATAGATTAACATTGAGGGCACGTAGCTTACCATATAATTAGATGTCACTTGCTCTTGCTTTTATATTATTATTTCTATATACAAATTTTCTAACCTCTTTCTGTCTGCTTTATGCTATATATTTATACACATCAAATTCTCGACCCCTTAGCCAAAAAATTTTAAAAGATTTGACATTTGAATTTCTGAATTTATAACTTAAAATAGCGTATTATTTTAATTTTTCCCTTCTTAATTTTTAAAATTTTTTATTGCCCCTTAGTATTCGATCCCGACTCTGGTTAGTGAATCTATACATCAAATACAAACACAAATAAATTTAGATGAGACTTGCCATACACTAACAAAATTTAAAAAATATTATTATTATTTTATCATTTTTTTAATAATTTATATAAAAAAATATTTTTGGTTGATTTAGTACGGTGGGTAGATGATTGGAGATAAGTTTTTTCTGAAAAACTGCTTATGAGTGAAAAAAAAAATAAATAGGAAATATAAATGGTTTCAATGGGCCATGTCCGGTGAACTAATTTGGGCTGTAAGTCTGTAGTTGTTTTAAAATACTACATAAAGCTAATGGGCCGGCCTAAAACGGCAACATTAAAGTATTAGACTGCAATGAGAATATTTCAATCTACTTTGTACAAATATCTAAGTGAAAAGGATTTGGAAACGGTTTAAAATTTTAAATGGGCCTTGGCCCAACACATTAGATTTTTTTATTTTCAGAAGATAAAATTTTTAAATATTTAAGAAAAGTAGGGTTGAAAATCTGCTACTATCAAATTTCAGATTTGAGATCTCAAAATTACAAAAGTCCTCACCTTTGATGAGTAAAGAAAAATGTTGCCCTCCTATTTGTGTAGCTCAAAATGTTTTTTAGGCCAATGAATAAAAAAAATTATAATTTTTTTTTTAAATCGTATCAAAATTCATTGGCTAACGATTATAGCTTTTTTTTATTTTTTTTTATTTTTAAATGCTATATAAATATTTACCGGTTAACCGTTATTTCTATAGAATCTTATGAATAATTAAATCAAACAAAATCTAAGATAGGACGATATATCTGAGATGATGGGACGATAGATGATTCAATATATTGAGAAGGAAAGCATTTTATTGTATTTAATGTGATCCATTGTATGTTGAGGCAAAAGTGGTGCATGAAAAGTTGTTTGGTTAGAGAGTATGGATAATACTATCATTTACAAAGGAATTAGTTACTCTCTGTTTGGCAATAATTAATGCAAACATCCAAACACATCTTATTCTTATCTTATTTATCAATGTGGCCAAAGTTACGAAACTTCTTTTCAATACGGATTTATGTATTTTTCATTACTGTTAAAATGGATTGTATTGGTTCTATACTGCAAACTTTTCAAAATCAGACTTTCATTTTGTTTACATTAATAAGTATTGATAAGGTGGAAGTTAAATTAAGAAAATAATTTCATTAAATTAATTAATTAAGATAATGAAAAAAGATGAGTAAATTATCGGCAAAACATATTTTTTAATTGTTATTTTCTCTCAATTCACAATTTAAAAATTAAAATAATTGGTTATTAAATTATAAAAAATCAGACATTTAATCATTGAATTATTATCACAATGTTACTATTTATATAATCATAACAAGAATCTAATTTTAAAATCTTGAAATTCATTATCAAAAGAATCTTAATTATGTATATTAAATTAAAACATTTATTTTTCTAAAAGAATGTAAGATAATATTTAAAATATAAAAAAAAGTAAATCAAACAAGATAATGAAAGTAAATAACTAAACAGCGTTAACTAACAGCACCGGACCAACAACTTCAAGAAAGAGAATTAAACAAAGAAGAGGTTCAAAAATAGAGCAAATGGATAATGAAATTGATGTTACTACTTAATAATAATAGTTATTACCAGTACAACTGGTACGCCATTCTAATATAGCCGAAACAAAACAACGGAGCCGCCGGCTGGCCCAAACCGAACCAACTACCGGCGCCACTGGCACAAGCGTTTTTTGTTTTTTGTTTTTTTTTTTTTCACCGTTTTTCTTGATTTTCTGATAACTCAAAATGTTACCATGTTCGATCGGATCACCCACAGAGTTTCATCAATCCAAATCAGAGGGCACATATATTATATAAATATAAATATAATATAATACATATAAGCTGCTAAATGATTTTTAAACCGCCAACCGGCTGTTGTCTTAAAAGCTTTTCTCGGTATGATAACGGACACGTGTCCGCTTTCCTCGATCCGCCAAACCCTCGCTAAAGTCCATGGCTTTCTTCCTTTTCACTCCCTTTCTCCATTAACAAATTATAGCTCATTTCGCTGTCTGCAATATCCACTTTTTCTCCCCACTTGTTTCTCTTCCTTCTCTTTCTTTTTATTAGAGTTCTTTGATCTGCTTTCTTTCACCATATATCCATTTGGGTTTTAATTTCTTTTAGTTTCAGAGATGGAAGCGGTGAAGATGTGGTGATATGGTCTTGAATTTCTCCGGTAAGGGTTCAATATATTATTACTATTGAATTGGGTTTTCAATAGCAAGTAATGTTTGACCCTTTTATGGTGATCCATGTTCGTTCTTTAATTTGGTTGAGCAGAAGGAAAAAAGAAAAATACCCAACTAAAGCCTCTCGCTAATCCATCTCTTATTCACCAAAAGCCTGCCATGCACAAATCTCTTTGATTCCTAATATTCATTTTTCAGTTCCTCGAGACTTGATTTTTTTTCCTCTTTTTATTTTGTATTTAGTTGTGTAGAGAGTTAATAGTAGTAGACTAGTAGTTGAGACTTGAGATTGAGATTTTCTTGGGTTTGAGTTTAGTTAGTTAAGTGATATTTTTTCAAGATAATTACTATTAGAGCTAAGAAGCAAATTGGAATTGTTATATTTCGTGACTGATAGGAAATAAAGTAAACTAGTTGGAATTATAGATAGATAAAAGTGGCAAAAATGAGTCTTGGTACGGCCGAGAATGATTCGGCATCAGAAATTCATTTACCAGCAGAGATAGATTGGCACATGTTGGACAAATCCAAGTTTTTCTTTCTTGGAGCTGCTTTATTTTCTGGTGTATCAGCTGCACTCTACCCTGTTGTTGTTTTAAAGACTAGGCAACAAGTTTCTGCAACCCAAATTTCATCTCTAAAATTGTCATTTTCAATTATGCGTCACGAAGGTGTTAGAGGTTTTTATAGGGGTTTCGGTACTTCTTTGATGGGAACAATACCTGCAAGAGCTCTTTACATGACGGCACTCGAGGTCACTAAAAGTAGTGTTGGTACTGCAACTGTTAGAGTAGGATTTTCTGATACTACAGCTACTGCTATTGCAAATGCTGCTGCTGGTTTAAGTTCTGCTATGGCTGCACAACTAGTTTGGACCCCAATTGATGTTGTTAGCCAAAGACTTATGGTTCAGGGTTGCAGCAATAGCAGTAGTGGGTTAGGTCCTTGTAGATATAAGAATGGTATTGATGCGTTTCGAAAGATTTTGCGCACAGATGGTCCAAGAGGACTTTATAGAGGATTTGGGATATCAATATTGACTTATGCACCGTCTAATGCGGTTTGGTGGGCGTCTTATTCCGTAGCGCATAGGCTTGTTTGGGGTGGTCTTGGTTGTTCTGCATATAAGAAAGATGAGAACTTTGTTAATGCTGGTGGTGGTAGGTGTGCTTATAGGCCTGATTCAAAGGCAATGTTGGCAGTGCAAGGGTTATGTGCAGCTATGGCTAGTGGAATGTCGGTTATGATTACAATGCCACTTGACACGATTAAGACAAGAATGCAGGTTTTGGATGGAGAACAAAATGGAAGAAGACAACCATTAACGGTTATGCAAACAGTTAAGAATCTCGTCAAGGAAGGTGGATTTGCAGCTTGTTATAGAGGATTAGGACCAAGATGGGTGTCAATGTCTATGTCTGCAACGACTATGATCACTACTTATGAATTCTTGAAACGGTTGTCTACTAAGAGCAGAGAAAGCTTTTAGCAGAGAATGGCAAAGAAATGTTTTTTTTTTTTTTCTTTACTTGTCTCATAGGCCTAGGCTAAGAACTAAGAAGACTTATCAATGTAAATTTTGTTTTTGGGTTTTTGAATCTTTTTGCTGTTAATTATGGGGAAAAATGGAAAATGGAAATCATTGAAAAATCTATGTAACGTGTATAGTGCTAATAGCAAGACCTTTTACTTCATTTCCCTTCTAACAATTCTAACTTTACCTATGTTTATGCATTGCATACATGTGCTTCACCATGAAGAATATTTCACCTGATTGAAATGGCATTTTTCCTTCTTTTTATTTTTGGGTTCCTTATCTTTTTATGCATTTGAGATCCAAAGTCATGTGAAAAAAGCGATAGAAGTAGATATTATCATGATTTTCTGTTAGGTGAGAATTGCAAATGCTCACCTGATGATGATGGGACCTTATTTTTTTATATCTGTATGTATTGCGTTAGTATTATTATTAGGTGGGGCTTCTCTCTCTGGATATGTAAAGGTCAAATGACCTTTCTCTAGGTCCTTTCCTACTGAATGGAAAATTTTCTTAAATTTAACTAATCAGATTGAGTCTATGACTTTGATGCGCTCGAAGAGACAAGGGAAAAAACCGGTAGTGGTAGTTGATGATTACTCGTTAGCTTCAATTTGAAACTCGAAACCTAGTGCACGACCTTTTTTTCTTTAATCTTTTGTCGCATAATGTCCATTTGATATAGCAGTTGGATTTATATTTGACAAAAGCCAAAAACAATTAATTAAGTCCAATTTGAACTTTCAATTTTAGTAATTTTAAAAACGAATCAAGAACCATAAATCTGAAATTATAAAAAGTTTGTCACGTGAATATATAATATAAAAAGGATGCATATGGTGAACTGGATAATGTTAGTGTTAATCGTTAGTTAAGTAAGAGATTAAGATTCCCAAACTATGTTTTGAAGAAAACAAGGTTCAGCGTAGACAGGATCAAAAGCAGACGTGTGTGAGAGAGAGAAAGGGTATCGGAACCAGGGCAGTAGAGAATAGAAATAAAGAATCAAATTTTGTTTCTTAATGGAGGGAGGGAGAGAGAGCAGACGACAGGAAACAATGGGCTGATCAAAGGAGGAAAACCCATTTGCCACATTACATAACTATGGACCATCCTGCTTTTGCCATTATTATGAATTTCTATGGACCATCAATACAACAGATGAATCAGTGGGCAACTCGCGACAAATACAATGCCTCTCTATCTCTCTCTGTCTTAATATTTATCCTGATGAATCCTGGACAAGGCAACAGTACCAAATCATGTAGTTAAACGTGGCAATATTAACCTTTTCCAGTGAATAATGATGATGAGATTAATGAATGGAATGAAAGAGTAATTGAAAGAGAATTTGAGGACCACTATCTAGGGTTGCAAATCCAAGTGCGTCCGACGTATATGAAGCTCCTTTTGTCAATTTTTTTTTTTCAAAATTAGAAATAGAATTACCATTTTGTGTAATGGCAACAGACAAAAGGGAGTTCCATATTTGGTAAGAGGCACAGCAGAACAACCCATGAACGATGACCATTGCAGAGTTGCACCTTGCGTCCTGGTATGTCTCATATGTAGATGAGATATCTCAATGAATATCCTCTTCCTACATCAGTAATTCGCTAATCAAGGAGTCGGCGCTTCGGGTTGGGCACTGCGGATGATCCTGACCACTCTTCATGTCTGTAGCTTCACTTTCTTCCAACCATCACTACTCTCTTTTTGTATGGTTGTGTTAATCAGCATCAGGTACACTGTGTTTTCCAATCAACCTTGACAGAGATGATGTAATTGGCATATCACCGCCCAGCTGACGCTGCTGATTTAGGTATTCACATCTGTCTATAAGAGGCTCCAACCACCTGAACACAATTAAGAGACACGAGCTTTTTTTTTTTTTTTTTACAGGATGACCCCACTACAAAGCTCGGCCAAAGCAGTGGAATCAATATTTAAACATTATGCATTACAAAGTGCAAAATGAGAATCAAAACTGTGATCAAACAATGATTCTTTACTACCAGGCCATCATCTCAGGTGAGGGAACCACTCCTAGTCCAAAATAAATCTATGGCCTCCTGCACCGCAAAACTTCCATAAAAACCCAATTCCCAAGATTTTTTTTTTTCAAATTGGTTGACAATTTGTGTTCAATATATATATTCAAGCAATTGCAAGTCTGAAGCTTGTTTTACAACTCTGCATTTTCCTTCCTGTCCTCTGTTTTAGCTTTAGAAACCTTTGATATATGGCACATGACTAAAGATAAAATGAAAAGCAGGTGCTTCATGAAGAGCTGGACAGATTGCATATGAACACAAGTTGACAAACATAAAACATGCCTTCCCCGATCTGAGTTCATAAATATCCTAATTTTATCACCAAATGGACAGCACATTTGCGACCCACACATACCATTCAAATAGATTTTTCTAGATCAAGGAACCATGACTAACAACAAACCTGACCTGACCTACTACACAGTTAGCATTTCCATCATGCCATAATACACACACATCTAGCTCCTCCCCAACCATCAAGGCCGTGCTCTCTTGTTGCTGCAAGATGGGCATTTGTACTGCTTAATATGCTCAGCTCTTGCCGGAGTGATCTTAACACACTTCCCATGGAACCACTTCTCACATATGTCACAGCAAATCCAGAACTCATCAGATGCATAATTTTCTCCACAAGCACCACATAATGTCTCCCCATGCTCCTCATCTTCCTCATCCTCTAAGCCATCATCATCTTCATCCTTAGATTGCATTACCTTTGAATACTTTCCCTGGGATTCAGATCCTCGCTGCGCACACCAATCAAGAAAAGTTTGAATGTTCAAATTATATTCCCAAAGAATAATACTAATAGAAGTTACGTTCAGCTCTGGCATTAGCATCTTAAGAATGCTAATAATGACAGAACAACTCCAGTCATATTTAATTTTCAAGAGCTAACAGATGAAATTAAACCCTCAGATCTTTAAGGTGGTTTTCAATTGAAACAGATAAAAGGGCCTAAATATATTCAGGATAAAACAATGGCATTGAACTAGCTTGTTCAACAAAGCCATCCCAAGACAAAACCCATCACTCAACCATCATACCCAATTTGTGCCATTTGAGCTAATAATAAAGAGGTTGCAATTCCAAATACCTTAGAGTTTGATTTAGTTTTAGTGCTGCTATGATTTGAAACTGAGGATTTCTCTTTTACTTGTTTCTTCGCTGTTCCTGTAACAACCTCAAATATCGTTGGAAGATCATTTATCATGTTGAAGAGACGCTTCCTGCATTGCAAATACCAATATTATATTACTAAATAAAAAAAGAAAAGAGGAAACCTTAAATCAGAGGAAATATTCACAAAAAGAAGCCATGAAGCATCAAAAACAAAAAACAGAATGCACAATAGTTAGAGAACTTCAAAGAAGACGTATAGAACCCTTTCATTGTCTTCCAACCTCCACAAAGCAAGTACAGAAAGGCATTAACTGGAACAAAACACAAATAAAGAATGCAATCCATGCCTTCTCACACCCCACCCCCACCCCCAAATGAATCCCACCATTTTTTTTTTTTTTTTTTTTCTCACCCCCACCCCCCCCCCAAATGAATCCCACCATTTTTTTTTTTTGCATAGCAAAAAAAAATATTGAAATTGGTGAAACGGGGGGCCAAAGTTAACAAAGCCTTAAACCAGTATAAATTTTCATAAAATTCTCATCAGGAGTGCGACTAAAGGAAACACCTTAGCGAACTCTCATTCAGTTCTGGTCTCAAATTTTTCACATTTTTTTTTTTTTTTTTTGGCATAGCAAAAAAATATTGAAATTGGTGAAACGCAAAAGTTAACAAAAGCCTTAAACCAGTATAATTATTTCATAAAATTCTCATCAGTGAGTGCGACTAAAGAAAACACCTTGCGAACTCTCAATTCAGTTCTGGGTCTCAATTTTGGTTGCTGCTCAAGGTAGGCCACTTGAAAGTTCCATTCTTATAAACCATTTCTATAACCGGTACAGTTTTCTGCTCCATTTTTTGTTTAACATTTATTCAAATACTATAAAAGAGAGACAGAGAGTTCATAGCAACAAGTTGTTAACGACAACTTATCAAAATAGTGTCATCAGATATTGAAGAGATTTAATAGGTCAACAACATATAATAGTAACATGTCATTAATCAAAATAGTGAAATTAGATTTGTTTTTTTGTCTTGATGGTTAAGTGGGCAAAGATATGACACTATGACACAACCGACCCGCAGATTTCTCACAACATCATACTACAAGTTACGCAGGGGAAAAAGAAAATACCTATCAGCTTTGTCAAATCCAAACCTAGCCCCAAAATAAAAGGCAACAGCAAGTAACCATGCATCACTGTGAACAGCAACCAGAGACAACCAGTCCTTTTCTTGCATTCCATCTCTGGCAAAGTTAATACCCAAAGCAGGCTCTGGAAGCTCTGGAGGAACCTCTTCAGCAGGCAAATTGACCTCCCACTGCTCACTGGGAAATCCATACAGACAAAGATTTTCCTTCTCTGCAATAAAAAATTTACATAAATATCATGAACCAGCATTCCATACTGGTTTTCAGACAAGTCTAAAGCCAACATTTATAAGTAAAGAATTAACAAGTGTAGAAAGCAATGCAGTAGGGAAGCAAAAAGGCAGAATAAAGAAAGTAGCTGCCTAAAGTAACATTTATAAGTAATCAAAAATTAATTTGGTGATACTGATGATATACAAAGTAAATATCCCAGTTTACTTTCTAACCAAAGTCTGTGCACCTTACCCTTCAAAACAATTATTATTCAGCTGAAATGATAATTTAGAGCAGATTCAGCCAATTTATTGCCCATTTTCCTAACAAAAATCCTCCTATGTGTCTCTCCCATATAGTAAGGATGCCATATGTCTAATTCATGTTAACATATGTCTTGACAGATAATTTAGGTACAACAAGGAAGACCAACCAGAGACTTCATGTAATAACCATTCTGACATGTAAAAAGTTATAATATATATATATATATGGAAGAGGAAAAAAAAATAAAACCATAGCAACATTTCCAGGCTTGGGTTTATGCCAATCATTTACCACAAACTACTAGCAATTTTGATTTGTTATTTGCACAATTTCATTCGTCAGAGTTGATTTTACGCTGTGTTAGCAGCTCAACATTTTTTCTTAGTATCTCTTTCAAGCCAGCTGATAAATTTTCCAAACCAAGTACTCTTCTTTGGATTGCATGCAAGGCAGTTCAATTTGCATCCAACAGAGTTGAGGTTTACTGATGTGGAATATACAGTAACTGAACTTTTCCCAACTTTAAAAGGCAGGAAGAAAAATAATTGCATGTAGGGCTTGACTAATGTGAAAACAATTCAAGTCGAACAAACAAAAAATTCTTTGAAACAGAAGCACTGGCCACAAAAATTCAGAGTAAAGACAATGAAATTAAATTTCTAGCAATAGCCAAAAGCATCTTTGACAAATAATTAGAGCAGATAACAAAGTCTAAAATTTTAACAAGTCCTTAAATTATTCAAATGCCCTGTGTCACACATGCTTTGATAAAAATACAACAAACCTGATCCCATTCAGAAGTTGTTAATAGAAAATCACAAATAAAGGACAAGTAACCATTATATATTAGCACATTTTCAAGTTTGGTCAACATTTAGTAACAACCTCAACTGATGGATGCTTTATATTTTCCCAAGAAACCCCTGCACAGTATGATATAAAATTCATTAAACATGAAATTATGTATTTTCCTTTCCAGCTTTACAGTACGAAGGAGCACTGGTGGCAGCAATATAAACATGTAACACATCAAACCCTTGTTTAAATAAACAAGCAAGCAGAAAATCACAAGAAACAAAGCTGTACTAGAAAAAATGCCTCAAGCACAGAAATCACTTGCGTAATTACTAATTTTCGAAATTCAAAAGACATAGGAAATAACAAATGAACTATGCATTACTAAAGCTAAATTTGCATATAAACATACTTCGCCTTACTTATAGTTAATTAATGAAGTTTAAAATGTAGAAACAGCAGCAACAGTAACCTAAAAGCAAATATTAGGATCACGTTAATCCTCAGAAATGAAACACTAGGGTTCCACTTCAGTAATGAGAAATTTATTTTTTTAAAAAAAATGAAAAATGATAATTTTTAAAGTAAAAAAACCACGAATGTCGGAATTTGACATATCCCGTACTATTTTATTTTCTTTTCCTGCATTTTCTCAACAACCAACCAAGCAAACCCATAATACAACATAACTTCACACCACAGTAGAAAAAATGACAAAAAAAGAATAGAAGCTAAAATCCTAACCAGGATCGCACTGCTGGTAGAACTCTTCAACATCTGTAACAAAGCAAAAGAAAAAATAACGTTCAAAAATTCAAAAAAACATAACCAAACTCCTCCAAACTGAAAATGAAACTTGAGTATTCTTTTGAAAAAAATTAAGCATACCAGTAGTGAGAGCTTTAATCATGCCAGCTCTACGCCCTTTGAAATCCCTAAAGACCTCCTCGACCGTACGTGGATTATACGAAGCACCACCGTCCATGGCTAGGAAGCACTACTTCACCAGCCAATGAAAGCTCAGAGCCAAAAATATTCTTTGCAGTAGAGAGAAAGCTTATAGTTGCAGAGAAAAAGAGCAGTAGAGATCGAGAACCAGAGAGCAAATGGAGAGAGAGTAAAAGGAGGGAAAGATTGGAAAAATATTTGACCTCTCACAGAAATAGGAAGAGAAAGGAGGTAGTGCGGATTTGAATCGGGAATGAAATGGATCGATTAACCGGATTTTATAAAAGTGCGAAGAGTCCGGGAAACCGGATATGTCATTCGGCCCATCTGGTCTCGCTACCAGCCTACTGCCCATTAGGATATTGCTCACAACAAGTTGCAAACCCTAAAATGCCACGAGGCCTATCTTTTACTCAAATCACAAAACCATCAGTTTAAGGCCACGTAGATCAAATGGGTCCATAGATGGTTTGGTCCTACCCGTTGTGGACCAATTAGTTTTAGTTGTGGATCCGAAATTTTTATCATCCTCATATAAGCACTTGATGTTGTGGCCCACCAGATTCTTACTCGGCTGAGATGGCAACGGTCTAACCGTCTAGGCTCGGTAGTGGGCCCCACTGGTCGAGCGATATCTTCAAACTTCAATTCAATTCAAAGCACATCCGCTAAATTGAAAATTTTAACCGAATTATTTTAGTTTGATGTTTCAATTTGATTATTTATGTTAATTAATTTGATTTGATTTATAATTTTAGGTGATTTAAATTTTTAATTTTTATTTTGATTATAAAAAAATAAATTGTATTTATTCAAAAATCAAATGAATTAATCAAACTAAATCTGTATATAATTTAATTTTGATTCGATTTATAAAATAGTTTGATTCAATTTAAAGGAATAAGTTATCCCTTGTCGAACAGGCTAGTAGGCTTCGAAACTGGCTTTTTAAAACTTTGGAGCAGTCACTGGAGTAGAATAAGTCCATAGAATATGTCTCAACAACATAAATAATTGAATTTTGTAATATTGTATTAATCTCCTACACACGACTTCTTAAATTAGTTTTGATCTCCCAAATGTTCTCTTTTACTTCTAATAAAGAATAACAAAGCCGATGGATTTTAATGATACTATATATATATATATATATATATGGATTTTAATTGATTACTATATATAATATATATTATATATATTTTGAAGATTAAATACTATTTTTTTTTTTTTTGAAAGATAAAGTTACTATTACTAATTGAATATTTGTTTTGAACAGGTCAAAATTTAGTATAAAAAAATCCAAAGTTATCTTCCTAATGTATATGAAAAGAGTAGACATTGAAACAAAATGTTCTTGTAGACTTTAAACTTAATAGATTAAAGTTTAGGTATATTCGACAAAAATTAATGTCATGTTTGTAACTAAGAACATTCACTGCCCAAAAAACTGCTTTTATGCAAAAACCAAATCCTGTCAAGTTTTATCACACCCGTCCGCTGCAACTTATCTGCATCGCCAACTCCCAAATTTGCTTCGGCCTGTCTTGTCGAACTTTCAGTGCCAATTCCAATTTCAACTTTCTCTTTCCTTCTTCTAGCTTGGAAGCAACGGCTACATCCAAGTACTAGGAACCGCTGCTGCGTGGCAGCCTCTGAATAACTTACCTAATGTCTCAATTGCACAGTCAAAGGACATGAAAAAGAGGCATTAAGGTTGCCAAATCTCTTCAAGAATCGCAAAATATAAAATCTTTACCAATTACTTCTCTATTCAGCTGATGGCAATATCAAAATGGATAGTCCATTGTGGCATTTAGAAGTTCCAGTGCTTTGTTAACTTCCTCTTCCACCTTTTAAATGTTGTAAATTGGACCTCGATCTAGGATCCTCACGGTAACTTCCCACATTTAACTACAGAGCATTCTACACAACATCTCCTGAATATTCTCTTCAGCCTCAATAGCACTTTACCCTTTTCAACATAACAGCTTGATGAAAACTAAAAAGCTCTCTAAACTAATGACATAATTCTGGATCAATTGTTTTACGAAAAACTTTGTTCGCCATTTCCTCGGTTTCCATTCCTACAATATCCCATAACTATGGACTATACATGTTGTATCGATGGCAAGACCATTATACCATGTCATTGATAAGGTTCTTGAAGCATCTTTCATCTACCTCTAACCCTACAAAGGCCAGCAATCACCTGGTGTTGTATTGATATGAAATTTGGTTTACCACCCATTTTCCCTTAATCCTGCTTAAGAAGAAATAAAATTGCCCATATCAGGACTCCTTGTGCTCCATAAGAGTCCTAAGCACCACATTTGAAACTCGAAAACTGGTTTAATGCCCTACCGTGGCATTTCCTTCAAAAGGACAATTGCATTATTTTGTGTTCTCTGATTTTGCCAATTACTCATTAATAAACAATTCCCATATGCTTTTGAATCAGCTTGCATTCCCTCCCCAATAGTCTCCCTAAAATACTTAACAGGCTTCATCTGATTTTCCCACATAGCAAAGTCCCTTTTAATATACTCATTATGAGTTGCAGAGATTTTCTTAACTCCATTTAATCTCATTTTCTGTCATCAACTTCTTGGCCTTCATCAACATGTCCTCTCAAACACAAACCATAAATTTATGGCAATTGTAAGTCAAACAGGGTTAGGCCTGCAACCACCGAAGCTTCATCTCATCCATTTTCTTCATTGCCTTGCATCAAATTCACCTTCTTACAATACCCATCTATTCATAGTAGTGTAGTAACAGTATCAGGAAAAACAATCCTACTACCGCATCAATCGAATAAAAATTAAGTAATTGCTTTGTCCAGATCCCCCATTTTACATACCCACTAATCGATTAAATATTATAACAAAAAGCCGAAATTTGGTACATTGCATTTTATCGAAACCTTTCTTGCATTTCTCAACCAAAACCAAATTTGCAATAGCTTTCATCATTATTGACATACAGTCGAATGCATCAGGAGCACTACAACTATTATTTACCAATTCTCCGGTCCAAAAAACGACTGCCTAAACCTATCCGATTTGCTTTAACCAATACATTTCAAAATCGCATTATAAGAAAAACAAAACAGTTTCCATTTCAATCGTCTTTTTACTTTGTGAGCCAAAAGATTGCACCTTTAACATTCATTGATTTCCATTAAGCAGTAATAAACTTTACTAAACCGTTACCAATCGGAAAAGTCTATGTATTTTACTGAAGAAGAGAGGAAGCAACGGAAAAGAGCGAGTGCGAAAAGGAAAGGTCGGTGATGGCTACATAACAATGCTGACTATGGTTATAGGAATTTGGTTAAGGGTTAGGTTTTGATGCCCAATTGAAGAAGAGAGAGCATAGTAAGGATTAGCTTTTGTTTGCTGATGACTTTCAATGACTAAACTGTGAGTCTAGTAAGGTGAGAATTGGTTCAAAGGGGCGGTACTGATTATTGTTTGTAAGGGGTTTAAGACTTTGAGCGTTTAGGCTTGGAGGCAAGAGGTAATTGCCAGTGACTAGTGAGTTGAGAGTGAGAGGTTTGAGGATTGGCGTGTTTACGGCTCTAGTTGCCCCATCGCCGTGTAGTTTGGAGAAAATAAAACAGGAAATTTGATCAGAATCTGCTCTTATGTTAACTCGGTTTCCATTAAACGACAATCCCAATATTACTTAAAACCGGCGCCTTGTTCCAAACTACCGATTGTGTCGTTGACGACAACACGACATATGTCGTGTTTAGAACGGATGAGTCAAACGATTTGGACCATTCATTTTGGATTAGCTTGGTTCAACACCAAAAGGAAGTAGTATATTGGAATTCATTCATTTAAATGTACCGAAAGAAAGGACAAGGTACAAGATAAAAAAAATATATTTCTAATTATTCAATTAAATTTTAATGACTAATTCGTAATGATGCAGTTTAAGAATGGCCAAATCACATAAAGTTTATTTTAAGGCAAGGTTTATTTAATTGCCAAAATAAACTCATTTGGTACGATTTTTCAAATATCCCACATACAAGGAGGCTGCAGGGGCTGCAAACACCAATTGTTTTTTCTTGGCAGGAGGAGTTTGGCTTAGGTCAGCTATGAAAAATTAAACTGAATTGGACCATTTTGCTCAAGGCTGAAAGTAAGCGCGTCCTTAATTTTCATTTTGATGACAACATTTGTGAATAGCCAACACAGCAGGGGACGCTGAAGGCATTCGGCTTTTGTGCCTTGTAATCTAGAGATCCCCAAGACAAATGACCGGCTTTTATTGCTTCCGTCATACAGACTCCGAACCCCAGCCACGATCCGCTGCTGAACCTTTTTGCTCACCCAATAGACGCAGGATAAAACGCCGCTGTTGGATCATTAATATTTAGAGTTCTTATTATTTTAACAATACTTAAAGTATCAAAAGAATCAGTAATGTGAAACTAAGAACTCATCGGTCGTTTAAATGTCTATTTCCGATCCCGCTCCTCTCCCGGGTTCTCAAGTCATTTCTATTAAACAACTTGCGCAAATTCCTGCGTAGAAACCATAATCTTATTCCCTGCTTATCGTTGGACAACTTGCATTATGGTTGTTTTGCTCCCTCCCCAATAGGCTCTTTCCCTGTTGCCACTGAGCCTTCTCCTTCAGTTCAATGTTTTAGTGGTTACCCGATGTTATGCGCCTCTGTTCCGTTTGAATATTGACAAAGATTTAGCGGAACTCCTCAGAAGACTACTGCCTGCTGGAAACCAGGCCCATAGCCCACCGGCTGTAGGTAGCATCTATGCAGTATTCACCTTGGCAATAGGGAAAGGAATAGAATCGAACAATAACCACTAGATTGGTCGATCCGGTAGGTAGTTATCCTTTTCATCTTCCAGTATATATCGCTCCTTTCGTTGTCTGAATGTCCTACAGTCCACATTCAACGAGTCTCTAACTAGTTATTGGTATTTTGAAAATTACCATTTTCATTTTTTATGTTTTTTAAATACTGGTATTGTTATTTTGCAAAATCGAACTGATAGTTATACCTACCTAGCACAGCTCTATGCATTGTTCTGAAGGTGAAGGTCCTCTACTTGCAATATGCCTGTCATTGTTAGCTGCTTTAACAGTGAACCTTCTTTGCAATAATGGACTTCTCTTCCAAGTGGTTTGAACTAAAGTTTCTAGTTGGCTAGCTCGGCAGGGAAAATATATCAAAAATAAAAACTCATCGTCATCGTCCTCAGCAAATCCTTCAATGATGTTCTTCCGGCAATGGCATGTTTCTCATCCCATTCTTGTGGCGCCTCTTGCTTCACTATCTTCTATCGCAAACCATGCTAGCACACATTTTAAG